GTCATCTGTATCTAAAGATATGTATTCAGTTAAGTTTCTTCCTTTATTAACACTGGATTCTCTAGGAAGAACAGTTTAGAACTGATAGAACTATCCAGTATAAATAAAGTCAGTTTAGTTTAGGTTTCCTCGTGTAGTAACACTGGATCAATAAGAAATGATCCTTACTGGACCTCTAAGAAGAACAGTTTAGAACAGACATGTCATTGTTCACATACCATCTAAACGCTGAATTTCAAAAGTCATATTTCCCAGTTTTCCAGCTTTTGCCACTTTTTCCAAGGGTTCAAGAGGATTGTCTACTTTCTTCGTAAATATTATCTGGAAATCAACGATCACACTGCCTTGCCTGGGAGAAAACAAAATGCAGCATACTTGCCAATCACATATTTACAGTTATCTTAAAAAATCTTACCTGAGCTCTTTAACCATGACAAAACTAAATCCGGGAAGTTGTTTGTAAATATCTCTGATCTGTAAAAATATGAAAACAAATAGTTTCACAAACTCAGCAGCGCAAATTATAACGATACATTTCCTGGTTCCTACCTCCTCAATAAGTCGAGAAACGAGATTCTTATATTCTTTCGATGTTTTCTTTGCCAACTTTTCATTCCATTGTTGGTTCGTGAGTTTAATTGAGGAGTCCACAGAATTTTTTTCTACGGTTGGAAAAGTATTATAATAGTTTAAACCTATATTATAAATATATTGTTAAACAGTAAGTTCTCACTAACGCACTCTTAAACAGTATTTCACCTTTGGTAGTATCAAGTTCACAGGTTTTCCCATCTCCTTTGAATAAAGGCGGGCAAGTTTCACAAGTAAATCCTTCGGAATTCTGAGCGAGTGAGCACGTGAGACCTAAATAACATGGCCGTTCATCGCATGGATTTGGACGAATTTCGCAGAAGTTTCCTGAGAACGGAGCCTTGCATTCACAGAGATAGTCGGATGGTGTCGTTGGATATTTAACGCTTTTCTTTTGGTAACATTTACCACCGTGTTCACATGGGCATTGCATGGCATTCACGTGAAGAATTAGCACGTTCCTTCCTCCCAACACGTCTTCCACTTGAACATAGACTGTTCCGTTCTTTCCACTTAGAGATATATCCATGCGTCCATCTTTTGTGATAGAAGCTGAACTTAAACTTATTGTTCCATTCTCCAACAAAGTAAATGTGATTTTTTGATCTTCAGGGTCCTCGGCTTTGATCTGAACTCGCAAAGACTCCTCGTAGATACCAAGTAACATATTTGGCGTCGAAAATTGAGGTGGTTTGTTCTCTGAAAGGAATTGCTTTTTAGCATCGAAATTATGATCATGGAATCATTATGACCACATCTTACCTGTACAGTTTTTACCATCTCCTAAATATCCCTGCCTGCATTCACAAACATATCCGGGCATTGTATTGTTACATCTCGCGTGCTCGTGACAAGGAGACTGAGCGCATTCATCTATGTCTACGGTAAAAACGGTGTCAGTAACGAAAAACAAAATCATTTAAATGTCAGGGGCCTGTTGTACCACAACGAAAGCTGTTTGGTCGGGAGGTTTCATTTAAGAAAAATACCTGTACAATTTGCACCGTTTCCAGTGAATCCTGTTTTGCAATGGCAGAAGAACGAGCCCGGGGTATTTCTACAATTGGCCTGAGGATTACACACGTCCGGAGTATGCGCACATTCATTGATATCTGAAAGTTTAGAGAAATTAGCTTTAAATATATTAAAGGAATAAGCTAACCAAATATCAAAAAAAAGTTCTAGTTCTGCAACCATCCTTCACTAGCTCTGTTTTAAAAACATATAATTTAATTTGAGCGCGTCATGACTTGTATTAAGAGAATTTGAAACTCAGGAAAACATTTCTACTGACCAGAGCAGTTATTTCCACCATCACCAGTAAAACCTTTCGCGCAGACACAGAAGTAGCTTCCTTTGGTATTGATGCAAGTGGCATGCTTAAGACAGGGGTGTCCCATACACTCGTCCACATCTAAATAATGAAAACATTTTGAATCAACGAACAATGCTGGTAAAATAGACCCATTTATCTCCTGGACATATAGTGACTAGTCTACAGTTATTCGTATGATCATTTTTTGTGTTGCAATGGGACAGTTGAATTCTGGCTTGGACACAGAGCAACAGCACATCAAGAACTAAATGCTATCATATACCTGTACAATTCTCGCCATCTCCAGTGTACCCATCAATACACCTACACTGGTAGGATCCATTGTAAAACTTACAACTGGCGTTGTGACAGACTTTGGGATTTTCTATGCATTCGTCTACCTCTGCGAATATTAAAACAGTGCATTGTAAAGAAACAACTAAGACTGACTTTCTATTTTCTAACCAAAGCAATTGAACCAGTTTGATAAATTTGATACACAAAGTTTATCATAAGTATTTGATAGTTTCCCATCACTCACTTCCATCAACTCTGCTACAGTTATACTTTGCATCGCCAGTATATCCAGGGGGGCACGGACCACAGCTAAACCCAGCGACGCGATCTGTACACGTGACACCAAGAAAACACGGATTCGATGCGCACTCGTTTATCTATAAAAATACACAATAGCTCGAATTTTGAAAGGATATAAATCCGTTTTTTGGACATAAAATCTGTCGCTTTGACGTGACAAAACTGTGTTTTTTAGCTCTATCAGTTCTAAACTGTTCTTCCTAGAGGTCCAGTAAGGATCATCTCTTGAGGAAACCTCAACTAAACTAACTTTATTCATATTTCTGTCAGTTCAAAGCTACTCTTCCTAGAGGTCTATCAAGAATGATTTCTTTTTGATGAAGTAGCATCTGTGCAGTCAACCGGGGGAGGAGGTTTCTGTGGAGTAAGAAACTTTACCTCAGTCTGACAAAGGTGACTAGTGTATCCTTGAAAGCAGGAACAGGAGAAGCCAGGTTTTTCATTAACACAACTTCCATTATGACAAGGATTTGAAGCAGCGCACTCGTCAACGTCATCTTCACACAGGTCACCCGTATACTCAGCAAGACAGGAACACGTGAAATTCCCAGCCCCATCAAGATAACGATAGTCTGGATGACATTCACCCGAATTCACGCAGGAACAGTCCTTCAATACTACAGATACATTAAGAGTAGAATACGCTCCACATTCGTCGGTAACATTAAAGACAAACGCCGTGGTTCCTCTGTCGTTTTTAATCCACGTGAATGATCCGTTTTTAGACAAAGTAGCTCCAAATGTTTTGCCTTGTGCAAAGCTGTACTGGACTGTGCGATTCTCTGGATCGTCAGCGCTCAATTGTACGCGAAGCTCTTTGCCTTTGAAGGCATAAAACACACTGGACGATGTTAAAATTGGTGGTCTGTTATCTATAAAATGGCAGAAAAATTCACAAATATTAGAATTTTTGGGATAGAAATAAATAAAATATTTTCGGGTCGAGAAGTTATTTTCTTTCCCATTTGTAATTGCTCTATTGTCTTAACTCATGAGTGTACCTTTGATACATCTTCAAGAAACCCTTCAACGAAGCATTTTTACCTTTGCGTTTTGACCAGGAAGTAGTCGACGATTCTGGCAAACATTGTTGACACCAATCACGTGGGTTACTGTCGTTCATAGCGAAGCAATGACCAGATATGATGCAAGCATCAGCCTTTTTGCAAAGACAAAAAAAACACGAAGCGATTAATTTAAATCATATACAATAACGTGGAACGATATCTTCATCGATTAGAGAGTCGCTTCTTTCATCTTTGAATTAATCTAGATCAACAAATCGTTGTAGAGGAAGTGACATTGAGAATGTCACCACAACAGAGACGAACCTACTAATGGCAAAGATTGGTTTGCGCATACAATTATACTTTTGTATCGCATTCTGACATTTTTACATCTGCCCAATTGTCTATTGCAACAATTTCGGCTGCATTTTCTGTGGTTAGGAAAATCTTTGTAGCTAAAATTATTACTAGTTGAATACATACTCGAAGATGACACCCTACAGTCGTGTTGCACTCTTGACACACAGAATCATACGTTATAAATAACACGGAGTCTTTGGAGGCATTGATGCGGTTGTTTGAAATCGCAATCTTTAGTCCAGCGGCTGCTACGCCTTCGTTGCCATAGTCACCGATATTTACTGGGGATTCTGGCAGTGAACATTTCACTTCAGTGAGGTCGACCAGTTGTCCTGGGTATAAGGTCCTTGAATTGCTGGGTTTCCATACTGAGTCTATGACCTGTGTAAAGAGATCGGCACTGTTATGGGATGATATGGTCACGTAATAAGAAGAGATGAAGGAGAGCTGGTCAGAGATATGAAATGAAGAGATCAGAAGAAGATGTGAGGTGGTAGACATTGCAGAGAAGATGAGGGAAGCAAGGTTGAGATGATATGAACATGTAATAAGAAGAGATGAAGGAGAGCTGGTCAGAAATATTATGAAATGAAGAGATCAGAAGAAGATGTGAGGTGGTAGATATTGCAGAGAAGACGAGGGAAGCAAGGTTGAGATGATATGGACACGTAATAAGAAGAGATGAAGGAGAGCTGGTCAGAGATATTATGAAATGAAGAGATTAGAAGATGTGAGGTGGTAGACATTGCAGAGAAGATGAGGGAAGCAAGATTGAGATGATATGGACACGTAATAAGAAGAGATGAAGGAGAGCTGGTCAGAGATATTATGAAATGAAGAGATTAGAAGATGTGAGGTGGTAGACATTGCAGAGAAGATGAGGGAAGCAAGATTGAGATGATATGGACACGTAATAAGAAGAGATGAAGGAGAGCTGGTCAGAGATATTATGAAATGAAGAGATCAGAAGAAGATGTGAGGTGGTGGACATTGCAGAGAAGATGAGGGAAGCAAGGTTGAGATGATATGGACACGTAATAAGAAGAGATGAAGGGGAGTTGGTCAGAGATATTATGGAATGAAAAGATCAAAAGAAGATATGGACTACAAAAAAATACGATGCAATTTACCTTATATTCTTGGACATGGCAGGTAAGCTTCTCTGAGTCCAACAACGGGAAACCAAACACACCAACAGTCCGACATGGTCTTCGCCGTCTGTCACACAATCCTGACTTGCGGATATCAAAGACGAGTGGACTGTCTTTCAATGAGATTGAACAATCTGCAGCGGTGTAATCTTTGTGGCAAATGCACGTTGAATTAACGCAATCTCCCTTGTCTGAGCAGTCATTTGGACAAAGCGATGTGAGGATGTCTGTATCCAGTTCAATACTTCCGTCAGTTGTGTTCTTGAACGACGAAATATTGTTGAAAATATTTGCAATGCAAGATGTTTCCAACGCCGCAAAGTTGCCTGCTGCCCACGAGAAATCTTCAGTCGCCTTTTAAGATACAAAAAGAGTACATTTTCAATCGTTTAGGGCCTTAGGCAGGGATTAAGCTTGTTATTTCAGAGTTTTGACTGATGTGCGAATTCGTCAGACTTAATAGCGAGCTGTGGATTCAGTTCTCCTGACGATTTATTTGCTAAGGGAAATATTACCTACCTGTATATCAGTTATACACTGTTGTACCAAACCATCCACATCTACCCCTTCAACTTGTCCACAGGCAGCCCCAGCTTTGGAGTAACGCAATTTTTTCTCGCAAAACTGTGTGACATTATCCTTAGTTATCCCTGAAGGTGTCGGCCACGTCAGTGTTAAATTAACCCTGGTTACTGTTGGATTAAATGATGGGATGGCGTCTTGATCGTCCACTGTGTCATCATCCAGCATCAACGCCCGCTTAGGACGATTTGGACACTCTCCTGTTTGGCAAAAGTTAAGATAAGTTTGTTTTTAGCCTGGAGTTAATACTGACAGAGTAATCTAGTGCGAATACAGTTAAGTTTGCATTGATTTCCTTCAGTGGATAGCTGGATATCGATATGATCCATAGTATATTAGACTTACAACTTTTCAGTATAAATAACGTTAATTTAGTTTAGGTTTCCTTTTGTAGTAAGAATGGCGGGTCAAGAAAAGGTTATACTGATTGTACATGTAAAAAGTAGTCAACCTCTTCTCCTTAAAACACTAAACTGATAAGATTTCTATCTAGGTGTTATTAAAGTGATCATTTACCAATGCCTGATCCTTGATGGTGTCTTCTCGCGTCTTTCCCGCCAAGATCTGGAAAACAGATTGCTTCCGCTTCACGACCACATCGTCTGATGCCTCCTTGAGAGCAAACACATATCTTTTGGTCGCAGCCATCATCTAGTTGATCTTCTTCAAATTTATTCCCCTTGTAATCAAACTGAGTGAGATGACTGCGGACTCTTTATAAGAAAGAGTTTGAAGAGAAAAAAGAATATCAAATTAATGCGCATTCATGTAATCAGCTATGCTTTCAAAATAGTTCATTCAAAAAAGTCTCCAGCTGAAGCTGAATGAAATAGGGAAATCCAAGCCAATCTTTATCGAGTTTTAGTTGTATGTAGAACAGTCATCATATTTTCTTCATCACTGCAATGCACGTACCTCCAATGTTCTCCAAATTGATTCGGAGAGTTCCATTGCCCGAAATCATCATTGGAATTTTCATTATTATTGCCACACAAACCTTCGCTCGGATGTTCAAGATCAGCAGGTGCCCAAACGTAAATATTTAGCCCCCAGCTTTGACGATCCACGATAACTTTCACACCAGACGGCAAAGTGATCTTTACCGAAATGAATAGATCAATAGAACGTTAACTGAACTAACTTAATTCATACTGCATATCAATTCTAAACTGTTCTTCCTAGAGGTCCAGTAAGGATCGTCTCTTATTGATCCAGTGTTACTACAGGAGAAAACCTAAACTAATTCAACTTTATTTATACTGGATAGTTCTATCAATTCTAAACTGTTCTTCCTAGAGGTCCAGTAAGGATCGTCTCTTATTGATCCAGTGTTAATACAGGAAGAAACCTAAATTAAACAAACTTTATTTATACTGGATAGTTCTATCAGTTCTAAACTGCTCTTCCTAGAGGTCCAGTAAGGATCATCTCTTATTGATCCAGTGTTACTACAGAACGGAACTTAGACGAAGTGAAGTTTTTATCTTTCTTGTACCTCGAACTTTGTTGTTGAGCCTTTTTGGGTGATTGCCGAATAAAATCTGCTGAGTTTGAAGTCGCGAAGTTGATGAGTTCTAAGACGGGACCTGACGTTGTTTTCCCACCAAGGACGACCAGGAGTTACGTAGCACATGTCATAGATCTTGTAGAATAGATTTTCTCTGATGGCGACACCACAATTACAGCTTGGAGTTCCACCATTACACGCTCTTTGCCGTACGTGAATCTATAGGAAATTAGCGACATGTACCTTCAAACAACGAGGAAAAACTCTCGTCAACTCTCGTGACCTGGTCAAACCAGAACAAGAGTTGCATGAGAGTTGACTGGATATTACCACACGTAGCAGTCAAACGAGGGAAAACTCTCGTGAACTCTCATGACCTGGTCAAACGAGAACAAGAGTTGCATGAGAGTTGACTGGATATTACCACACGTAGCAGTCAAACGAGGGAAAACTCTCGTCAACTCTCATGACCTGATCAAACGTTGAGACAAGAGTTGCATGAGAGTTGTGATGGTGGTAAAAATTTATTTATAAACTCCTGACCTCTGTTCCGTAATGTTTATTTCCATATAATAAAAACGTTCCTCTACCAAAAAAATCGTATCGCCTGAATGAAAAAAAAATCATATTTTAACTTGGCGAACTGCTAACGAAAATTAATCCAAGAACTCCATTAAGAACTTGGATTGTTTATCGGAAATGAAAGTGCAAAGAAATCTGTTCTTAATGTAGATCATGAATTTCTACTGACCTGCCGTCAAATGTCTGAAAGTGTGGATCTCCTGTGGACCGACATTGTTGCTTTTTGTACTTTTTTCTACTAATCTAAGAAGTGAAAGGTTGTAATTGAGTATTTTTTCACCTTCATGAAACATGGCTAAGAAACAATGTTTCCTGGTTTGGCTAACCTTAGAAGACTAGCGAATCTTTTAGTTTTAACTAGCGACCAGCGACTTCATTTTTCAACAGTAACCAAACCGATTCGAGCACAAAAGCCTACCTTAATCGTTGGAAACGCATGGTTCACCCAAAATCTATTGATGTTGAAATCAAAGAAACTATGCTGCAGTTTGTACGTAGCGGCCAGAGTCTTCGACTTGTCACCCGTCCCACAATTCGTCATCAATTTGAACCTTATCGGTCTCCCAACACGGTGGCCCGTCTCAAAAACGATCCCACAATCCTGAAATCCCTCTTTTTCACCGACAACGCATATTTCATCGATCAATTTCGTCGTTGGTGAAGCAATATCGATCTTAACAGGTCTCACGCGTATTGGAAGATGAGGTCTTATGGTGATGATAACTTCACGATCACTTTCGCCACAATCATTGATTGGAATATATGTCGGAGTTACCTGCGTAAATAATGTTGAATTTACTATTCTTCATGCAATTCTGAATCGACTTTTATCAACTTTATCAATCACAAACCTCCATTCCTGTGTAAATTCGGTTGCTCGAAACCCATTTTGACCAACTGCCCGTCTTAAAACGAGCCCGGACTGAACAATAGACCTGCAAAGTTGAAGCAAATACAAAGAGGTTTATCGTGGCTACGAATTGACAATATTTTCGAATATTTCTAAAGTCTGAAATAGTCTGCAAAAGACATGATATGTATTATGTAAACAAAAGATTTGAGCTGTGAATGACAGATTTAGAGCAATATTTTCACTTCATTCAACATAAAGTAAAACCACTGCCGTAAATTGTTTCCCTTTTTCTACACAAGTCTTGAATGTGTCAGGGCCCCGATTCCTGATTCAATTCCCAGAACTTTAGGGCATAGCAGCAGCTGCTAGTGGAAGTGAATTCTTAGCCTCGCTATAAGCTCGAGTGTAAAGGTTAAAATGATAGCGTGTTTCCACTTACGTTCTTATGAAATTCATAACCGTTTTTGTCGTTCGTGATTTTTGGTTGGAACAAGAATTCCGGAACCTCCGACCCGGTGAAATTTCTCTGAATTTTAGGCTCCGGATGCGAAATGTCTCCAAACCATCGAGCTTCATACTCGATATTCGACAGGTTTCCAGGACTTTCCCAGAAGCATTTTAGTCTGACTTCTTGAGTATCCTCGTGCTTTATGCCAGCGCCGACAACAACACGTGGTATCGCCCCTGTATCGATCAAACCGAGTTTTAAATCATGATTGGGTTACTGTCAAAAAGTGTTCATGTTAAAGTAATGCCTGTGTCAGTCAGAGGCATCATAGAAGGGCCTATATTAGAGAGATGTCTGTATTAGAGAGATGTCAGTATTAGAGAGATGTCTGTATTAGAGAGATGTTTGTATTAGAGAGATGTCTGTATTAGAGAGGTGTTTGTATTAAAGAGATGTCTGTATTAGAGAGATGTCTGTATTAGAGAGATGTTTGTATTAGAGAGGTGTCTGCATTAGAGAGATGTCTGTATTAGAGAGATGTTTGTATTAGAGAGGTGTCTGTATTAGAGAGGTGTCTGCATTAGAGAGATGTCTGTATTAGAGAGATGTCTGTATTAGAGAGATGTTTGTATTAGAGAAATGTCTGTATTAAAGAGATGTCTGTATTAGAGAGGTGTCTGTATTTGAGAGATGTCTGTATTAGAGAGATGTCTGTATTAGAGAGATGTCTGTATTAGAGAGATGTCTGTATTAGAGAGATGTTTGTATTAGAGAGATGTCTGTATTAGAGAGATGTCTGTATTAGAGAGGTGTCTGTATTAGAGAGATGTCTGTATTAGAGAGATGTTTGTATTAGAGAGATGTCTGTATTAGAGAGGTGTTTGTATTAAAGAGATGTCTGTATTAGAGAGATGTCTGTATTAGAGAGATGTTTGTATTAGAGAGATGTCTGTATTAGAGAGATTCTGTATTAGAGAGATGTTTGTATTAGAGAGATGTCTGTATTAGAGAGATGTCTGTATTAGAGAGGTGTCTGTATTAGAGAGGTGTCTGCATTAGAGAGATGTCTGTATTAGAGAGATGTCTGTATTAGAGAGATGTTTGTATTAGAGAAATGTCTGTATTAAAGAGATGTCTGTATTAGAGAGGTGTCTGTATTTGAGAGATGTCTGTATTAGAGAGATGTCTGTATTAGAGAGATGTCTGTATTAGAGAGATGTCTGTATTAGAGAGATGTTTGTATTAGAGAGATGTCTGTATTAGAGAGATGTCTGTATTAGAGAGGTGTTTGTATTAGAGACGTGTCTTTATTAGAGAGATGTCTGTATTAGAGAGATGTCTGTATTAGAGAGATGTCTGTATTAGAGAGGTGTTTGTATTAGAGACGTGTCTTTATTAGAGAGCTGACTGTATTAGAGAGGTGTCAACGTACTTTAGTAACGTATTTTTAAGGGTAATAAAATCTTACCAGGGCAAACAGGAAGTGTTTCTCCAGTGACTGAACATGGAGCGTTTGGTAACTTGGTGCCTAACATACAATAGATAAAATTAAGATCAATATCTCAAAGTGGTTTTTACACAGTTCATTTTTCCTTGCGGCTGCGTGTCTGACAATGCCCTAGAGAACGATGCAAACTTTACATTTACATATTCTCATGCAACGATCGTAGTTTGAACGCCATCAGATGCAATTCATTAGAGACCTTTAGCCTAACCAATACGGCTACCTCTGAAAGCAAGCGAGCAATTTCAAGTCTCGTTTGAATGTAGATTTTGGGCAATTTCCCAGCCAGAATTTGTCTTAGTAAGTACTTGATGTTTGAACAAAATGAGCCATTTTTCTAGGCTTCCGAAACCTGACATTTGTTTTGAAAATGCGAAATGAATTTTGCTATTTGCGGTTAGAGGTGTGTCGTTAACGCCAAGCTGAAGGTAAAAAAATTGGGCGCAGTCCACAAGTCGAACTTTGAGACAATAGATTTGCGCAGTGCGTTGAATATTTGCCTTTGTTTATAAGTCGACGATGACCTCTTAATGAGATAATTATATCAACGTTTTCCTGCCCAAACTCGTTTGCAATGCTATGATAAAAATTTGACACTAAAAACAGAGCGAGGGAGTTAACTGGGAGTTTAAAAATAGAAAAATAAAAGCTGTTGAGGTAATATTTGCGGCAATGACAATGTTGACCGAGGCTTCCGATGCTTGAAATTTATTGAGAGTCGATCTTATCAAGACAGGCAGTGGCCATCACACAGCAGAATGCAATGCTGATCGATATCAGGCCCGGACAAGTGTTTCTAATCCGATTATATTGGTATTTTAATATCGCATTCAAATTACATTTTGTCATAGTCATTAAGCCGAATTTCTTTCCCCATTTGAGGGGAAATGTCATTACAAAATTAAGCTGCTAGCTGATGGCGTACATAATAACATCCCCTATGTTTAGTTTAGCATCAACTGTGTTTCACTGAAACAGAAAATTGCAATCATCAGCAATCCCTGTTTCGTTTTGAAAAGGTCTGAATTAACTGAAGATCTTTGTCTAGCTTTTATACCTGATAATATCAAGAAAACATACTATTATCATTAAGAATATAAAGAAAACAAAACACGGAGACAAAGAACTCAAGGACAAGGGGAGGTTTGGACGGTGTTTGATTTAATTATTCAGCTAATAAACCAACTCTTCCATCAGTCTTGTTTTAATGATTGTAATTCGTCTTCCGGGAATCAATTATACCCCATGATCAATTCTATATTTCATTTTCCCCGGCGTGGTTTGCAGACAACGTAGATCTTACTATAAATGACAGCGATGAAAACAAGAATTTACAGTCGAAAGTCAAGCATCCATTTTCCTAATGGAAGAGGCACTCGGCTAAACACGATAAAGAAGGGCCATAGGAAGTTCTTAGGAACCCTTAACTTGCAAAGGAAATGTGTAGATATTGGACTTTCTAATTCCAAGAGTCATGTTGATTTACTAATGTTTTTCCAAACGTGTTTGCGTAGAACCTAAGAGCGCTTCCTGTTATGCGATAAAGCTCGTTTTATGTTATTATGTTTTATAACGTACGCATGCATGCAGATCTCAATGCTAACACTAGCTGTTTTTTGCAGTTAAAAAACAGAATTGAAAGCGTTCAGTCTGCCCACAATTGAAATCTAATTACCTGTTTTCAGTTTCGCATCTATTACACGATTATCGTAGCAACTTTTGACATTTGTTTCAAGAAATAAGAGCAAAGAAGAATTTTCAGCCCTGTAAGCCAGGCTGAAAAGATTCCATGTAATCAGCCCCTAAGGAACAGTGTCTGTGTATACCGTAAAGTGGGCGATATTTTCGCGTTCCTACATGTATATATTTAGTTATCTTACATCAGGGGCTGGTTGTATCAAGCCCGTTTAGCTTAAACGGTGGTTAAGTTCAAAATAGAAGGCAAGTCTATCGTTTCATTCAAGAAGCAAAAAAAATGTGTTTAACCTTAATACAAAGTTACTGTTTACAACTACATATTCAGTGCATAATATTCAAGTTGACTCATTCAAGAGAGATGTAAGAGTGTTATTTAATTTTGACTTATCCACCGTTTAAGCTAAACGGGCTTGATACAACCGGCCCCAGATTTATTTGCAAGTTTAACAAAGCAATCTTACCAGCACAGTAAGCAAAATCACATTGCTGTGGTTCTTTCAAACGATACAGGAAAAACGAACCACATTTTATTACTTTAATATTGTAAGAAATACCACATCCTTCTGGTCTCAAAAACGGTACGGCGGCACAGGCTTTGGCGTTCGTCACAACGTTATTTTGTGTTGGATGAGTGCCTTTAAACCAAATTGGAACGAACGTACCACAGAAACCACGCGTAGGATTGTGGTCTGGTATTGTATTACCAGCCACACTGTCAAATCGATACCAGTTGTCGTCTTTGATGAAATTGCGATCGCATATTTTGGAGCTTGGTTTAACTTTAAACTTCGTGCTGCGACGAATGTCGTTGATTGTTGTGTATTTTATTTGGTCGCAAGTTTGCGCGTCGATATTTACGATTTTTAGCAGCACGAGAAACTCGAACAGGATTGTGCAAGCCTTCATTTTCGACTGAGTAATGGAATGATCCGGGGCGATGTTGAAAGAATATGATGACGCCTGTGTCGCTAATGTTTGCGTTAGCCCGATTCCCCTCCGATTCTGATCGTATTGTGAATTCCCTCACACGATGACAGATGCGGAAACAAAGCGTGATGTCACAGCTATGCTATTATCCATGCATGTACGTTCATGCACATCAATCCACATCAACGTTTCTCAATTCTCACCCGACCAAGTCCAAATTCACCCGAAAAAACTCAGCATTGCTGCCCGTTGTCATCCAAAGAGGCGACCCAAACGCCTCGCGAAGCAGACGGGCGATGCTCAACCAAGTTAGATCTGCAATAAATCGGATGAGTTGAATCCACATTCAAAAGGTATCAGAAACAATTTCTTTGGTAAAAAAAAACCTTCTCTCATTTAATGGAACTTATGCAATATGTCTCACAACTCATCTTATTTTTTCTTTTACGAGTTGTGCAGATACTGTATCATAATAATTCAAAGGGTGGGATTGTTGCACAAATTTGCTCCAGGCATGTCAAGAGATCGAAACTCTAGAACATTAAAATATCGGTTTTACGATGTTGATTTTTCACCTGACCTTGTTTTCGACACAAAGAGTTGTTGTTATGTACACAAGGCGGGTTGAATAGCGGAAACAAACGACGTGAAATAACCGATAAAATATAGTTCAAAAATCACTGGTTTCTTCCATGAACGCGATCGGCCGTGAAAAATATGAACAAGAGACTGCTATATACGACAGATGACATTCATAACGAGTAAGAGAAGAAAGATTTGCAAAATATACTCCAGTGACAATTCTTTCGTATGAAAAAAAACATTTGTCATAATAATATCTGGGTCAGGTTGTATGAAAAGGTATTTAAAGCTCCAATTAAATTAAATAATAATAATAATAAATAATTACATTTTACACGACTGACAATTTTTAGTACAGCACCAAAAAAATGGTACGGATAAAATTTTAAACTCCCAAATTTGCCGGGTGAAACTCTCAAATTCATCCGTACCAATTTAATCCTTTATACAATTATACTATGTTCGATTTCAGTTTTGGTTCCCGGGACATGTCGCAGCTCTCGGAAGCTTTCGTCTAATTGGATAATGCTTTTCTATGCTTTCTAAAGAACGAAGCTATGCTATTGGTTGAAACAGAAATGTATTGTAAAGTTCAGCCAATGAAAATCATTCTTACGAGGACCTGCGACATTACCCTTTGGTTCGGATAAAATTGAGAATGATGAAGTAAATACATTGTCCAACTTCCAAGTTTCATCCGTACCAATTTTAATCTAAAATTGCGCCGTTTGCTCGTAATTTGCTCCAATTGGATAATGCTTTTCTATGCTTTCTAAAGAACGAAGCTATTGGTTGAAACAGAAATGTATTGTAAAGTTCAGCCAGTGAAAATCATTCTTGCGAGGAGCTGTGACACTACCCAAAAATCGAGTGTTTTGTAAACGGGGCTTATTAAATTTCAACTATAGTTCGTGACAGAATTGGCCAATCAGAACGGCGGACTTTGGACTATAATTGCGCAAATGCAATAAAGAGTTTTATACAAGTGACGGACGGTTAGTGACCCCTGTACAGCTTAAAAGTGACTACTTTTTGCGTGAAGCGTAATTAGGGTATTTTTTACCAGTGAAACGTGATTGATGATTTAGTTAATCTGAGATACGCGATAAGGTTGAATATTTTCACGTGAGCGCAACGTGAAAAAGGGTATAGGCGACCCTGAAATGATTCTCGGGATTAAAACATCTCACTCACCGTCGAAATCCCGCGCGCGAATCATGCATAAAGCGAGGTATCTCGTGTCGTGAAGGCAAATTACTCAGTCACATGTCCTAAAGGTTCAGCCTGAGCTCCTTAGCCAGTTCGGTGCCAAACCACTTCTTATTCGAAGATTTTTATCCCTGCCTCGGCTAATAATCTTTCGCGTTCGTGCCCCCAGGGTCGTCGCTAAAACAAGACAAAGAATGACGTAATGTTGACTTGTAATACGACGCTCGGAAGGGAATATTTATTTATTCTTTAAAGTTCATTCGTGTGCATGCAAGCGCGCGTCGCTACCATGAAGAATATATCGCGTTTGGCTGTCTTTCTTGTGTATATTTTCGCCATCTACGTTCGTGTGCAGTCTAACCTGTGTAGCGATGTAAAGTATCGAGCGATTAACGACCCGAGACGAAGCACGGCGTTTGTGAGTTCAACTACAAGGCTGTGTGATAGAAGTGTAATAAAAGGCGATATTTGGTACAGATTTGTTAGTGAGGCTGGGGGCGAACTAGCTACGAAAGCGCCAAAGATCCATAGCTGTGGGGCAACCAGTCCTATCTGGATGAGAGGTACCCACCCTAACGTTGAAGAAGGCATCGTAAATCGAACTGTTTGCTTAGTAGGAGGAGGTAAAAGGATATGCACCTATCGCTACAAGATTAAAGTGCGTAACTGCAGTGGTTTCTACATCTACCAGTTCACGCAGCTTGATCGATGCGGTTTTTTCTGCGCAGGTAGGTTTTTGATGTTGTTCTGGAAAACCAGTAAAAGGTTTGGTATTTTTCATGTGCGTTGACGCTATCACGTTTTTGCACTGCGGTCAACCCTAAGTGGCCATTATACATATTTCGTACCAGAGTGTGCGAATATTCGGTATTTATAATCGTTTATTCCTCTACAACTTCATGGAGAGAGCTTGACCTAAATCAAGAGCACAATCACGCCTGCAAGTATTGCAACATTACTGCATGATTGTGGGTTGTGAGGTTTAAAACGCCTCAGTAAGCTGCTAGTGATAATATTACCCCTCGACAAATTGGCTGATATTAAGTACCTTAGCTGAAATACCGTTGATGTGCGATTGCTCAATCGTTTATCAGAATGTTTATTCCTCTTGTGAGCTCGGTGAGCAGGCATTTGAAACAGTAGAAAATACACTCCGTCAACTATAATTACAACTCGGCAACTTTATAATGCAGTCACCCTGAATTGCGATGCATTTGTAAGAGGGGGGATTATACAATATATTGAAATAACAGCATGAACTCTTTTTAAGAAAGTTAAGAATGAAAAAAATGGTTCAACGATTCTAGATTTTCACAGAAAAGACGCCATGATGCTTTGCGAGGCGATCAACATTAAGATTGTGGCTGGGTTTCTAGGATCTTCGTGAATTACGCAACATACGAGTATATATGGTCTGTGCGTTGTATGTTAATCATAGGGTCTTCCCCCAACCTGCTGAGAACCCCGCGTCCCTTTCAGCCAGGTTAGCCGTCGAACAAGAACTCGACTAAACGCCCTTCGCATTCACGAAGTCTTTTTGATTGGCGTTTTATATATATATATATATAGAACGTCACGATGCCCTTTTGATAGTCCCCTTCCAAGATAACGCGTCTAGAAACATTGCAGCTTCTTCAAATAACTTGTCATTAATTGCGGTTTACCAGCAGCCTAAATGTTAAAAAAAAACTTCTGGTCATTTCGACCTCAAGGACGTTCGTCAGGAAATTTAGTCGGTATTAACTCTAATACCAACGCTTCTCACGATGGCCTTTTCAAGGGTTAGGTCGAAGCGAAGTTTCTTTGCGATCAAGCGAGTGTTTTGGCAGTTGCCAGTTCTCGTTTACTGCATCATTAGTTTGGTATGTTTAATGTTTTCCGCAACGCTTGGATGTGGAAAAGTTCTACGAAAACATGGTTTTTCTGCAAATAACTTTATGACCTCCCACAAAATATATCCGCTCACAGCAAATGCTCGCTAACTCTTTCCGCAGAGACGGACCCCCTTGTGAAAAGAGACATCAGTTTCCCCGCGATTAGCATAAAAAGCCTGGATAATCCTTCGTCTAGGGTAATTGAGGAAATATCCCGCGCAAAATCCATAAAACTCTTACTCTTACCGATATTTTAAGCTAGCTTAAACCTAAAGGCCTCCTTGCTCTATTGAAGCACAAATTTCTAGGTGGGTACTGACGTAACAACATCACAACCACCTTTTTAAAGGTTTAAAAATCTTCTACAAAGTGAATACAAGAAGACCTCGTCTTTCGTATTCAATTTTGCTGCGAACTTATCCTACTGCATGATGTTAACAGGATGTGGTTATAACTATAGAATTTCACATAATCAATTATTCATTTCAGACAATTTCTCGCTACTAAAAGCCGCAAATTTGAATTAGGAAAAGCAACAAGTTTTTTTACGCACACCGTAATCACCTAATTGAATTTTAGCTGCTATTTGTGCGCGCAAAATTCATCAGATGCACGTCTTATGGGCGTCGGATTAAAAATATTTACACTGGGCTTTATCTATTACCGGTAAACTGTTATGACTACTGTATTGTATATTTTTGTTGACATTAAATAAATCTCCTATTTGCAAAGGTGTGTAGTTTGTTTTCCGGTGAGACGGAAAAGTGCTCGTCAAATAAAGCATAAGAACCATCTAAAAATAGAAAATAGACGTTTCCATCGAAGGTCTATCGTCAGGAGAGTTAGTGATAGGTGCATATGATAAACTGGTATAAACTCTCCGTGATAAAGTACCCTACATTCAGAGATTCCTTTCAGAGAAGAACCACCCACACTGTCTATACCAGTGTATTGCGAATGAAACAATAAAAATATCCCTTCAGGATAACTCGAGTAGGGTGTCCGATGTCAGTATGTCATCTGGAAAAAAACCAAAGAGAATTCGTCTAGCTAATATTTCATTAACATTTGTTCTATCAAAATTTCAAGCACCTTTCAAGACTTGAGGCTGAGCCGCTCTAGAAATGGTATTAATTAAGTGTTTTGTATTTGTTTTCAGGATCAAAATTGGTCAACTGTTCCAAAGATGACGAGTATTGTCTTAGTACGTATATAGTTTTTCTACCTGTTTGTATAATGTATTCCATTGAATTTATGTTAGAACACGAGTTTTACTCTGTGTTTCACTTGAATTTAACCTTCCTCAATGTCAGTTGATCATTGCAGTACTGCTAGTCTGACTGAGTGTTGACTGTTACTATTAATACTAGCCTGACTAGTCTAGTACTTACTGCTTTGCAATGTTTTATTCAGTGTTTCACTTTCAACCTTCCTCAATGTAAGTTGATCATTGCAGTACTGTTAGTCTGACTGAGTGTTGACTGTTGCTACTAATACTAGCCTGACTAGTCTAGTACTTACTGCTTTGCAATGTTTTATTCAGTGTTTCACTTTCAACCCTCCTCAATGTCAGTTGATCATTGCAGTACTGCTAGTCTGACTGAGTGTTGACTGTTGCTACTAATATTAGCCTGACTAGTCTAGTGCTTACTGCTTTGCAAATTTCTAGTAATAGACAGAGCTATAGTAAACAACGATTTATTCTATTTTACCAGAAAATCGCCCTCCGTTTATAAGTATGCCTAGACGGATCTACGCGTATGAAAACAGTAATATTCAGTTGATCCTCAATGCAAGTGACCCAGAAGGTTACATGATGGATTACAGTTTTAATAGTTCGACAATGACAAACATCTCGCTTGACGTTTCTCAAGAACCAGCTCTGCTGAACGTCAACCTGACTAAATCAGGGACAGTAACCCTAAAAGTCACAGACGCCTTTGAAGACCTAACAGCTCATCAAAATATTGAATTTGTAACAGTATCCCGCCGTGTTTGCCCAAATGGTAAGTAATACGGAGACAGTTGTATATATAAAAGACTAGTTAACTTTTAACTGTAGTTAGGGAAAGAATCGCCAATCATAGTCGTGTATTTCTGAGTTAACTAGGATTTAACTATTTAAAATGTAGAGGTTATAAAGGGTCTTAAGTTCGAGTGGAATTATACACAATTCAAGCCAGGAATTCGAACAGTTGATGGAAAAATGAGTCAACTATCAGTGGCGTAGCCAGGTCTGACGATTTTGTCCCGCTATGTAGATTTCGAGTTATTATAATTATTCATGCCTTTAGAAATCTAGTGTTTTCGCAGTCGGTGAACACTAGAATATTAGCATTGCGGGACAAATCGACAGGCTGGCAACGCTACTGTCATCTATAGGTCCTCCGGACCGGCAGGAATCGAACCTACGCTTTTGCGATGCCGGTGCAATGCTCTTGCCACTGAGCTACAGAGGTAGCTGACAAGAGCAAGCATGGTTAATGTGTATAGGATGGTAATGCCAGGAATTGGTGAGGGTAAATCGATTATGATTTTTGGCACTTCACTCGATGCGGGTAAAATCTAGAGGTTTTAAGGGGTCTTAAAACCCCCCAAATCATAATCGATTTATTCAAAATGTAGTTAAGGAGTTCTAAACAACCCGGACCCTGATCTATCTGAGTTAGTATGATCTCCGTGTGTTTAGTCAGGGTTTTGAGACGGGGTGTTGGCGTGCTATTGCATCATTTCCACAATCCTATTTCGGTTAATTACCGGGGCAGTCGATTTAGGGGCTGTTTACGTCATCGAGATTAGACGAAGTGTGAAATGCGGTTTTTGAGGTATTGAAATTAGTCTTTGGAAAGGAAACGAGCACATGCTATTATTGGAATGATTACGACACTGCCTTGGATCATGTTACAGTATGCTCGTTGCGCGTAATACATTCCACGTTTTCTGAGAAAGAAATTGAACTGGTCATTTTTTGATTCTTCGAAATCCTGTAAAAGGCTACGAGCTGAAGGCAGCCACCCTTGGAATGTTGGGGTTTAGAAGCAGGGGACATGACATATCCCACAGCGCAGGAAAACGTGTGAAATCGCCGAGGTCATCTGAAATGGGGCCAGTTGCATCAAGCCCGTTTAGCTTAAACGGTGGTTAAGTTAAAAAATAAAGCAAGTCTATTGTTTTATTCAAGAAGCAAACTAAATGTTTTTAACCTTAATACAAAGATACTGTTTACAACTACATATTCAGTGCATAATATTCAAGTTGACTCATTCAAGAGAGATGTAAGAGTGTTATTTAATTTCGACTTATCCACCGTTTAAGCTAAACGGGCTTGATACAACCGGACCCTGTTTTCAAAAATGGGAGTTTTAACTTTTAAGATGATCTCTGCTATTATTTTTAAGGCAAGTGTCAAAACAACATAACAATGTCGACAGAGCTTGATGACTTGGTGAACTTTCAATGTGAATGCGAGAAACCCTACTCTGGAGAATGCTGTGAAATCAGCCCGTGCGACAGCTTGCCCTGTTTCCCTGGCTTGAAATGCACCGTGACGGTTGATGGGTACACGTGTGAGAAATGCCCTTCGAGATTTGACGGTGACGGTGAAACGTGCAAGCTTCTTGGTACAGAAGGTTGGTAACGTTTTCGAATTAAAAAAACTAACCATTTTTCTTCGCGCAATGCAAGATCATGAACGTAATTCGTCAACTGTATTTCATCAGACACAGTGAAGGTGCAAGCTCAGTTCACCATAGTTTCTGGATTGACGTGGAACAACGATCTTTTGAACGAATCGTCGTTTATTTACAAGAAAACAACTGTTGAAATTGTCGAAGAGGTATATTAATATACGATGTCTGTCGCATCGATCAGTAATAAGAAGTAGCTTCTGCCAATAATAGGTTAAAAGTAGATATGTACGGCATTTTTAGATCATAAAGGTCTACGAAAATAGAAGTGAATTTGTGCTGGTGGTTGATCTAACATTTAAACACAGGTAGATAACTAATTTTTTTTTATATTATAGCGTAAATACACCAACACTTTATCTTGTTTATAATATCAAGCGTTTAAGCTTTATCGTTTTTGTAGATAAACAGTATAACTAAACTGATTAAGGAAGTAGTCACTGTCACTGAATTGTATGAGCTCAGTTAACTGACTATTTCAACTCTGACCCTTATAGCAGAGGCGATGTTCTGGTAGAATTTCAAATGGTATTGAGAAAAAAGATGGATGATCCGTTACTACCACTCAAAACTCAATTTCAACGGAACAAAAACAAAAGATTAGGAAGATTCAAAGTTGATCCGAACAGTTTGAAAGAAAAAGGTAATTTTGTTATAATGATAAATACGCATTAAAACAGCTATATCAGTTCTAAACTGTTCTTCCTTGAAGTACAGTGTCCATCTCTCATTGATCCAGTATTACTACAGGAGGAAACCTAAACTAAACTAACTTTATTTACACTGGATAGCTCTATCAGTTCTAAACTGTTCTTCCTAAAGGTCCAGTAGAGATCATCTCTTATTGATCCAGTATTACTACAGGAGGAAACCTAAACTAAACTAACTTTATTTATACTGGATAGCTCTATCAGTTCTAAACTGTTCTTCCTAAAGGTCCAGTAGGGATCATCTCTTATTGATCCAGTAGTACTACAGGAGGAAACCTAAACTAAACTAACTTTATTTATACTGGATAGCTTTATCAGTTCTAAACTGTTCTTCCTAGAGGTCCAGTAAGGATCATCTCTTATTGATCCAGTGTTATCACAGGAGGAAACCTAAACTAAACTAACTTTATTTATACTGGATAGCTCTATCAGTTCTAAACTGTTCTTCCTAGAGGTCCAGTAAGGATCATCTCTTATTGATATCAAGTGTTACTACAGAAGAAAACCTAAACTATAAACTAACTTTATTTATACTGGATAGCGATACGGATTCCAACGGTTGAAAATAATTCTTCTTTTAATTTTTTTCCGTGTTTTCCTGTAGACACAGTTGTAGAACCTATCGATGATGATAGACCGTATCTTGGTCTTAGCAAAACAGATTACATAATCGTCGTTTCTATGATATCCATAATATCGTTGGCGTTCTTGGTTTTGTGTTGTATTTGTATAAAAAGAAATCGTTTTAACATCGTCGTATTGTGTATGAATGGAAACGGAGACAATGATGTTGTCGTTACGAATCAAAATGCCAGAGAGAGTACGAATGCTGTTCCTCACAGAGGAAAGCGAGGGCGAAATCGAGTCAGGGATATTCCCCTTCAAAGCGTTGCAACCTCTTCAGGAGCCGCTAGTGTCTAGAAAAAAAGGTTGCTGGTTCTTTGGGTGTAAGAGCGACGAAAATTGGAAAAAAGGTTATCTGCTGGTTGGCTGTTCTGGCTCTCAAATTGTGTACAGCCAAGTGGTTGCTTACTCGAATGCAAATCACGAAAAAGTGGGTTTACAAACGTGGACGTCTTAAACGAATGTGTTGGTAATGGACAGACATTGTTGTTTTTGATATGAGCGCTCTTATCAGGAGCATAAAAACTGATTTTAAAATTTTACTTGTAATATGTTGTATAACGTTACGGTGACAAAACGTAAAGAGGTGTGGAGCCATTTCACAACAACTCTTATACATAAGTGAGATTAGAGTCGTTTTAAAAGGTTGGGTTTATTTATTTACAATGGACATGAGTTGATTGAAAATCCTCTGTTATTTTAACTTGTTGGATGTCAATCTTGCAAATCAAGCGGCTGAAAATATAAATGAAAAAGCTTTGAGAAAAAGCCTTCAAAGTATAGAAAACTACGAAGGTCTTTTGTATATAAACTGTGTTTCTACTAACGTTACAATATTTTAGGTAGGTACCTTGCGAGATGGTAGTGAAAATCGGTTTAGTTTGCGTCTGCCAGTAATTTCCTGTGGTCATCCTGTTCGGTAATTCTTACTGCTTCCCTGTCAATATACTCAAACCTGTTTTATAAAACGAAAAACTAACAAAACGATACCATGTTATGATTGTAAGGTGATAGAAAATACTTATATACAACTACCAATGTTACTTACAACACGAAAGCCATTTAAACATTTGATGAATTCGAAAATACAATGTTGACATGTCACGAAGTTTATGAACAAATAACCGTGACATTTGGCTTCTCGTGAATTCAATGGTAACTTTAACAAAGCATAAAGTGTTTCCATTTTTCATCGAGGAATTCATATATTTTCTATGAGTTAATCAAGCACATTGTTTAATTAATCCATAGGTTTTCACAATATGATCATTAGACTTTCTAAGATCATATTTTGTTTTGGTCGTGGATGATTCACAGAACGCTTTGACACTGTCTTCAATGTCAGGCATTCTGAGAACAATAATTTTGCGAGATTTTATCATTTTATATCTGTCGAGATTTTGCAGAATGCTGAGCTGATATGACCGGGAGACGTAATAAGAAGAGATGAAGGAAAGCTGGTCAGAGATATTATGAAATGAAGAGATCAGAAGAAGATGTGAAGTGGTAGACATTGCAGAGAAGATGAGGGAAGCAAGGTTGAGATGATACGAACACGTAATAAGAAGAGATGAAGGAGAGTTGGTCAGAGATATTATGAAATGAAGAGATCAGAAGAAGATGTGAAGTGGTAGACATTGCAGAGAAGATGAGGGAAGCAAGGTTGAGATGATACGAACACGTAATAAGAAGAGATGAAGGAGAGTTGGTCAGAGATATTATGAAATGAAGAGATCAGAAGAAGATGTGAAGTGGTAGACATTGCAGAGAAGATGAGGAAAGCAAGGTTGAGATGATATGGACACGTGATAAGAAGAGATGAAGGAGAGTTGGTCAGAGATATTATGAAATGAAGAGATCAGAAGAAGATGTGAGGTGGTGGACATTGCAGAGAAGATGAGGGAAGCAAGGTTGAGTTGATATGGACACGTAATAAGAAGAGATAACGAAGAGCTGGTCGGAGATAAAAGTGGCAGATCTGGTGCTATTTTTTCAGAAATAACGAATTTTTCAACCTGTGCAGACGAGTTTTCCATCTCCGTCATATCCTGACAAGCATTTACAAGAAAATGATCCGGTGTCGTTGCTGCAAGTTGCGTTAGGATGGCACTTTCCGACAGTTTGAACACATTCATTGAAGTCTAAACAGGTAATTGTAACCTGGAGATTAGTATGAAAAACAGGTCATCCAAAGGCCCCTCCCCCCCCTCCAAGGAAACAAAAACTGCTAAAAAGTGAGAAACCTTACCTGGAGGTAATGTTGTCGTGGGAAGTAATGTTGTCGTAGAAGGTAATGTTGTCACGGGAGGTAATGTTGTCTTGGGGGAAATGGTAGGTTTATAGTTTGAAGCTACAAGGAATAGGATGAAATACTAATTAGAAATGTTTGGTGAGCGAATGAGAAACGTTTCTGTTTTGGAATATGGGGAGGGGGGGAAGGCTAACATAAGAAATCCCCGCGCGGTCGAAAATGTTGAGGTTGGTACTAGACAAACTGCGCCATCATATTCATCCTCGTACCCGGGTCTCACCGCGTACGCGGAAATAGAAAAAGATGAAAACATCAGTAACAACATGATACATGATTCACATCGTCACGAAATTAGGTTCAACCACTTAGCAATCATGTGGTTTCACAGCTATTTAAATATACATTTTGTTTAATTATTTTAAAATACTATGGTTTCGTCATAACCTCAAGTCCAAAACCACGAAGCAGCCGAAGATTATATCGCAAAGACGTAATCTGGTGTCGTGTATAAACCAGGGTTAAAAAAAGTTCAAAAATCTCATTCTTACCAACGCAATAGGCCAGGTAACACTGTTTTGGAGGCTTCAATTGGTACACATAAAACCCACTGCAGTTTAGGACCTTAATTTCATAGGACTTAGCACAGCCGAGTGGGGCAGCGTAAGGTAAATACGCGCAAGCTTTTCTCAACACTACCCCTTCAGCTGCGGTTGGATGGCTCCCGTTCATCCATATCGGAGAAAAGGTCCCACATCTACTGAGGGGAGGTTTTGTTGTTGCCAATTGATCACCGACAATGGCGCTCGTATTGATCTTGAAGCGATACCATGTCGATTCGTCAATCGCATTTCGGTCGCACAGTAATCCATCTTCAGGTTTTGCCATGTTGGTTATACTCCGTCGACTGTCATTGATTACTGTGTAGTTGTGACTATTGCATTTATCCCGACCACTGCCATAATTATTCGACGTAAAAAAGACGAAATATAGGGCAAGATTAGGCACGAACCTGCCATACATGATTGAAATATATACAACAAACGGGAAATGAGAAAAACTAAGGTATTTTAATTGGTATTTTAATCCGGTTGCAAACAATGACGCTGACATATGATTCTCTAAAACGCGCATTTGATATATCCTCGATATATCCGTCAGTTAAAAATCTGCGCAAGTCAATAATGAGCTTTCATGATAGCTCACACAATCTCTGGTGTTCGTCCAAACGTCGGTCAGGCTGTTTTCAAGACCTTAAGACCTGTTTTCACTTGCAATTTTGCTGCGATTTTAATGTGCGATTTTCTTCTTTTGATAGATGTGAACGAGTGAATTAGTTACGAATGCACTGATTAATAAGAGCTCTTATTTGAACATCAGTACATCAGTAACTAATTCACTCGTTCACATCTATCAAAAGAAGAAGAAAATCGCACAAAAAATTGCAAGTGTGACGGGTCTTTAGTCATCCAGCATCGACTCGTTTCCCACCATACCTTGACTGCAGCAGCTTTTTTGAAATTTACCAGCACAATCTGCAGAGGCCTGCGTTAATAACCCCCCCCGTGTGAACCAGTGAACTCACCCCCGGTCAATATCCTTGAACTCACCCCCGGTCACCGTCATCTTCCCCCGGAAATTCCAAGCTTTGTTATAACTTCCGGTTCGGAGACGTGTGACGATCTTGTATTACAAGGAACGATAAGGAACAACCGCTTGCAAGTTTTCGACGAATTCATACAAATCCGTTCAAAATTACGGCCTTGTCGTAGGAAATCGGAGCAGACTATTGTCCTTGGAAGGTATGGGATTGTTTATTTGGTCCTAAAAGTCCGTTTTGCTCCCTAAAATACGAGATGTTTCGGGACATTTTCCTTCCCTAAGCTTCTTTCGAAACACGGACGTTTTTTAATATACATAATTTAATATATTTGCAAGTCATGTTGTAGCACATAAAGCTATCATACGAATGCCTCGTGATGCAGTTTGTGGCTTATTTAGTTTCTAACGTACAAATCCTCTCACTACAACACGCTTTTCAGTTTGCAAGTTTCGAGCGTCACAATCCCATGACAGCTGTTCTATTTTCATATCGTTTGGAAAAATGACATAATTTAATATATTACATAGTTTTGGTAGGAAAAAAGGCACGTGATGTTTTGTTTAATATGGTGTAAAATATACCATAAGTTCATGATTGATCAAGCATAGAATTTGATAAGCATTTGCTTAGGATGGAAGAACTTTAGTTCATAGTCATCTATGAGCTCTATATTGAGGTTACAGTACCAAAAGGAAAATTTAATTATGTGCTAATGTGTTTTTCCATAGGTTGCTATTAGTAGAGAACTTACAGTTGTCAGCTGAAATTATATTATTATGTAATTATGCAAGGCGTAAAAAACAGCTGTTAAGAAAGAAAGTTTAAGGTCTTTTAAAACAAGGTGTTTTGAAAGCTGCTGTAATATCATTCATCAACAAATACCACAATTGTACTCAATTATAAATTTTATGATGAAAAGGAAGTAATCCCTCTATTATATAGATCAGCATAATGTCTAGAGGAGAATTTGGTAGTCGAAGACCTCGTGATCAAGGTACACACTGTTGCTAACAACAATTCTGAGCTACCCTTGAAATATTACTGTGTACTTCAGACGTAATTCCAACTAAAAAAAAACTACCAATTCTAGGTTAACTTCTTATTTTCTTTTATAATAGATGATTTTGGAGGCGGATCAGAATATGATCGCTTGTATAAACAGGTTGGGAATAATGTTCAACAAATCAACAATAATGGTAAGAATCCAATTATCCAAATCATATTATTGATACCTAATAGCTCTATAAGTTTGAATCCAAACCTTTGCATCAATTGCATGTTCATTAAATGTTCCCTGACGTCTAAATATTTGTATATTTGTCTCGTTAAAAAGCATTACCAATAACAGAGTTAAGTTTTAACCCATTAACATAGAAATGCAACCTGATGTTGCCTGCTTTGGTTGTATCACTCTGTCTAATGGCTAATACCAGGTGATTTTACTCATCAGTTGAAAAGGGTGCAGCCAGTTAATGAGTTAATACTAAACTTACTTTTAGTCAATGTTATGCAAAAGATGGTGAAGAAACTTGGGACAACCGAAGATGCAATGCAAGTTCAAGACAGGCTGTAAGGAAGCCAAGAGTTTGAAGGGTCTTAAGTTTGCTGAGCGTTCATAACTTACCCCACATTCACATTGATCAAAATTGAGAAATAACAAATTCACTTTGTTTGCATATTTCAGACAGCAAACAGAGAAAACAACAAAATCCCTTGCCGGGGAAACCAACTCCATGCTAAAACAGCTGGCATTTTTAGAATCAGATGATCCGAGTGAACAGGTACCATACCAATATTATTGTATTAGTACTACGCCACTTCTCAATTCTACTATTGTAGGATGTATCCCTGTGCTCTTCATGTTCACAGCAGTAGACAATTCAGGTCAGGGGGGAGGGAAGGTGGAGGCAGGGGGGAGTGGTCAGGGGGGGGTGAATGGGAGACACTCTTCCCTCTAATAAATTTTTTCCAACATTGCTTGTTTATCATTTTAGAAACAGAGAAAGGTTCAAGTGGGTAGACTAAGGGATAATTTTATGAGTGCGCTCAATAACTTCCAAAGTATTCAAAGAGAAGCGGCCGAACGAGAACGGGCGTGTGTTTCACGTGCAAGAGCAGCGTCCAATATGGAGAACCAGGGCAATGTAATGTCGCTATTTCATTTGTATACAATATATCAGCCTAGTATCCCAAGAAATAGTCCACCAAGATCCCATCTTACAACATCCAGCGAGGAAACATGACCTGCGCGGGGCTGGACACGTTAAAGAGGGATTTCAATTTCAAAAAATGAAAAATTTTCTCTAAACATGTTGCATAGAAAACATCACTTGGTCACCAACATCCCTCATGTCCTTTAGATCTTCTTGTAGTTTTTATCCAGGTGGATAAAAACATTCTTATTTTTACATTTAGTTTGGCCCGTCAGATTCCAAAGGAATTTCATACGATAAGTAAGTAATGTCTTGGAGAATGTCTTTCAGAACGATAAGTAATGTCTTTGCGTGAGAAATGAAAAGAGAAAAATATATTATTTTGTTAGGAGGTATCTATTAAAACTGTGACACATTTTAGTCGTAACTGCCTGCTGAAATAATCAATCTGTTGACCCTCTTTGAACAGCGAGATTATTTAATACACTCGGAGGGTATTCTATCTGCAAACATATCCCACAGACGATGTTCGAGATTTATGTTCAATATTGTCGACTAATCCAGTTCACTAACGTCTAGGGATGTGGTTTGGGTTTTTTGTAGACATTCTGAAACTCTTTTCTTAGCAGGGATCAATCAACGAACATTCAAATACAACAGGAAGATGAGGTGGCGGTCGAGTTGATCGAAGAAAGGGAACGAGCCATCAGGCAACTCGAGGTAAGTCAGAATCGTAGACATTCCCGGCTCCCAAAAAGAGAACAAAAAATCAGGGTTGTGGAGAGTAGGATTTATAGGAAGCCGTTCAATCACGTCGCCGAATACAAAGTCTAAATGGCTAACTTTAAATTCACAAAATATACACTCGAGTTCCAGTACGTATATGGGATATCCTAGCTTCCTGTATTTGAAGATTACCTACTCCACAAAAATTTAATCCACATGCATTACCAGAGGCAGAGCCGGCCCTAGACGCGGTAAGGATGCATGAACGTTCATCATTTATTTACTTTGACACACCGTAGATACCAACAATCGCTTTCGAATGAAATCAGTCGTGCACAAGAGGAATAAATGAAAATACTCTACCCTTCCTTAAATTGACCTGTCCAGGTCCGGCTTTGGAGAATAGACGGAAAAATTGAAAGTCAATAGCCGAATTCATATTATATAGAGACGGGAAACTCGTCTAACAGACAGGTTTCGCGTCCAAATTTTCCCGTCTAACTTTCCCGTCTAAACAGACGGGTAAGTTGGACGGGAATCCCGTCTGGACGAGAAACTCGTCTTAAAATCGCATTTAGACGAATAAATCAGACGAGTTTCTGAAATATCAACACGGGCAAGGACGGAACAAAGCTATAAACAAATGATCATCGTAATAATTACTTACCCGACCCATCACACGTATAAATTTATCCATTCCTATTCATATTTAGACGGGCTTTTACCATCAACTTTCCCGTCTAAGACGAGTTTCCCGTCTCTATAATGTGAATTCAGCTAATATTTATGTCTTCATTATAATCATAATGGCTACATACTTTTATTTTTACTTTTTGAATTTCTATATGCAAGAGTTTGAATTTTGAGGAATAGGAAATATTTATGTTATTGCATTATCTACAGCAGATTTCTGTCAATATTTTCCACAGAGTGATATCATGGACGTGAACGAAATATTTCGAGATTTAGGCACGATGATACACGAACAGGGAGAAATTGTAGGTAAGGAAAAATAGCTGGATTCCACTTGTGGTTTTACAGGCTACGTTTACACGAGACTGGGCGGATTAGGGACAGGCAGATATTTGTCCTTTTCAGCCACGGAACCCTTCAAATTTTAGTTTCCGGTTTGACTACTGCGAGCACGATATTCGTGATTTTTCCCGCCAATACGCGTTGTTATGCCACGTCATCTCGTCCTCGCGGCAAAAAGTCGTAACCGTCGCACAATTTAGCACGACTATTTTGACGAATCTCGTAAAGGAATACCACTACGTGTACGACTGCGAGTAAAGTACTTCAATGACGAGAACTGCATTTTTCATTTTCCCGCTAAACTCAGTGCTGTTTGCTTACGCCATATGACGAAACTCGTAGCGGTTCGCGGGCTTTTCACTACGAAATTGACCAACAAACGGGAAACGTAAAAGTCCAGCAACTACGAGTTTCGTCAGATGGCGTGAGCAGCACCGAGTTTGGCGGGAAAATGACCAATCTCGTACTCATAGTCACAGTCTTTAACGGATAATGCCCCCCAATGCACTAAATTGTACATAATTGTCCGAAAGGAGACGTTGTTATCCCTCATGTCAAGGAGTACTGCCAGTTAATGAGTTATTAATATGACTTTAATCGATGTTAATGCAATATTTTAGATAATATCGAGTCGCACGTTGAGAGTGCTGGTTCTCATGTCGAAGATGCTAATGTACAATTGGCAAAAGCTAGTGAATACCAAGTAAGTGGTACTCGTTTAGTTTAATTCTTGCTGTAAGGATAATTTCTTATTGTTCCAGTGTTATTACAGGAGGAAACCTACAACTAAACCAACTTTATTTATACTGGATAACTCTATCAGTTCTAAACTGTTCTTCCTAGAGGTCCAGTAAGGATCATTTCTTATTGATCCAGTGTTACTACAGGAGGAAACCTAAACTAAACTAACTTTATTTATACTGGATAGTTCTATCAGTTCTAAACCGTTCTTCCTAGAGATCCAATAAGGATCATCTCTTATTGATCCAGTGTTACTACAGGAGGAAACCTAAACTAAACTAACTTTATTTATACTGGATAGTTCTATCAGTTCTAAACTGTTCTTCCTAGAGATCCAGTAAGGATCATCTCTTATTGATCCAGTGTTACTACAGGAGGAAACCTGAACTAAACTAACTTTATTTATACTGGATAGTTCTATCAGTTCTAAACTGTTCTTCCTAGAGGTCCAGTAAGGATCATCTCGTATTGATCCAGTGTTACTACAGGAGGAAACCTAAACTAAACAAATGTAACTTACAACACTGGATCAATTCTAAACCGTTCTTCGTTGAGATCCTGGAGGATTTGCCTTTTTTCAATCTTTTATTCTAGAAAGCATCGCGGAGGAAAATGTGTTGCCTGTTAGTCATTTTGCTAGTGGTTGGCGGAATAATCGGGATAATAATATGGCAAACGACCAAGTAGTTCATCTGCATGGTTTCCAACATCGGTCTCCTCAAGTGCGGTATATCTCTTCTTTATTTTTTGACAAACGAATGCAATTTTGTTGTATATACTAGCTGAAAAATCTGCACCCAGTGGTGTTTACAGATGAACATGTAGAATGCAGCATATAGGTTATAGAAATTTATATAATAGGAGAAAAATAATAGTTGATTGAGAGGAACTAACCCATACAAAATACCAAGGTATTTTAGAACTATAAAGCACGTTAATCACCCGTTCCGAAGATCACTCAATTTACACAACTCGTATTAGATTACAGGGAATTTATCAATCAATTCGCCAGTCAGAACGACCCCGATTCGTCAACGCGATATTTCAAAATCGACGACCTGCACGCCGAATCTATCTTTTTATATTACTCTGCATTGCACCTTTTGACTTGTCTGGATTGCACGACTTCCCAAATATCTTACCCACCTCTGTTAACCCTTAAAAATTACAAAAAATCGCTCCCTATTGTCATATTGACTTCGATATATGTAACTCCTTTGCTATAGGACCTATTATAGACTTTAGAAAAATACTATTGCATGATTATGTGACAGAAATATGAATTTAAATATAAACTTCTTTCATCCATATATATTTTAATACATGCGCTGCAATTCACATTTGTCACGAGAGATACATGTGTGTGTTTTCTGTTCCGCAAAATAGACCTTATGCATAATGACGTAGCAAACCATGAAACCTGCAGGGAATTCTGGTCCTAGTAGTCACGGCGGGTAATTTTGAAGTTTGAATTTTTCGCCTGCAGGCGTCACGGCTTGATACGTCATGATGCGTAAGGTCTATTCTCGTTACTGATTGGTCGGAACGAGTCGGATGATACTCGTTATTTGGCTGCTGACGTCAACGGCAAAAACTGTTATCTCAAGCCAGGCTCAAGCTCAGCTTACATTCAAAAAACGCGCGAAAATTTGATATTTTTTAGAGCGTGGAAAAATAAGGCTTGATTGGCTTCAAAAACACTAAAAACTTCCTCACTTGACGTCGTGTAGGTTTTGTCTCGCTTTCGTCCCACAATTTGGATAATTATATATTTATTATAACATTTTTATTGAAGTCAATATCATTATGAAATAGTTGTTTAATATTTGCTCAACCATCACTAAATCCGAGTCCATTATTTGAAATTCTTCGACTCTTTACTGGCCTTCGGGAATTTCGCTTAATGCACCGGCGAGTGGTTGAACAACGAATGTAAACGTTACGATACTACTTCTAGAATAATCGTAGATTATATAATGAACTTGCGTATTAGCATTTAGATTAATTATTATACAAATGTAACGAGTTGACGAATTATAATCATGTTAATTCTTAAGTCGTATTGTTCAAATGTGACACGATATTGCTTCTTGTATTTTGGCTGTCTGTTGGAGAAAAAATAATGGAAATTTAATATCTGCTGCTTCGAAATTCAAATACATCGCTAAACTCGAAAAGTGAGTGTATTTTTTTACGTATAAACCATGTTATTACACTGCATGGACGCTTTTTTTTCTGTTCTTAAACCAAAACTAAATCAACATTATTTAATTATTCTGCATGGATAGTTCTATCAGTTCTAAACTTCTTAGAGCCCCAGTAAGGATTATCTCTTGTTGATCCAGTGTTACTACAGGAGGAAACCTAAACTAAACTAACTTTATTTATACTGGATAGCTCTATCAGTTCTAAACTGTTTTTCCTAGAGGTCCAGTAAGGATCGTCTCTTATTGATCCAGTGTTACTACAGGAGGAAACCTAAACTAAACGAACTTTATTTATACTGGATAGCTCTATCAGTTCTAAACTGTTTTTCCTAGAGGTCCAGTAAGAATCATCTCTTATTGATCCAGTGTTGCTACAGGAGGAAACCTAAACTAAACGAACTTTATTTATACTGGATAGCTCTATCAGTTCTAAACTGTTTTTCCTAGAGGTCCAGTAAGAATCATCTCGCATTGATCCAATATTATTGAAATAGAGACATCTTTATTGTTTCGCGCGGAAAGGACTGGTGTGGATTTTAATTCCAATTTTAATTTCGGTGAGATACGATGCCCTAATACAAATAACCTGTCGTTGCATGCTCGATCTTGTGGCGTCATAATATATAGAACATGATTACCACCTGTAAAATGTACAATCGCGCCAAACAAGTTTTGGCTTGAAATTTTAACCACACAAATTTTGAAATTCGTACAAGATCTAATAGTCATCTTTTTGCATAACTGCGTAAATTTCAAGTATTTTTTAACTTCAACAAAACAAAAGTTAGTTTAAACAGCTGCCGCATTATTAAACGTCAATTTTAGTGGCGTAGATTACGACTGAATAATTTATCGCATTGTAATTTTACGAATTGCTTTTCGATGCCGGGAAACCTGGCGTTTTCTTGACTTAACCTTGTCTAGTTTAGGCCCGACGAAGGATTTGTTGTCAAGAGAATTGTTTGCGACAGTCAAAGTGCCCAATTTCATGATAAACGACAAAGTTTATCCGTATATTATACCTTGAAATCGATTCGGGGCAATTTGCATGAGGAAATAAGAATATTAATGATAATTGTTGTATTTCCATGTTGTCATGGTGTTTCTGGCATTGCAATTCATTTTCTTCGGAGCACTTCCTATGCTAATCAGTTAATACTTTATTCCTCTTGTGTTTGCCGGAGTTAAGGTCCAAATCGACAAGTTAAGCTTCAACTTCAATTAAAGCGACCCTATAATTTACAACAGTTTCATTTTTAGCAACGGCACTTGTGCACCTCTCGAAAGATGTAATTGCAAAGGGAAACCTTCATAAGATGGTGAGTTTTTAACCGTTGAAATAAACGTATTGCATGCATTCGTGGTTGGATAATTACCCTTATGTATGTCTCAGTATTATGACGCTTTGCCTATTGCTGAACACAACACAGATCGTTGTTTTTCGCCAATGTTTTCATTAATTGCTATTCATGCTCTAAGACAATTTCGCCCAATTTTGCCGGTTATATTTCTGCAGTCTCGGAGATGAATTCGTGTGTATAAATGCTCGCTTGTCGCCCACGAATTTTTCGGATTTAAGTCACTTTATTTTGTCGTGTAGCATATCAACTGGAGCGTGCCTATCTTGCATGCGAGGTTCTTCCTTAAGCATTACAACATAATAAACACAGACATAATCCCTTAGTTTGTTTAGGGAGAGCCTAAAGTATAATATCTCCCACATTACAACCTGCACTATACAATATTTCTTCGCCTAATTCATTCCTTTTGCGGTCGACCTTAAAAATATCCTTAAAACTCCAAACCCAAATGTGTCAATTTTTGGTCAGTTTTAAACATGTCTTGATCTCAAGCATTGCCTAATATATATATATAACCGCTATTTTCTCAAGTATTTCCGGATATTGTCCGTCGCGCTATACGGTGCAAAAATACACGGACATGCTACGACATATCTATATTTACATTTTTGGGTTTCAGCACACTGGGGTCTGTATCACATACAAAGATGTAAGAGAAGTCTGCGCGTCAGCGTATTGACTTATTGTGTTTGTGAATGTGTTTCTTCGTGAATACTAGCCAAATATCGCCAACATAGTTCACAATTTCGACTCCAACTTGGCTGGATACTTTCAAAAAACTTCTATAAAAGAGTTACAACCGCGTCATGGGCAGAGTGGCTCTCTTTCTTAATCACTCTACCCTTTCTTTTAAGTTTTAACCATCGTTCAAGCTACCACGGCTAAGGGTTTCAAGTGGAATAAAAATGATTTAGTGCACGCATCTGCATATTTGATCTGTAAGATCTCCCTCTTTTTTACTCCTTGGCAAATGGCAATGACTTTTTCATGCGATTTTTGTTTGATGATAACAAAAATGTGGTGAGCATGCAAGTCTATACATTTTTACCCTATTGCATTGTAAAAATCAAGAATCTTAAGTGGCCGAAATTTAAATGACGTGAACGACATGAAAACTTTAACAGGCAAAGAGAAATTCAAACGGAACCTCAGCCCCTCAATTTTGCTTTCTTGAAAGATATTTAACGGTAAATTTGACTACATCCATGATGTTTTCTGATCGTTCGTCGCATTTTTAAACATTTCCATTTACATTATTCGTATTACACAACTTAAAATATAGAGCACAAAGCTGGGTTGATATTATATCACCTGGAAGTGAAAAGTGAAAAGTCCTGTTAGTGTTAGATATTTGGAAATCTAGTTTAGCAAGGTGCGAAGTTTCGGCCATGCAGCTGCGGACATTATAACCTTAAAATATAACTCGACTTTGGTGATAATGCTTTCTGAAATGCAAGAAACTAAAGTTTGTTTTGAGATCTTTTAACGATAATGCATGTATACAAAACTGAAATTGGTATTTGCGCAGCCACAGTGTGTAAAAAAAAACCTTAACAGTTCAAAATTTAATAAAATGTAGGCCAAAAGTTTACTCCGAAGACGAAGTACAGCATTTAAAAATCTCAAGATTTAACAAAAGTCAAAACAACAAATTTACCAATCGGATGTTGCAAGTTTACGTGATATTTTAAAATTATTGCCTTTATGAGCATAAATAAAGCATTCTTTTTTAACAATGACTTTGAAATAGACTCGAAATATCACGTAAGCTTGTTGTCTAATTGCATGGCTCGAATCTTGGCTTCCGGCAAGATGTTTCTTAATTCTTTTCATATCAGATTGCGTATAGTTTTCGGTCAGACAGATGGCGCCATTTACAAGATGAAAAAACGTATTTATATCTGAGACAATATCGGCTGAGAAAGGTACATAAGAGGAAAAGAATGAGGAGTTTTCATTTACAAGTATGTTTACTTTTGTAATGACTATGTTTGACTTTGAGCCTATGCCGTGTACTGCCGGGGTTTACTGGATACCTAACCACGTAAAAAACGCTTTATGGTCAACTTTGTGGACTCACCACAGCTTTATGCCTCGAGGAAGTATGGCTGTATGGACATTTCGTTAAATTGCATATACTTGACTCCGAACAAAGATCAATATTTTTTAATGAATATTTAAGTTGACCTGATGAATTTATTTCCTGATTTGGATCACCAAACACTAAGCCTGCCACGTGACTAGAACCCAGCTTTAACATGGTGCGCTGGCGGAAATTTCTGCCATAAAAAAGAGCTACAAAATCACTCACATTTAAAAGTTTTAGTAAATGGGCAGTTTGGATGAACTATCGTTTAAACACGCAGGTCCAACTTAGCTAAGTTTCTCCCACTCGTGCAGGCTCATAATGTCAGCGGACAACTTACACAAAATTGAGAGCAAGGCGTAAAACGAAAAGCTTTTAATTTTTCACGCGAAGACCGCTGAAAAACTGAGCCCTCTTTACCGGGAGAAAATTTGCCGAATATGACCAACGTGAAATCCTTCTTGGGGTGGGCCTATTTTATCGAGTATGTTTTGTGAAAGCGAAAAAATAATTAGTTTGTTTATACCAAGACTCAATTTGACCAAGACTTAGCAGTCTCGTACCCAGGCGCTTTGGTAATAAAATATACAACGTTTCATTCAGCTATTCTATAGAAGTCAGCTGAAAAGCGAGCGCCCAACCTAAGCGCCCCCTCGCGCGCGCTCAAGTTTTCTCAGCTGAACTCTATACAACAGCTGAATGCAACGTTATATGTTTTTCAACTAAAGCGCCTGCGTACACGAGGTTGAACCGTTGAAGATTTAGGGCTGTTCTTGCCTGCATTGGTGTTAAGAATTTGGACTAGATTTTATACCAAGTGAACGTTTTCAACGCATAATTTTGAGAGAGAATTCGAAATTCAGAGCTGAAATTTCACTATACGAATCAGCGGAAATAAAACCTATCGTGCATGCCAAAAAGGAAATTCTGTTGTTTTGTATCCGGTAAATTAAAAACTGACTTAAAAGCTTAATTACAGCGCATTTATTTTTAATTATATTTATACATATTTTCGATTTATAGAAAAAAGACTTCATATCGGGCTATCGTCACTATAGTATAACACTTGATAAACTGACCTTACAGTTCTTGAGAAAAGATGCCTTAAAATTGTTTTGATAACTCGAAATGCCGGTAATAGATAAACCTATAGTCAACAATGAAAAAAGGTCACTGAAACGATATATTGATATCCATTTATTTTTTGTGTATGATTATTTAATGAATATTTAAGAGCATTGTTTTGTTGTGTCGTTTAGCGCATGCTAAAGTTCATTTTCTTTCATTTTGCATATTGGTTTCAAGGCCTATAGGCAATCTCGTTCCAAATATGACGAATAACATTTGACAATTAAGTCTAAGAAGACAAACCAGCAAGCGATATGATGCAAAGTATTAAAAATTGCAGTCTCTGATTTTACCCAAAGGCCAAAGAAGCCAAGAGATTAAGAGAATCTAGTTTCCAGGACGCTTTTTATCCTGACTGCGAAGAAACCATGGTAACAGTGACGTTTACATTGGGTTCATCTGGGCCTGAAAATATTTAAACACAGTATAAAATCCTCCACAAAAGTAGAGCACTTAGGACAGTTTGGGTTAGAGCCTCCGGCGTTCTCTCCCGATGACTACAATGGGCTTTTCCTGTTGCCAAATGTAAAAAAAAAACTAGGTTTCGTGTAGTCAAAATGCCGTATTAATCGCGCAACGATTCATTTGGAAAAATCACTTTTCCAAAGCGAGCGAACAGAGCAATAATATATACATATCGCATCACATCGCATACGACAGATGGCGAAGCTGTTACCATGGTGACATTCATATTAATCTCGTCTTAACGAGCGATCGTCGACAACGGATATGTAATAAGCATTTTGAAATGACATCTTTCCCACAATTTCATTTTATCCGTCATCCTATCGGAACTGAAAGGAACCGTACGTGATTTTGAACGAACTTCAAGTAAATCTCAGTTTTCCTCGTTCACGAAAGTGGTTTTGAGGCGACATGGCTTTGGAAGCAACGGTTAGACTTTCTCATTTAATTTCATATCATGAATTTCCATATTTTCTAAGGTAGTTTATATTAGACTGTCTGTGGATAGGAACACTGAAGACATCAGAACGTCTTGAGAGTTTTTGTCTTTTTTAAACGATTGACCAAAATGATTTAGTATATTTCGTTTGTATTACCAGGCATCAGTATGACTTAATTTTCGACTTGAGTTCCGCTCGTGAGATTTCAACTTTCCCAGGCGAATTGTAGCATAGACAAATACTATCAAAACTAACCCATTAGTTCCCTGCTTGTAAAATATTTGTAATTACCAACGATTTTGCATTTGTATAGTTTCTCCCCTGAATGACCTCTGTACAAGAGTTCTTGAACCTGAAATGGCTCTAAATTGCAAATTACAACCCATCTTCCCATTATAATGCATTTCGAAATCAAGCTTTCAATTTCGATGACGCCGAGATTCGTTTGGTTTGCATTGAAGTTTCAAGTCACGTTTATACAAAAGACTGTTTGTTCACACGGGGTTTGTTTGTATGCGTTTCAGTTGTGGGAAACGATAGGCAAGTTCATCTAGCTTTTTCATCATATATGCGTTTCTCAAGGCTTATAGAAAGATTGAAGATTTCTAATGCGTGGGCAGCGATCCGAACTCTTCTGATTTTTTAATCTATTCCCTGGCGGAACAAATTCAGCTGTTGTGCATACAAGATGTATATATTTAAGTCGACACTCGCTGATGCTCGAACGCCGGGTGTCCCAAAATAAAATTTTGAACGGTTTTGATTTTGTGTTAACGCGTTCAAACCCTCCCAGCGAGGATTCTCGGGGAATGAATCGACTCAGCTGGCTCTTCTGGCGTTTGTCTCGAAATGCTCAACCATTTTGCACGATATGCCGGCGTATTATATAGATTAAACAAGGTTTTCATATTAAAATGATTTCGCAGAGCAATATCCTAGTTATAAATCTAATTCGCTTCCAACACGCCGCGTTTTTCTACAGCTAAATAGTTCAAAATCTATTTAGCAAACTCCATTTTGCGCCGTTGTTACATCACGAGCAAAAATATCCGCCAAGAATACACTGTATCGGATTCTACATCAGCCAAAGCGGTTCGCCATAATCATAGGCATAACGATAATGAAAGCGTGTTTTTAAAAATTTATAACTTTATCGTGATCCAAAGCAGAATCACCGAAGGTGATCTAAATTAATGAAGAAGAAATATGTTTTTTTGGTCTTTGTTATCTGATAATTTTGAGCTATGCCTATCGCGAACATATACCTTTACAAATCAAGCGCTTTTGAAATGCTATATATACGAATTATATTTTATATAGGTGATTGAAATCCAGTTCTATTTATTCAAGTTTAACTGTTTCAAACATTCATGAAAGAAATTGTGGTTTTGTGCGCGGTATGAACCAGGTCTATACTCATATGGAACCATATATAATGTATAATATACCATGTATAAATTTAACACAGGTTTCAATATTTTCGGGTTAAGCCACCGGCGCGAAAGTGTTCTTCGAAAGTGTTCTTTTTCTAAAGTATCGCTGTGTTTATATAGTTTCATTGCCTCGTTTGAAAACATTTTTACAACGGTCGAAAGCCCCTATCTGTTGATTAGCGCTATGCCCAGCCTCTGTTCAGCCACCGGTTACAACCGCAGAACAGCGTCAAATAGTTTAAAAACTAAAAGAAAACCGGCTCCGTCTCACAGTGAAACTATATTTTCTTCATTTTTAGCCGATGGGCTCCCAGCATTCAAGAGTAAATCCCGTCGTGAACAACGACACAGTTGCCGACCCACAAGCGTTTTCCTCTTGTTGCTCAAGGTCTGTATATAACGTCCTTTGTAATCATATCTAACCCTGATTCACGAATTCTCGGCGGCAGTACACTCCACGAACGAACAAAAGGCGCAATTAATTTAGTCTGATATACACACACACACGGCAGTAATAATGATAATCATTTCATATTGTTTTATTCTTTGTTGTAAAGCCGCTTGCAATGATATTAGAAGATTTGCGAAATAAATGCCGGTGATTAAAAGACGAGACATTAATAATGAAAGCAGTATATTGCTTTTTGTTGTTCTCTCAGCTCGTAAATTTTATCAAACTTTATTTTGGAACGCGCTCGTGACTCTAAGGAGGCTGGGACGAGAATTGGGCTCCAATCTCTTTCTTTCGTTTCGGCTGCGCGGTTCAGAAGAAGCAATAAAATTTTCACGATAGAATCTTGCGTGTTTTCATAAAAACTGACTCGTATCCAAAATACTCTACCTATGACGGCTAGGAAATTATGATTCATGGCTGTTCATGGCGGTTCAACGGCTCAACCATCATTTTAACTTGCGGTTGTAGGTTATAAAACATTACTATGCTTGGAAACCAAACGTGATTGACAAGCATTCACGAGCAGACATTTTGCGGTTCACGTTTAAAAAATTTATGAATTATGACATTGAGGAGTTAAAGTGTATAGTATGACACGTAAAGTATCCCTTGCTAACGTGGGCGATATGCCTTGCGTTGTCAACACACGTTATGCCGTAACCAACATTTGTCGTGATGAAAATCAGAAAATAGTTCAGCTTTTCCGGAATACAAACCCTTCTGACCCTTCGAGCGAAGCGCTGAGAAGTTTTCGTAGGTAACTTAGGCCATTGCTGAACTTATTTCGTCAAAAGATATTTGAGCTTACATGCAGAAATATTCTTAATGTGTCAAGAAAATTTTCATGTCAGGCATTTTGATTTCTGAATCAGCATGTGCGCTGTGGAGAGGTAATTGGGCGGATGTGAATCTTATTAAGACACGACTGGTGTCCGCTTGGCCTCGCGGTTTTAATACTCGCGTGATCAATTAGATGTTTCATAATCAAATGAACGGACAGAACGGTGGTGAGCTAGCTATTAAAGTATTAGCCACTGGCCTGACAACTAGACTGAGAAGCGCTGTTGGTTTGCGCAGGATATACACACGGTTCTAGACAGAAATAAATCTTGTTAGACCGAGGCGGAATACGCGCTGATAGGAATAAAATACTACTGTTTACATGGCTTCGAAAGATTCAAGGTTAGTGCCAGGAATAGGCGAGGGAATTTGCCATTTAAAAATAAGGAATTTACGCATTTTAAGCTCTGAGGAAGACTTGTGAAAACTTCGAAGAGTTTCGATCCAAATTTCTGCCATGCGGAACTAAAGTTTTCTTTGTGACTGCGTAAAGCTTACCATATGTTGTTTACATTAACCCTGTAGATTAATGCATTTAAAGCAGTCAAATTAAAAAGGCAAGCCTTATTATTCGTCTCCCTGGATACGTCAGGTTATTTATACTACAGTATAGAGCCCGCGTGCAACAGCCTACCGGGCAAAGTGACCCATCTTTTGCGAGATATATCGGCGATTTAATCTTTCCACAAAGTCATACTTTACTATCAAACTAACTTTTACGAATATATTATGTCAGTTTAAATGGTCGAGGGAGAAAGTTAACCTGAGAAAAATTTGAAAATCTTTATATTTCTGGGCGATAAGATACCTCAAGTATCTGCCTAAATAGAGTAATTTTCTAGTATGATGGGGAATTATACACACGTGACTTATTGCAGCGCGCGGTCAGGATGGATGGGAAACTGGCGAGGGTTTTGATTTATCATATTTTTGGGGGGTTATCAGGTTTTGGTCTTCAAAAACCTGATTGTTAGGTTACCTATGAACTCTTTCATTTATATTATTTTCAATATTCATCGAATATACCATTTTGCAGCATCTCTTAATCTATCATGGCGCAAAATTATTGCATTTTCAAAATTTGCATTCATTATAAACGAATCAGTTTTCTTTTTCAATTCTAAATCTTCAATTTCACATTCCTCCAAGCTGAAATGAATCTCTTTCCATTCACTTTGTCAGATTGAAAATGAAAATAGTCGTGCATTCGTCTTGTATTTTCGTATTTTTAAAAACTTTGCAACCGAAGACAAACGATACTTCTACGATTTGGGAAGTGCTGTATTGTGCGTATCTTTGCTGACTTCCATTTCATATGAGGAATTTATTTTGTTTAAGTTTTATTTTGTTTTATTAAAGGATTAAATTGCTTTAATCTCGTGATTTTTTTTTATAATTCAGCATCACAGTTGGACATTAAATGATTGCCAGATTAATCATACGTGCGCTGTCTCTCGGCTAGACATTTGGATTTTAATTTAAAATGGATGCTAAAAGCTGTCTAGTTCTGTGCTAACATATGAAACAAAAACCTCGACAAAAACCTTGATATCAATCTTTCGTAGAAACTGTCGAATTCCGTATTCAATGCAATCAGTTTACACAACACGTACTTTTATGCCTTCGTGAAGTGTGAACGAACAACATATTTACCCAGTCAATCCAGTAGGTAAATCGCTTGCACATATAAAACTTTTAATAAAAAGTCTAAAATATTCCTTGGTCATTTTTTTATGCAGTCAATGCAATTTTATACAATATAAAATCTCCAATATAGATTCTATGCATAAACTATAATTATAGGCCGCCGCAGAGCTTGCTTCGATTCTTGGGTTGTTTTTAAAGGAAGTAGATTTGAAAATCACTTCGTTAAATTACGAATCTTTAACGTTGCCTAGCAGACGGCGGTGAAGAAAGGCTACTTGATTTTTTTAACTAAGCCTTTTCTTACAATTATTTGCATAATTATAAGTGAAGTTGACGGCCTATATACTATATATAGTCTGCGTCAAAATATACCTGCGCGTGCATATTGCATACAAATTCTCGAAGACTACAACGTAACTTTTTCTTGATTAAAATTTTATCCAGCCTTACAAATTAATCAAACGTCGTAATTCAGTGTCGGAGCTGTATCAGAACCTTATCGAAAAATGCAATTACTTGGTAATTCGGATAGCCGGATCATGTGACCAAATTAACGACTTTTGATTGGGTATTATCTTCCCGCTGTCCATGTATGGAACATAATCATTTAAGCCGTTGAATTCGCTTATCAGCGATGATATCTTTTGGCGACAGATGTGCAGAATAAAACGTACGCTTGTACAAAAAGTACAAGTCTTCTAGATTTTCTAGCGTTCTCAAAACCCGTTACAAATGCTCGATTTTAAGACATCTACACGAAAGCATATCGAATTCGCAACAAACACAAAAATTACAAGACAATTTGAACTCTTGTCAATGGTTCATTTTGTGATGTAAATTTTATTATGAAGTGGTTATGCATATTATGTAGCGCGATCTACAGGTGCATTAAAAGGAGAGCGTCGCTTTCATCATTAATCTTCGGGCGAGAAAGAGGGAAAGCTGTCTGTTTTTTTGTGTGTGATTTTTTCTCCGTCGCTCAATCGCAATGCAGCGAGTTTATCGTGCTAGAAGAACAAGACAAACTCGGAGGCCTGGTTTCTGGCGAAATTTGTAAGCGATGTTTTTGTTTTGTAATTGTATTCATCTATAAAGCGGCTTAGCGATGCGTTGATCATTTCGTATTGTTTATGTGACAAAGTTTGAGCTAAGGCTAGCTCAGTTTGAACTGTACATATCTGTGAATGCAATATCGTTTCATTTGCGAACTCGTCTGGGCAAGAGCTCTCATCCTGGTTGAGATTTTTCTCAAAGATTCAAAGATTTAGATTTTAGTCGATGCTTTCGCGGAAGTCGCGAGTCATTTTTTTCTTCACAAATACTCCAGACATCAAAGTCGGCCGTAACATAATTGCTTTCACTTTGATTGCAAGGCTAAAACCTTTGCATTTCCGAAGACGTAAAGAGTTTAATAAGGTCTGATCAAGCCATACATGAAGTCAATGAAGTAAGGTCTCTGTGATGTCCAAATTTGCTGGATGAAGTTTTGATCAAGACGTACGAATGAATTTGATATATCCACGGTGAAAACATTACATCGGCCTTTCCTTTGAGTTTTTATTAAATTTAAGCTCATTTTCTGTAAAAATACATTTTTGCACTAGATATTCAAACAAGAAAAACAAGAACAGAAAAAAGCCGATTGCCAACATATTAACTTTATTAAGTCTAATTGCGTGCCTAATTTATCTTAATTAATCCAAAGGGCACTTTTGCCCTTCGGGAATTGATTCCCTCGTCTGTGGCGTCCGTTGGGCACCATTAATCGACCATCAATCGTTCTTTGGGAATGGATAAAGTTGTGGTCAGTTTCCTGTTTCTAGGAATTCGATTCGGATATTGGAGAAAACGAAGGACTTTGCGAAGAAAGCAATTATTTGCATTGCAATAATCGTTTGTTTATTTTGCATCTAATTCCAGGTGGACGTTCAATTTGAGTACGAACAAGCAAGTTTCAGCTGGTGTTCCGAGGTGTGTTTTAACGTCAGCCCATTCTACAGGGTTTAAAAATATTCTGCGGGTATACGGTGCTGCCCGGAGGAAATTTTCCTACCCTCAAGGAAGGTTTCATGTAAAATGGAGGACCTCATTCAATAGTGCATGGAAATAGATAACAGCAAACATTTAAAGTCGTATCAATATCATCATAAATAAGAGATGATCTGTCAACCTCGTTGGCTTTTAGGACAAAACTGAATAAGACTGCTTGAGATATCCTATACGTCAATTTAGTTTAGGTTTCTTCCTGTAGTAACACTGGATCAATAAGAGATGATCTTTTCTTTTCTGAACCTTACTAGAAAAGACCTTTTGATCCGTCCAGTAAACACGCGACTCTCTTGTGAAATTCTTTCTCGCCTAATCATCTCATTTCTTCCTCATATTCCAGGCCAACACCGGAGGAAGCCAAGCTTTGGACAACAAATTTTGACGCCTTGCTCGCCAACGAATATGGATTAGGCTTGTTTAAGGATTTTGTTAAAAGTCAACATTGTTGTGAAAATTTAAATTTCTGGTTGGACGTGGAAAAGTACAAACACGCAAGCGGTGACCTAAGAGAAAGCGAGGCGAAGCGAATATATGAAACGTATATCTCTATCATGTCACCCACTGAGGTAGGTGGGATTGGCTTATCTCTTGGGAAGAAAAAACAAAACGAAATTGATGTAATAGACAGTTCATGTGAATTACCTGACATGTCATAGATGTATTTAAGTTATTTAGACAAGGGCTCGTACAGATATAACCAGGGAGCAGCGTGGCAGCGTCTTCAAACAACTTAGCATCAACTATGGTATAATAACAACCGCCTAAAATAGACAAAACACTTCTCTTTGTCTATGACTTTGTCTTAGGCAGTTGTTATACCACAGTTGATGCTAAGGTCTCGTACAATTTCACATTGGTAAATCGTAATGTTTTAATATAAGAAAAAATAAGGCAAGTCGTCATCTTGATCTTAAGATGAAATCATGAAAACTGATGATTCCTTATAGCAAGCAATTAAGAAATGAAGACAGTGACGACTTTTGTTATTCACTTGAAATATCTTCAGGGTTGATTGCATGAAATTCCAATATATCACTTACTAGCATATCATATGATGTAAATAAACAATCGTCAATGAATGAATTAAATTACTCGAAGTAAGAAACACATTTTTCAGGATTATAAGTTCGTTTGTTTTCACTTTTTAATGCATATCTCGCACAGTTCTGTTGTAAACGTTTTATAATGGAGAGTTCAACGTATAACTTTCCCTTTATATCCAGATTATTTTTATTGAATTCGAGTTCCAAAACGACCATTTACTTTACTACTATAGATCAGCATCGATTCAAAGACAAGGAATACAGTTGAAATGAACATGGAAAATCCATCGTCGACTACGTTTCAACCCGCTCAAGAACAAATCTATTATCTAATGAAAAGAGACATTTTGCCGAGGTTTCTGAAGTCAAAGCAATACAAACAGCTGCGAAGTCGCTAACAGCGTTATCGTATTGACGAGCTGTGTTTACGAAAACAACTCTATTTTATATACAATGATATCCAAAGTGTAAACACTATCGTTGAACAAAGAATACACAAGAATCATGGATCTACAAATCCTACAATTTTAGGGGAAACAGGGGAGATTATTTGTACATATTTAAAAGAAAGTTGGATTACCACAAGGAACTTGGAAAGTCAACTTGGTGGATTTTAATGAAAAAAGATTTATTTATTTTGCTCTAAAGAGTACTCGAAGTGGGTGTAGCAATTTTTCAACAATTTTTTGAAGGGATTTTGTGCAAGATCTGGTGAAAAACGTTTTTGGGTAGCATGTGTTTGTTATGACAATGGACCTGGGACGTTAAAAAAAACGTTCGTGGATGCATTTGAACAGAAAAAGCGACGTGGTGATTGCAGATCATGTTTGAAATTCAATTTAGATTATATTTAACACTCCTAGAGTGTCCGCAAATATATATATATATTGCTTTGTGACTATGTATGACTTCGAAAAAAATCGCTTTGCGCTAAAATTTTCACTAGAAATTTTGAAAACTGACAAGTTTAGTTCCTTGTACATTTCTGCAGTCTATCTTCGCTCTTCCATATATAAAGAAACAAAAGAAACATGACAAAAAAAACTGGGATATCTTAGACTCTTATCAAGCTGTTTTGAAACCGCTTGGAGCGGAAACTCCCTGTTTGAGAGACTCAACTTAAACACTATAAAGCCAATCTAGACATTTCGATCGAGAATGACCAGCAATGACTTGTCCCATTACCTCCTACTACAAATATCATTTTATTCTATTTTCACCAAATATTCGTACAGTTTATCTCATCATAAACTATTATTCTATATTAATCCTTGCAATATTAATAATTAAATAATATTCAAATAATAATAATAGTTCGTTCTGATATCACGAAATATTCCCCCAGATGCTCGTATGCGTACGAATGTCTAGCTGCCCTGCGCGCCAAACGCAAAGTGTCGTATCTGTTTTAAATAGAGTTAGACTTTGAGGTAATTGTCTATCCTTTCGAAGTGACGTTCATCAATGTTCTGTCGTTTAAAATTCGTCTTCGTCGATTTAATTCGTGTGGATATCTGCTGTTAATTATTGTGTTGTAGAAAACTCCTATTTCAGAGTTGCAAATATTTTCAAATTCAAGTCTTGTCGTTGGAATTTTTTTAAAGTAAGCGATTCGTCCAGCGAACGCCGTTAAAATTCAACCAACACACCACAACATTTCAGCCAAACATATGATAGAATGACCATACATCAGCCAATCAGATGAAATCAATACCACCATGATATCCAATCAGAAGGTACGAGACAGCACATCGGCCGTTGGTATGCTACCATCTCTTGAGGTTGTCCAATGCGCTCTTATCAATTGTACCATGATCTTGCGTGAAGTTCTTGATGCTTTCCTTGCCAACCGCTGGATTGCTCAACTGTCGTCGCGCAGGTCTGTACGCGACTTTTGTGGATACAGGCCGTTGGGCAGGTACCTTTGGGAGAAAAAATGGATAGATTAGTTATTGCAGATCGACATGAAAACTTGTGGTACATGGTGGAAAACCAGAGAGACTCACCACTCTCGCACTGGTCACACTGAGGCCCACTGCTTGTTGCCCACCCGCCCCATGGGGCTGTGTTGTCCCTCGCGTGATGGTTGGATGCTTAACTTGCGCCGAGATTGGTCGGCTCCTGTTCGGAATTGCGCGTGCAGCGCCCGGAAATACCTGAAGCGGAAAGAAACACAAAACAATGAGTGGCGTTCGTCCTCTGATCCGAGTAAAGTAATGTATCCATTCTTCATCCAGTCATGTCATGAGATCAGATCCGCGGTGATTTAAGAATGACGTCACTCAGAGCTGACGATGATCTCACCTTTTCGTCTTCAACTGGAGGTCTTCTACTGAAAACCTTCACAGAACTCGCTCGTGGTTGTTTTTCATGGCTTGCGGGTTGTGATTTGGTCGCTCTGCCGACCCCGGCCTTCTGAGGCGAAGGGGTATATGCTGCCCCGGGGGCTTCTTTCCCCCACACTTTCTGTACACTGCCGTTAACGTATTTGCTGCCAGGCCTTAAGGAAGTTGGAACCTCGTCTGACTTAACGCGAGCTTCTTCCGGTGAGGATTTCTCGCCGTTCTCAACAGTTTGTTTTTGTTCAGCTTCAAGACGTTGTTTTCGAATTTGAGATTTCTTCTCCAGGATGTCCTAGTTGTGAAAGCAAGATTTGTATTAGAGAGAATTGTCTACATTAGAGAGATGTCTGTATTAGAGAGAATTGTCTACATTAGAGAGATGTCTGTATTAGAGAGATGTCTGTATTAGAGAGATGTCTGTATTAGAGAGGTGTTCATATTAGAGAGAATTGTCTGTATTAAAGAGATGCCTGTATTAGAGATATGCTTGTATTAGAGAGATGTCTGTATTAGAGAGATGTCTGTATTAGAGAGATGGCTGTATTAGAGAGATGTCTGTATTAGAGAGGTGTTCATATTAGAGAGAATTGTCTGTATTAAAGAGATGCCTGTATTAGAGATATGCTTGTATTAGAGAGATGTCTGTATTAGAGAGATGTCTGTATTAGAGAGATGGCTGTATTAGAGAGATGTTTGTATTAGAGAGATGTCTGTATTAGAGAGATGTCTGTATTAGAGAGATGGCTGTATTAGAGAGATGTTTGTATTAGAGAGATGTTTGTATTAGAGAGATGTCTGTATTAGAGAGATGTCTGTATTAGAGAGATGTCTGTATTAGAGAGATGTTTGTATTAGAGAGATGTCTGTATTAGAGAGATGTCTGTATTAGAGGGATGTCTGTATTAGAGAGATGTCTGTATTAGAGAGATGTTTGCATTAATGGGGTACTTCTACTAAGAAGGATATTTGGCGTTAAGACTCATGTCACTATTAAAGGTGTCCGTATTCAGAGAGATGTCGCAACAAAACACACCTCGTAGAGTTTTTTGCGATACTCATCAACACTCAACTGCTGGTCATCGCTCAGTGGTGGGTGGACCTCGTGATCCAACGTCGGTTCGTCGTCGGAATTATGAAACCTCGAAACATAGGGATGACGTAATACTTCCTCGGCCGTTGGTCGTTTGTCAGGATTGAACTGCAAGAGTCTTCTCAGCAAATCGAGCCCATCCACAGGTGCTGTTGGTAGAATATCCTCGAGGCTTTTCCGTGGCTTATTGAGCATGCGCTCAATGACAGAGGAACCATACGACGACTGGATACTCTCAATATCTAGGATGAAGATACGAGATTTCTAGCTTTATTACTGCAGAGAACTTAAGCTGTGTTGGCATGTGATGAAAACCAGTCATTGGGAACCAGGAAATGAAAAAAAAACTTAATCATTAGACTACTGTTGCCCTGTTAAAGAGGTATATTTCCATCACACACCTTGTCTGCTGGGTTGTGGAATAACAGCCATGATTCTTTCAATTTGATTCAACGTTGATGTTCCTGGAAACAGCGGTTTTCCTAGAAATGGGCAAATGGTTTTTCGTTGTGTGTTAGAGATTTGAAAATTTAATATTATGGACTAAATGTTCAATTTTACTTACTTAGAGCAGAGGTGCCACAGAAAACTTACCTAATAAAATTTCACCAAGAATACAACCCAGAGACCACATGTCAACACCCTTTGTGTATCTAAAATTGATCAGTCAGACTGAATCAAACACACATATATATATACCTACAACACATTCTTCAAGACTTTTCTTTACAGCACATTTCAAGACTAGCTTTTCCTTAGAGGTGCATGCAACTGGATAAGTTTCAACAGTATGCATTTCATGCATTCTTACTTTGGTGATGCAAGCAAGATCTCAGGAGCTCTATACCATCTGGTAGCAACATAGTCTGTCAGGCTTGGGTCGCCTGCTTCCAGCGCAACGCTGCTTAACGAGCGAGCTAATCCAAAATCACATATCTGTAACAAGGACAAGACCAGTGTTCATAAAAAAATTTACTTGCAGATGAATAAAAAACTTGTGCAAATGATTGTCTGACATAATATATCTCAAGTATAAGCACACACTCATCGAATCTTAAGATAATTACTTACAATTACTTACAAGAGTTGATATGTTTGTAGATTATTACCTTTAAAAAACATTCTGTGTCCAAAAGAACATTGCTTGGCTATATCAAAATATTTAAGGAACTATGCCGTTAGCCAATTGATACTTAACCTAACTGAATATTAAAATTTCAAGCAATCAGGTCAGTGGCGTAACTAGAACGATAAAGGGGGGGGGGGTGAATCAGTGGGGGATCTAGGGTTAGGCAGAATAAATTAAAAGGCTTAATTTTAAATTCAAAATACCTCAATACCAACGCTATTGGTCACGGATTTCTAAAGAATATTTTTAAATAAAAATCTACCAATGCTATTACGATGTTAAGCTGTAGTAATTTATTCTGCCTAACCCTGAATCCGCCACTGGGGTGAATATTCATATATCCAGTTCTGCCCTACGGATTTATTTTGCAATTGCAATAGCTTACAGTAGAAATCCGTCGGGCGGAACTGAAAATATGACTATTCACCCTCCCAATTATTGTTCTAGTTACACCACTGAATCAGGTTCATATTTTCTTGAATTGCAGTACCTTTTGATCCCTATGAATAACGTTTCCAGAGTGTAAGTAGTGAGTTGCTTTACACAGTTGGTACATAACATATCGCTTGTGAATATCTTTTAAAATGTTCCCTTTTTTTATCACATTATGAAGGTCAGTATCTGGAAATATATTTATACTGAAATTATAGTACAGCAATTTTCTCAACTTTATGTTCACTTTCAATTCAATCCATCTGATGGCAGATGATTTTAAGTGCAGGAATTACTTCCAGCTGGTTATATTGGTAGCTTTTTAAATATAAGGTTAAAGCTTTACTTTAAAATACCACTAATTAACAACATTAGACCAAGGGGCATTGTGAGAAAATAAACATTACTTGAAAAATGTAAACAGATAACCGGATTTTACACAGCCAGTCGACCTTATTGATATCTTTACAGTTCAATATAAACATAAAACTTACCCATATACTCAAATACTAAATAAATATCTTTGTCATTACTGGCTTTGATAACGTTTAACAACTTTATTATATTTTCATGATCGCCGAATTCCTGTGGAAATATAAATATTGGGAGATGATGTTCCAAAAAGTAATGGGCACAGCTGAATTACACCGAATAAAAAAAAGTAAGACGTATTAAAACAGTATAATTTTTATGTGAGAGAAGAAACGCTATGAATTTACCTGGAGGAAATAGACTTCTCTGAACGTCCGCTGAAAGTGAAAGTCGTTTCAGTTAGAATATTTGGTGGTGAATAAACAATACAGATCAAATGCACAAAAGCCACATTAATCATCCTTGAAATTTCATTCAATTCATTTTGAAAGTTTAATAAAACCTATTCGAAGAATATTCGATATAAACTGTGTTTATATTTTGAGACGGTCTTACCTGAGCATCGGTTTGATTCCTAAACGCGTCAAATATTTTCTTTACGGCGACAACTTCGCCCGTTTTCCTATCAACCGCTTTCCACACGATTCCATAAGCCTGTGAACGATAACGAAGCGGAAAGTGAAGGCTATGAAATCGCAACAATAGTTGACAAGCTACAACAGTTGCGTGTTCAACAAATGGCGATAATATTTTCGTCACACACCCCCTTTCCCAAGCGTTTTTTAATCTCATATTTCTCTGTGATATGTCCTTCAATGTCCGCGCTCATCTTCCGCAAGAATCACCGCCGATCGTGCGTAAAAAATCCGATTTTTCGACCAAAATAAGAAGACATCTTCCTATAAGAAAGCATTGTTTGAAAACACCGGTTGAGCGCTCGGTCCGGCTTTGATTCTCATTGGTCGAGCGCTCGTGATGACGTCACATGCGACCTTCGCCGTTTGGTCGGTAGCTATGGCAACGAAATAAAGCCAGGTGCCAAGGTCTATGAGTCAGCTCCGTTTTTGTTTGGGATAATAATTGCTCGAGGTATTATAGAGAATCGAGTGAAATTTGCGGCCGGCTGCTCTGTCTGCGATGTTTCCTCTAATCTCCCAGTAAATCTCCATCCAGCTCTTTCTGATCGGACGCAAATTGAGCGAGTTTCAGTCATTAGCGTGCGTGCGTTTTAACACAGGAAGCCAATTATGATAATTTCAATCAAGAAATGCGTTTTCCGTACTTATTGCCTTTGGCAAAATGTCAACATGAAAGTATGACGACTGTCGTAGGTTTGATGGAGTCATGGAGATGTCAATAATGGCGTAGATCAGAGCGCATAAAATACAATTACAAGCATTGCAGTGAAGGAGTTTTATGCCATAGATTGCAAAAATGTAAAAACACAATGCTATCCGCAACTTTGGAATTTGAATAATAGACATCGCAGCACTATTGTAACTCAAATATATAGCTCAAGTTTAGCGTTCCCACCAATGTGATAGAAGACATAGATGATTCATAGACGAGATAAATATCTTATCTGAGCATTTTTTGAGTGACAATTGAGTGTCATGCGTAATACATTTTGGTCTTTGGAGCTTTTCAAGCCGACACGCATGCGTCAGGCAAGATCTTTCGAAATCTTTACTGCAGTAAAATGAATAAAATGGCGACATATTTTGCGGTTTGTTGTCGGATGTCGAAAATTTCCAGAAGGATTATAAAATTGTGCGAAAATTCTTGAAAATGTTTTCATGTAAAACTTTGATAATAAAACATAAAATTTGAAAGATCTCAACAAAACTAGCTGATAAAATGGACGGAAATAGATTTATTACCTCCTTGGCCAAGTTGAGACTTGAGATCTCAGACAGATTATTTGTGAAAATAGAACATGGGGTTCACAGTTTCCAATTCTATGTGTTAGGTAAGTGGTATTCTGCTGGTTTATCTAGCTTTATTTACATTTTAACTATCTAATATTTATGTATTTAGAAAAACTGAAAATCTTAAATATTTATACTAAATATCCCCGAGTTAATTTAAATCAAGCTGTGATTGATTTCGTCCAGACTTTTCTAAATAGTGTTTATACAAAGATTTGTTGCTAATATATTTTCTAATTGCAAAAATACTATTCTAATTGCCACCCTCTATACGTTAATAGTCAATTGTTGATATCAATTAATGTTCTTATATATAATATAAATTTCTAAATGATGTATTATAACTTTCGATCAGAGCTACACCTTGCTCTATTAGAAGAACCTTCAACTCCAAAACATATCCTGAACACATTTTTCTCTTAAAAGTCAAGATCTTTAAATCCACTTTGTATGAGCATATATAGAAAAATATGATATATGTTTTTTGAGGGCAAGTCTATTTGTAGTTTTGTAACCACAAAACCATTTGTAGTTCTTGTAATATGTTTTTGCATTAGTTGAAGTTATATATGGCATCTTTCATTTCCCTCAAGAACTGAGTGTCACAGCAGGATCTTAAAGTCAAGCTAATATAATTGAATAAAATATTATGTGAAAAACCACATAAGCTGCGGGAAATAGGACTGAACTGTATGTATCCAATGTCCAAGTGGAGAATCTTCCATGTTTCCTGGTAGATTCTTTTCCACTTTCAGTACCATTGCATCCATTTTCCTTTCCATTTTCAACATCAACTTCCTCGCCATTTTTGCCCTTTTTCGTCAGAGGAATCTCTTCAGCCTTTCCCTGTAACACAAATACGGAGTTTGAATGAATTTTTAGACAAACTGTTGGTTGTCCTGTCAGTATCTTGTAAATCGTTTGGACCCTAAATGTTTCTAGGTCAATCTGTCCACATCCACAGTTTTCGTCCTGGCTAAACCAAGATCCATGGTCCCTCAGACCTTTCTGCAACGGCAGCAACCTTGTAGCAAGCACATAATACTTGGAGGGTGCAAGTCTAATTTCTGCCAACAGAATTGGCATTTTTTCATATAGTTGAGCCTTGTCATTTATTGACCCTGAATATAACCCAATGACAGGCCTACTCACTAGCGGTTCTGAACCCCCACAGGAGGAACCTGTGGATCATTTGTAAGAAGTTATATCCCTGCTTGTCAGACAATTGTAGGGTGAAGCATTAGTCACAGCCCTGACTTACAGCGCGTTCCCGATTGCCTTTAGCAATACATCGTAGTCTTATGTTAAGCAGTATGGCGTACTCCATCAGTGATCCAAACACAAAGAAAAAGGAAATGATGAGATATATGTCCACTGCTTTAACATATGGTACACTTGGTACCATAGACTGTGAACTGTAGGATAGGGTGGTCATTGCTAGTACTGTGATCACACACAGAGAGAGACGTGCTAGAAAAGAAAGACATATTGCTGTCAGTAGTCAAGTATGTGGGTATTGGATTGTGCTGTCCCTGCTGGATATTGGATTAATTGTGCATTACTGATGTCCAACAGGCAGGTTGCATTCAGTTACTATATAGAGATCAGTTGTAGAGGGAGACTGGTGCACGCAAGAGACTTCCGCCGCGTCCTACCCAAGGTCCTCCGCGCGATTGCTTGTCGCCACTGATCGCTATATAACAACTGAATGCAGTACCTTCTTGTCGTGCGCGATCTCGCCTATAGCACTGGGTACGAGATTGAGACTCAGATGTATTCATAATTCAGACTTCACCTTTCCTATAACGTCATATCTATAGAGCATGTTCCTGATTGGCCACAACTGGCTGCATTGGCCAATTAGAAGCGAGTTTTAGATAGATAGATAGAAAGCTACGTCACGACATAGACATCTTCCAAAGATTTATAAAACAAACCTGGAATAGCATTCGGATCGACCCAAAAAGAAATCCACGACGTCAGAGTGACCAGGATTGCAGGCAAATATATTCGGATAATGTAATACGCAATTTTTCGTCGGAGTATAAATTCAAGCTTCAAATAGGACCAGCTAGCGTCTAAAACAGAACATTATGCAGAACTTTATAATTTTTTTTGCCTATTTTAACTGAAAACAACAAAAACAACTCTGTCCTTCAAAAATGGCAAGGTTTTCAAAACGGCATCGAGACATTAATTGTTTAGTCTATGGAGGAGATTTTTGGAGATCGTATCTTGAACACTTACTTGACGATTTGAAAAATATATCTTCAGTTCTTGTGATGGTTTCCTCAAGTACGTATTGTGTGGCTATTGAACTCTCTCCAACAATAACTGGATCCTGTTCTCTCCAGTCGTACGTTAGTTCAGTGTTAGGAAATGCATCTAGTGAGGGAATAAAATGGATGTATTTCTACGTTTGAGGTGCTGCAGTTACATCTGAGTTAACACGAGTCACGAGTGTAAATTCAATTGGGTCGATACATACAACTCGTCTGAAGTAAATCACAAGTCTGCACATCATGTGGAAACAGCTTGAGGTTCATGGTTGGGCAGTTAGCCTTCACCGTTAATCTAAACAGTATGTTAGCTGTAGTCAAGTTGATAGTGAAATCCTTCTCCCCCTGCGTACTCCCCCTGCAACCCCCCCCCCCTGCGCCCCGTCTGCTCCCCACCACGCCTCGGGCCTCAGGTCCACCCCCCAGTTCAACAACCTCTTATACCAGGCTATTTATAGTGTTTGTCTTTCTGCCCCAGTCTTCCTTGAATCTCCCCCGGCTCCTCACCTCTGGCTCATATGAATCTCTCCATATTTTGAAATCTTCACACTTGAGAAAATTTTATGCGATCCTATGTTCTCCTCGTTCTCGACGTAAGTATCTGGTGTCCATAAATCTTTCGTAATCTCTCCAGTGACCCTCAGACTGCCTTTGTTCGTGAGACCTTTTAGCTTATTACCGAATACCAACCGACTGTCGTTCCAGTATTGTGAGAAATACATCTTCACCGTAAAATCCTTCAAACAAAAAAAAATTTGGAAAATAATTTCTAAAAGTCCGTTAACACTTGCGTTTTCAGGTGCGATTTTACTTCTTTTGGCAGATGTGAACGAGTGACTAGTTACAAATGCTCTGATGTATAAGAGCTCGTATTTGAACATCAGTAACTAATTCACTCATTCACATCGATCAAAAGAACAAAATCGCAGCAAAGGTCTTAAAGGGTCTAAATATTGAGCGGAAATCACATCTATCTCAGACTGGTCGTAATTACTCATTACGCCCAACAGGTAATGGTGCCTCTCGTTAATTCTTCGCCGGTATATATAATGTATTTGCTTACCGACTTTACATCGTTGACGTTGTCAACAGCCACGATATAAGCACTTGCAATTACTTTGACTGCAGAACCTGTTCACGTGAAAAAACAGATGTTATAATGTTATCCAAATTATCCCAAAACCAACCATGTCATTCAATGAGCACCTCTATCAACACCCAGCCCCTCCTAGCGTCCATAGTTCACCCCCTCCCCATCCTTGAAGTGCCTGGGGTATTCAATATCCTATATTATATACAGAGCGATTGAGTTCGAGGAATCCAGTCTCATTAGTTTATCATTTCTGCGTTTCAGAAAAACAAGTTCAAATTCGTTTCTGGTGTGATCGCCATAACGCAAGCCGGATTACCGGTAAGTGGGATTTGTCTGTGAACAGGGTTAAGATCGGTTTTATTTTAATCCTGGGAAACCCTATTCAATTTCAAAATCACATTTAAATACCGTTGAAAACGATTTGGGGTGTTTCAAGTCATGAATGGGTGTGGCTGATGAATCCAGCGTTACGCTGATAGTACACTGCATGTCGATAAAGAAAAAACTCACCTTCAAAATTTGGCCGTAACTTTTTATTGTATCCTTTCGTGAGGACATCGAATGGATCTGTGGCATTTTCTTCTGCTCTAGAGGAGCAAAAATGCGTTTCATCAGTTTTGCGACCATTATACTCATCTTATATCCGTTAAACGTCATGTAAGACCTTTTTTTTCAGACAAAACAGCTGATGACGTTTAACTTAACAAGTAGAGTTTTACGGCTGTATATTCTAAAAGCTCGCTCACGCTCAAACTGATTGAGCGAAAGGTCTCAATTACTTCATAGCCATTCCCTTGGGGCTTTTCCCTCGAATAAGGGCGTGATTTTCGATGTTTTCCTTAAAATTTTCCATTGATTATTAAGAGGACCATCTCATTAATCAGTGATCACACAATTTCTCTGACACACCCAATGAATGCAGGCGTTAGTTTTTCCCTATGGCGTATAATGCATGGCACTGCCCGAAGCCTCAAACATCGCCACAAGAAGCAGAAAACTTCTCCGTTTTTCTTAACCCATACATGCGGCCAGGAAAACCTAATCAACATTCTATATCTTGTTGCGAATAGCATATACGCGCTTAGCGGCGTCTGTGAATGTTTAATAGGTGGTTAAATGGTTGATGGTTTACGAGTTAGCTAGAAGCTATAGGCGGCGTTATTGGAGGATAACCGCACAAATCAGATCTCGGGTGCTTAGCGGACAGACAGGCTGAGGAGAGTACACCTCATATTTGCCGATTAAGGTTTTAAAGATCACCTCAAGTGCATATTGAGAGTTCGCGTATATTCCCTTTAATGGCCTGGTAAGACACGACTACGCCCCAAGGGAGAGATTAAAACTCTTTGTGGAACCCGAAATGGTCATATATTCTGATGTGATAATCGTGCATGCAATATGATATACGTAAATTACAAACTGCACAAGTCGCTTGTAGAATTGCGATTGGATTTTACTTGCAAGCGCTGTGACTGTCAAATGTATTCGAGTCATTTCGCTTGCAACGTCTTTTTAGAAATTTTTACTGGTGTATTATGTAAATTCGTCGACGTGCGTGCTTGCGGGAGGTTGTTTAAACAAAAATTCTCAAAAAAAATGTCGCCAATTTGCACTCTCAACCTGCCGGCGTTTACCGTGCGGCAAGATGTAAGAATATAGAGTTAAGATAGAATTTATAATATTTAAACGAATAGTAACTGTGTAGTCTTTGGCGGAATGAGAACCTGAAATTAGATCGTTTCCGAAAGCAAAATAAAGCAAAGTGCAAAGGTCGTCTTCAAACGCTATCGACAACTTTCGATGCGCCGTCGGGTTTTTCTTCTTTTGATAGATGCAATAGAGCGAATAGTTATGAATGCCCTGATGTAAAAGAGCTCCTATTTAAACATCCGTAACTTATCAACTCGTTTACATATATCAAAAGGAGCTAACGTATATTAAGATTGTTCAGCAAAAAAAAGCCGTTAATATATTTTTGCATTATATAACAATTACAAGTGTCATTGACAATGTATTAACACGTCAATCTCATTTAGTAGTCCAAAATCTAATCTTATAGTTTTTATTTTAACTTTGTGGTAAATTTCATTCTTATATTCAACCCCGAATCGGCTACTTTTTTGTGTTTATGGCAAAAAAGCTTTTTTTAATACATAGAACTGTAAATAATTCCTCCTGACAATGTGACAGGTTGAAAATGAAAAACAGTGTACAACTGTTGTATGTTTAAATAGAGTCGATAAAACGTTTATCTGCAAGATTACAATCTGTTATTTCTATATTGAATCTGAAAGAAGTTTTCTTAGTTCAAAACTAACTTGTGAATCAAAGTTTATATATATATAGCTATATAATTGCCTTGACCTATACGGTTACAAGTATATATTGAACCTTATGAAGTAAATAAAAATAATTTAAACATAATACCTAACGGCCCCACAGCGAACTGCTGCAAACATGATGATAATTCTCGGCAGCAACTTCATCTTTCGAAACTGCACTAGCGTGTCGGGGAACTATAGCGCCAGTGCCTAGGTTTGTATAATATTCAGTCTAATGTGTGATAAAATATCCCGTTTTGTTACCTTTTATGTATTACACTAATTATTTATGCATTTGCTGAAGCCGTTAAATCATATATTATTCATATGACGCAGCATGGAAAAGCCACAGGCTCGCCTGAAAAAGACTGTGTTAAATTGATAAAGAAAATGCGTTTATGACCGCTAAGCTTGCATCTCGACCGCTACAATGTTTTCTGTTAAAAGTTCTGCGTATATTTCATGTAACTCGACGTTATGCCGGCCGTTTGCGGTCACTAGAGATATACGAAAACTTATAAATAAAAAAATGCCCTTGATTGGAAAAGGGCAGACGATACGATAACTTCGATCAGATATTCCAAGGTCGTTTTTCAATCGAAGATCATTTTTCAATAAAAGCTTTCAGAATGTGTGTACGTGATACATTCGATCGCAAAGCTGTTAGTTATGTCTCGGGTTTCCTGCAACTGTCGCCAAAAATTGCATAACTTGAAAAAATTTGCCGCGCTTTAGGTTCAAAGCAAAATTGCCGTGAAGTTAATTAATTTTCTGTTGTGGTGAGAACGATTCGTGACGTACGACTGGCTCGCCCGCAGTTCATGTGAACAGCGTCCATCTCGCAGCTATAAGATAATGGATGACTTGGATGACTTGCGCTTTAAACTAACTTTTGATCGAAGTAACTAGAGGAAAATAAATCACTCCAGCTAGAAAGATCTTACTTGAATTAGTAAAACTGCCAAGTTTGGCTGCGAAATTTTGTAAAATACAGAAAATATAGCCATGCGAAGTTGGCAAATTTTGTATACTTTTGTATCACGTGCGGAAATGTGTAACTAATTTAGTTACAAACTTCCGGTCGTAATACAAAAGTATACAAAAATCGACAACTTCGCATGGCTATATTTTCCGTATTTTACAGTAATTCGCAGTCAAACTTGGCAGTTTTACTTATTTGAGTAAGCTCTTTCAGAAAATGTCCTTTTTATCGCCGAGGTAAGAAATTAGTCTAAAGCGCAAGTCGTCCATTGACTATTCATGAACTGTGATTTCCGTTAAGCTACGCTCTATAAAACATGTTTGATGTGAAAAAGCATTCGGTCTTTCAAAGAATCGGCGTATTAACTTTCTTAATTGTATTTTTGAAACAATAATTACTGTTTATCTAAATATGTGGTCAGAATAAAAAAGATGGCGGCTTCTCGTTTGAGAATATAATTGTTTGCGAATTCAAGTCTGTCATTCGATAACAATTTTAACTGAATGTTTACGCCAATTAAAAGTGTGGCGATCTTTCTTTTAATGTAAATTTTTGGGCTAAAAATGTGACATTTTTTTCCTGCGAGAAAGCATGTTAATATCGAAATGTCTGTGGAGAATTATTCATTTGGTTTTGTTGCCAAAAGTTGAACGGCGGGCGAAGAAAAAACTTGTCAAAACGAAGCCAATCCTCGCTGGGTTTATGTGATATAACAAATATTTAAAAATGGGTTCTTTATACCGAGTTTCATTCGCCGAATATTGTTTTAAAAGCGTTGTAGTAATTCCATCTTTTCATGTATATATTTCTGCGATAATTTCCCGCCTAAAATGGGCCTCAAAACTAATGCATTGCCTGTTACCGGCGGCAAACTTGTGAAAATAAAAACCAACGCATTATAAATGCAAATGAAAGTTTATTTCTAAAACACACTTAAGAATACAAAGTGTACATCATTCTACAATTATATTGCCATTGGCAGTAAATGCATGTCGTCCAATCTTCAATTCCGTATAATAATGCCAGGTTGGATATGGTTCGATGTGGTCGGATAGTCTTAGCCCCGGTGGTGGTAGTAGTAGAGATGGCACTATATAAAAGAAAATACACAAGGATTGTTTAAATCAAGGCCTCACTGGCTGCGAACTTGGCACATGCATATTCAGCGTAGAATATAAGAGTGGTTTTGTGCACACACGGGCGTCGCTTTCGAGCGTTTTCAAAACCGTTTTTGTCTGTTTTTTTGTTTCGACGCCCTGTCCACACGATCTGAGGAAAAATATCCTCAATATGTTAAAATATAGCTTCAACTTCTATTGTAAATTGACGGTGTTTGAAACCGTTTTGGCATGCCGTCCTTCGGATGCATGAGTGTTTATAACCGCGGGATATAAAGCAGCTTTCTCCCAGCCTCGTACCCAGGCGCTTTAATAGTAAAATATATAACGGTGCATCCAGGTATTGTATAGAGCTCAGCTGAAAAAACAAGCCCTTGGGGTCAAAACCACCCCAAGCACCCCCGCGCGCTCACGTTTTTTTAGCTGACCTCTATACAGTAACTGAATGCAACGTTATATATTTTACTATTAAAGCGCCTGGGTACGAGGCTGGCTTTCTTCTTAGTCCTTACCTTTCTGTAGGCGCATCTGGTATGACAAGTAGGACATCTGTAACGAATAAAGCGACATCGGTGGCAGAATCTAGGCACTTTGTGACAAACGACTACTGCGTATCGAACATTCTTGTATTTCCATATCCATCGGGGTCCGTATCCACGATAGTACGGGTAATAGTATTTGTATCTGATACGTCTGATTTTCCACACTTTACGGCAGACTCTCTTGTAACAACGATATCGCCCGCATACGCGTCGTCGGCACCATCGTGGTTTGCAAACACGCCTGCATCCACAGACCTTGCAATAGAGCTTCCCTTTCCTGTATCTTCTGCATAACCAACCTACACATTTTAAGACATATCACGTTACTGAGAGCTGGACAATCCTATACCTTACTTTTCAAATGGTGAAAACAACAGTGGTGTTTCCCCCCCACATCAAGACGAACCCCCCCCCCCTCCCCCAACCCTCCTTACTTTTTGCTCTACATATCCGAGGGAAAGATTTGGGAAAGAATACAACCACCACCCTCCCCCACAACCCAGGTGTTTTTACGTGTTTTTGCGCGGTGTTTCGGCATATTTGATAGTTGCCAACACCACCCCTCCCCCCTCAAACACACTCATTCTTCGCTGGCTAATTCACATTTAATCCGCTGACCTCGTTTCTCTGGCTCGTCATCAGCAACGTCCGTGGTTTCTTCTATAAAATGGGATAATTAAAATTTTAAAAACACTGTTAAGTAAAAATGACGCATAAAACGTCTGAGACTACCGAAAATAGGAGGAAATATTGTTTTTAAAGACGTGAACATGCTTATTTACTTTCGTCGTCTTCCTCCTCTTCATCGTTTTCTTTCACTTCTTCGTCTTCTTCCGGCTCGCTTTCGTCAGCTTCCGTCTCGTCTTCGTTAGCCTCCGTCTCGTCTTCGTCAGCCTTCGTCTCGTCTTCGTCATCTTGCTTCTCGTCAGCCTGTTCTTCGTCGCCGACTTCTTCAGTCTTCTCCGGTTGATCCTCCATTTTCAGAGCATCATCGACGGCGGCTGTCTCTTCTTCAGCTCGAGCGACTGCAGAAGAAAATCGCTACTTGTAACAAACCCAATTTACAGATGCGTAAAATCTCAGAAAGATATGATACATTCGTTTATCCACTGTGCGAAAAAGAACTTCGAGAACACTTCTTGCAAAAGGCAGATGAAGCTAAAAGGCTCGCAAGTTGACCATCTTATATCTTAAAGACCATCTTCAAATATCATCGACTTATCTCAAATTTTACGCTCGAAATATTGCGTACTATGTTAGATCATCGTGGGCGTATCTATCTTTTTATATCTCTTGTCTCTTATTTAGCCCCATAAACATGTACAATCGTAAGAACTCTGCAAGATATACGTCTCCATTTAGTAAATAGATATGCTGGATTCTTTGTGAAATATAGTGAGAAATTCTGGACAAAGTGCTTATGATTTGAAGGTTCTTGTATTACCTAGACTGCCCTACCTCTGCCTCTCCTAATTTGGAGCGACTTTTTCTCTGTCTGTTGGCGTTGCCCTATCCATAAATAATCAAATAACTAAAGCTTTAATTTAAAACTTACCAAACACGCAGGCCGAGGCCAGAAGAAGGAAACACAACAACGCAAAACTCCTCATATTGTCTTTCTTCAATCAGTTTCTTGCTTGAAGTATATCAAGACTAAGTATCGAACTGTTGAACTCGCTCCCTTTTATACCAATTCCCCACTGCAGTATGCAAAATTCGGGATCTCGTTGTCATGGTTACGTCATAAAGACATTCGTCAGCGTTGTAAGCCAATATGACACGAGCGTATGTTTTTCCCAATTCAACATCCTTTGGCCTAAAGAAAAACTTTGAATCAGGAAATATCCAAAGGAGAACCCTTGAAACTCATTCAACGATCTAAAAGAGAGATTTTGCGAAGTTTCGATGTGCTTAGCCTCAAGGACGTGCTTATACATCTCAAGTTCTTATGGCCTTTTATCATTCACTGTAGTGCTACAATTTTTCAGCTTTCAAATGAGTAGGCTCGAGAATTTAAGATGAAATACCCGTGTTTACGGCGCCGATATGGACATAAAAGACAATATCTGAAGCCTAATGATACGGGAAGAAGATGAATAAGTGCATTTTGCGTATAATATCACATTTTTATTTTAAACCACCCGCCCACACATGTATAACTTGCACAGAAAATAGGTTTAAGACGCCATGGGTTAGTTTAATCTTGATAAACAAATACATAACTTTTCAAAAAGGGTGCGAATTTTAACGGCAAGAAGTTGCAATCTTCAGTGCACGAGTGTTAATATTACGTGATGTGGTTTTACTGTGTGATCCTAATTTCGAGAATATATTCACTGCAGGTCAAATATTATCTGTGTAATGACGTTTTTGCTTTAAATAGTACCGTGTTTAGCCTGCCCTGCTGGTTCCTGGTTTTTGAAGAAATTCTTTCGCAGTCTGTGGGCGATTTCAGATGATGTAGTTATTTTCTAGTTTGCTGTATACCTTAGAATCAATGAAAGACGTTTTGCAATTTACTGTCCAAATACTGTTAAGTTTCTCTAAACACCTCCTCATCTTGACTCGTCCACCTCCCCCCCCGTAGTTCTTTCATACCCTTCATTCCAAAACTTTCTGCTGCAAAATCGACGTAACTATGGGTACGGTATTCTACTTCAGATAAGACCTCATTTTATGCTGAGAGTGCTCAACTTCATCCGGTAGTCAAAGTGTCAAACCTTGAGGGACCTTGGGTGATCACGTGTAAGTTATAAACTCATGGGAGGGTGTTTACTTACTATATCACCACGCATTTGGTGAAGAACTCTTATAGACTCTAGACACCTGATCAAATGGGAACAAGAGTTGCATGAGTGTTGACTGTATATTAGTGCCCGGCACGCGTTGATGTTAAATAAGCGTGAATTAGTTCTTGTCAACTCGTAAACGAGAACAAGAGTTGCATGAGAGTTGACTGGATATTACCACACGTAGCAGTCAAACGAGGGAAAACTCTCGTCAACTCTCATGATCTGGTCAAACGAGAACAAGAGTTGCATGAGAGTTGACTGGATATTACCACACATAGCAGTCAAACGAGGGAAAAGTCTCGTCAACTCTCATGACCTGGTCAAATGAGAACAAGAGTTGCATGAGAGTTGACTGGATATTACCACATGTTGCAGTCAAACGAGGGAAAACTCTTGTCAATTCCTATGACTTGGTCAAACGAGAACAAGAGTTGCATGAGAGTTTACTCATGTTACCATGCAGGCATAGCATTTCCCATTCACGAGAAAGCCTTCAAATTAATCAAATTATTTAATATACTTTCGCAGAACTATTTAAATTCATCTTGCGATATTTATTCAACTAGCCTAATAACTGATTGTTTATATATACTCCCTACCATGCATATCGCATGGCATGCAGGTATTATATGCTACACTTGCAAGGTTTCAGGAAATGCTGCGCTTTAGGTACTTTGCATGTTGCTAAGCTTTTTCGCCTACCCTGTCTTGAATAAAATTCGTATATTTGTTCTGCACGCAAAGGTCTCGCTATATTGAAAGAAAATGTTTCAAGTCTTGTAAGAATGATACAAAATATAATAATATACGATTCATGAAAGTTCAGTGAAATTATGAAACGCGGAAAGGGCAACATGAACAAAGATTGGTTGCCATTGTAACATAGTTATCCGCTAAAAAATGCCTCAAATCTCACAGAAATCATGCATGCCAAATATCACAACCACAATTGTCAATTGCATGGTGAAAAAATATATACTTAGGAAATTCATTTTGAATGCCAAAGTTTCGCACTTATGTATCTATAATAGTAAACAGAATGTATTTATAGGAATCACTTTTCAAGATAATCGCGTCACAGCAGCGTGCGTGCACGCATATATCAGCGTCATAGAAAAACAAATGTGTCTTAGAAGGACAGCTAGGGCTGTTTTCAACTTACGCGTTTTTAATACGCACGTACACGCACGTAAAAGTCTATAAATCCTTATACATGTTACCTTTGAAAAAAACTAAGTGAATAAATCGAAGGAACTTAGTTTTCTGCATATTTTAGTATGCATTAGTAGACCTAGATGTTATTAAATAATAGAAATTTAAAAGCATTTAAAATTTTCCATGATTGCATTTCAGGAGTGTTTTCTAGACCACATGCACTGATTCAAAGCAATTCTTTTGGTTCTTTCAATCTTTCTCCAAATTTTTTTATTTTTTGAAGCAAATTTTTATAAATGAACGTTCCAGAGGAATCGCATCTTTGTATGCAAACGCCATACATCAGCAATATATATAAATGATAATCTTTTATGTAATTATATTATTAAAATACTCTGCTTTAGGTCGGACGTTGCTATGACAGACACAGTATACTTGTTCAATATTCCTGCATCAGACCATGCATGCACAGATACGTTGAGCTAGCTATTTCCAACAATGATTTTCCCCGCGAAATCCTTTAAGAGCTTAAAAATCATGGTAAAAACTCCTATATTCCTACCTCAAAACTATATCGAAATTCAACACTTATCAGCCTAATTGATTATTCTAAGACTAAGTACCGCGCCAAACCAAACTGGCAATTTGACACATCCATGATTAATGGTCCTTTTCATAGCCCAGGGTCGACATGGTCATGGAAATATGCGATATTCCCAATGAGTTTTTAACAAACAGAATTCGCTTATATTTCCACAATATGGCACGAAGGTCATGTCACTCAAAAGGGAAAACCCTGATCTATCTCAATATCAAAACCGAGTTGTTGTCAATTGATCAAGTAATTTGATAACAACAGCGTGCTGAAGGTGGGTCACCTAGTTTTCAGCAAAAATTGCAAACAAAACCTGCTTATACTGGTAAAATACCTGGTAACCATAATCCCAAACCTTGGGGTAAGATCCTAGAATAACTATCTGGACATTCAGTGCAGTTTTAGCTTGAAAGATCGTTAAAAATCAAGTCCATTTCCTGGCGAAGGAAATTCTGAAAGGACATTTAATAAATACATGTATTAAGAAAGCTCTTTTGTCTCAAGTATTTATTAATAAATGAGCTGAAAGATTGATCAAATCATTCTCACGAACGCGACAGTCGCTAGCGATAAACACAACCATGCACTAGTGAAAATAAAGCAACTTCACTCGCACATTGTTGAACAAATGGCGACTAATTTTTTAGCAAATAATTTTTTAGTCAGGTATATTGGAACTCTGCTGATAAAAAAGATAGTTCTTCCTGTCGTTCGCGCGTCAGAGATTTGATGAGGTGGGTGTGGTGTTATTTAGGCATCAGCCCCTTGTCGCGAAGCAATTGAATACGTCACAAAACGTAAACGTATTTAAAATATGTTTTACTACAGTACACATGAAAGCCATTCCTGTGCCTTCTACAATGTGTTATGAGGTATGTAAACCTGTTGTAAAAAATCACTAGTTTATCAGAGTAGGAAGGTGTTCAACCCTCAAAGATTGAAACAGGGGCTACACCAACCGACTCCCCGCCTTCCAATAACACTCTTGGTAGACATGCAGAAGCATAGATCACTATAAATGTCCCGCCACTAGTGGTAATGACTAGTTTCCTGGGCCAATCGTTATTTGTAACAAATAAGGTTAAGTATATCGATGTCTCGTGTCTGGAAAACTCTGTAAATCACATTTTCTAAACACCATACGAATAATACGCCGGTTGTTCGAAAGGCGTTCAAGCTTAAACAATGCATGGATAAGTTCAAAATGGATAACAAAATTATCTATTTATTGAACAGCTGGGCTGAACTATATCGATGTAAATAGTTTAAAATTTAATGGAAGTACATATTTAATGCATGAGATACAGGTTCAGGCATTCACAGGATGTATGAGAGTATTTTTAAACTTTGGCTTACCCACCGTTTAAGCTAAACGCCTTTCGAACAACCGGCCCCTGATGTAACTCTCACATCATGCACAAATCATATTCTCTTTAAGTAACATCTCTCACGCTAAATAATAATCTGCATGGAATTCTGCAAAATGTGAACATTTTTAAAATGTTTTTTTTTATGATCTTAATCAATTTTTCATCTTAATCTTTGATTTTGATACGTGTTTTTATTTTAACTCTGAAAGAAAAATTAAAACTGAGGTCTCTTTGCAAAATATCCGCGTCGTCCATCAAATAAAGAAGCCTTAACTTCATGAAGGATTCCAATCGTATATGATCTTAGATTAAAGAGAATTTTGAGAGGAAATTGATAAATGACCTTTAGTGACACATTCTGATTTCCTGGGTAAAATTTTTAAGTTCATCAGTTATATTTTAACAGACTCGTTGCATTGACGCCCTCCAGACTCCTTGCCTTGCTTAAAAGAATTGTTTTGGGGGCGTTAAAGTTGGTATAGCTGCATGACAAAAACAACAAATTACAAATAGATAGCTCTATATATCAGTTCTAAACTGTTCCTCTTGGATAGTTCTATTAGTTCTAAACTGCTCTTCTTGGATAGTTATATTAGTTCTAAACTGTTCCTTTTGGGTAGCTCTATCAGTTCTGAACTGTTCTTCTTAGATAGTTCTAGTAGTTCTGAACTGTTCTTCGTACAGATCCAGTAAAAGGATCATCTCTTATTGATCCATGCAATTTCCTCTGACTTGACTTGAGTGGAATTCAAAATTACAGCTTTTGGTAATCTGTGTACTAAAAGCCAGACACGTCTTGCCGAAACATCACAAATTTTGTGCGGTTTTAAACTATTATATTATTTATTTATTTATTCATTTATATGTGACTTAATAAAATGATTACAAATAAACATAGTTGCCCAAGCGAAGGATATTATATCTCCATGCAAACTTGTAGTAACGGTTCATATATTTATGTATAAAAATATTTATGTATATATTTATGTCATTATGTATATAATTACAGTACACAAAAGGTTACTTTACGTCAAGTTCATAAACTTAAACGAGTGCCCCTGAATTCTAAAAGAATGTGCATGCAGTGATAAATTCTACCCCAAAACGAGTTACTATTTTCCCCGTGTTACTTAAGGCCCTGTTACATGGTGCAATTTTTCCTGCAACTTGCAATGCAATTCTTCTTTTGAGAGATGTAAATTTGGCAACTACGAAACTTTTGTGTTTATTACACTCCATGGCGTTTCTTACACTTACATTTTGAAGACTCTTCACTAATTTACATCTCTTAAAAGTAGAATTACATTGCAAGTGCAAGAAAAATTGCACCGTGTAACATGGCCTTTAGTATGGTAGGTTACACTGAGTTTACATCACAATGCAACCCCTCTTCAGGCTGTTGGCGACCTCTACGATTGGCTGATCGTAATTATTACGTCGCCATGCTGGCGTGTACAGCATCACCTTGGCAACCTGGACGTTTCTTCCCGCCATCATGACGCTAGATGTCGCGACCATTGTTGTCTTCGCTGACGAGAGTTCGACAAATTTGTTGTTCGTTCCGCCAAGATCGCTAACTTGGAAAATGCATTTCCCCTCGAGTAGATTAGGCGACAAAAGCTTGCAGAAGTCGACCAGATGCTTGGTCATCGTGTTGTTCAATGCAGAGTAATTCTGATAGTTTGTAAACACGCTGGGCAACTCGTCCAACTCTAAGACCTTTGAAGAGAAAACAAAAGTCGAATGTAAAGCATAGGCGGCCCAAAATTGCGCGATATTTTTTCGCGCGAAGAATTTTTCGGCAATTTGTCAATGTAATATTATACATTACATTGACAAATTGCCGAAAAATTCTTCGCGCGAAAAAATATCGCGCAATTTTGGGCCGCCTATGATGTAAGCTCAAGAAACTCTCAAAAATATCATCAAACTCGTAATCCTAAACCGTCGTTTTTTAACGTTTTGAAAATCGTTTTTATGTCGTTTTTACAGCTTTTCCACGTGATTCAAGGCGGGAAAAAATTCTCAATGAAAACAATATATTGAATTGCACTATTGCAGCTCTAACTTGTACCGAAATTTGACAGTTTTTGCAACCTTGAAGTTCAGTCAAGGACATCCGGTCAAGTAAAGTGGTCCATTGTTTCATTTCTTGGAAATTGATATCCGCAAGAAAACGATAGAAAAAGTAAACAAACAAAGCTTCCGGTTTTTAAGACGTCGTTTTTAGTTCCAAAACAATGTCAGCATGTACGCAGTTGAAATTTTTAATGAATTGCAGACGGTGGACTAAGAAAGAGCAGAAACACTGACGAAAATAGCTAGATCTAGGATAAAATTAGAAGAGGTTTCACCGCATATAGATGCGATGAGTTTTGGGCTGTTTTATTACTTTTATAGCTTGAAACGTATTAGCACTATGTCAGTTATCAGCTATATGCATGCAGTCAGAACTGTGCGAACTGTATCAAGTTGAAAACCAATCTTTTCGTTTTGTGATCTGTTTTCCCGCTAAGTTGATATTGAAATGAAATATGTCTGAAATCCTTGATTTCACTAGAAACTTCATTTCCTGATAATTTATATTCTTGCATCATACAAATTGAAAACTATTCTTGCATTCTGGTGGCGCTGGCAAATCTTATAAGTCTCTTTCCAAAATGAGTAAATTAGTGCGGTTGATGATGAAATACCGACCAGACAAGGACCAATATGGTATGTTTCTCTCAGTTTATGACTTCAGTGCGATGCATTGTGCTGTTTTGAGACTGTTTGCGCGATAAATCGGCGACAGTTGAATGTGACTCAACCTCATTCCTACATTATAAAACATACCGTCGCCATACAATTTAGATAGTACATCAATTTCGCCTTGGGGTTGTTGGGAACAGTGCATGGCCCGCCAGTCAGTCGCATTCCAAGTTGATTACGTTCAAATGCAAGAGCCATGTTGATTTCACTGCCGGCGTATGAGAGAATGTCTCCTTGTTGCTAGATCTAGTCTAATGAATGTTTAAAGTTTTGAATGTGTATTTTTTACATTTATATACATAATTTTATGTAAATTACACAGGTTAGGAGATTTTTGCTATTGACGTGCCTTGTATACACATGACATGAGTCATGAGTTCTGTTAATCATAGAGCTGTTCTTCGGTTATATTTCTCCCATTGTTACCAACACTGGATCAATAAGAGATGATCCTTACTGGACCTCTAGGAAGAACAGTCGAGAACTGATAGAGCTATCCAGTATAAATAAAGTTATTTTAGTTTAGGTTTCCTCCTGTAGTAACAGTTGATCAATAAGAGATGATCCTTACTGGACCTCTAGGAAGAACAGTTTAGAACTGATAGAGCTATCCAGTATAAATAAAGTTAGTTTAGTTTAGGTTTCCTCCTGTAGTAACACAGGATCAATATAAGAGATGATCCTCACTGGGCCTCTAGGAAGAAAAATTTTGAACTGTTAGATCTATCCAGTATAAATAAAGTCAAGTTATAGTAGGAAATTGCTTGAAAGAAATCTGCATATCCAAACATCTGAAAGATGGTTACTGGACCACTGGGAAGTTATGTGAGTGGTTTAAAGTGATGTGAAATGTTGGTTGATCAAAAGGCAATTTCTCATTTGAGGTGCGATAAAAATTATCCATGCATTAACCCCAGCGTGACGCCAACAACAGATTTGTCTCTGCATTATATATATAATTCTGTTATAGTTCATCGTCTTGGGTAATAGTGGATCAGCACTTTAAGCAAATCAAATTCCTCGTTAGAACTGTCTTTTATCTTCAAATCGAAAAAATTGAAGCCGATTTTCGAAAGTAAAACGTTTCACTTCCAGGAACACGCAGATTTCACTGTGGTTTCAAATTCTAGGTAAACCACCCCTGGTGAAACGAAACTATAAAATCAAGAATAAACATTCTTAGCGTGTCTTCCATCGTTTTTGCAAATAAAACCGAAATACCAGTCAATAAATCAGTATTTACACTTGAATAATATGATAGCATCGTTTGCGGTTGACGCAGTTTCAATTTCCAACGTTAAGGTAAAATTAAACGTGTCCCAGCTTGTTTCTGTTTTTGAATCAATTCAACATCTGAGTTGTAAATTGTATAAACAAATATGATATGTTGGTGAAAAGATCATAATGTGATATTCAATCGTATTCAATTTATTTTTACGCAGAAAGCGCTTTCCAGGAATAACTAGTAAATTATTGCACATCAACATTTTGCAATTTATTTCTTGTACGGGCTAGGTTGAGCAGGAACATGTATATTGCATCCTGATGTATATTTGTCCGAAGGCATGCATGTAATTGCCAAGATATTAAATGAGTTATCATTTCAATTTTAATTGTATATATCAGCCACGCATCATAATCTGATCGACTGCACTTTTTAAAATGCTGAATACCTCTATATGTATTGAATTTCTCTATATGTATTGAACCTGTATTTGAATTGAACTTTCCAATACCTCTATATGTATTGAACTTTCCTGTCGTATATATGCTATTCGATTGGTTAGCACAGAACTGGCAGAAGATATATCGCGGAAATATACAGAGAGAGTTAAAGTAATTCCGAAAAGTGTTAACATAGCTTATACAATTTTATTCTGTATATTTCGAATCATCATCGATTCATCTTCAGCTGAATTATATTTACAAGATGTTGCGTAACTTAACTATATATCTTTACTGAAACCATCGCCTGCATGGCAAAGGATATTAAAATATCGGGCGTTCAGTGTTAAATTGCATTTCATGAGGTAAATTTCCTTTAAATTTTGGTAAACCATGCATAAAGTGAATCTAAAATTACCACGCGAGTCTAAAATTATAGCAAAGTTTATATACATTAACTATATTCAACCATTCACCTCAACATTCCTTCACATCAACTATCACCTGAGATGATTTCATAAGAGAGGGTTGCAAAGCAGATTTTGACGCAATCAGTTTTGTTGAGGGTCATACCCACGGTATGCTGGATAATTTGATACAACCCCTACTGAAAGAGAAGACTAAGACACGTCGTTTTCTGGGTAACAGAATTCTGTGAATCCCAAAATGAAAGACAACCACTTAAATGCGGAAGAGTTTACCTATTTGCTCAGCGTCTTTGCAAATTATACATTTCAGAGAAAAGTCGACCATTTTTCCAATACGGTTGTCAAAAGTTTGGCAATAAAGATGGACTGATTCCTTATAAAATAGAAATCTATTCTTGCGATTAATTGAATTCTAGGAAAATCACAAACTGTTGTAGGCCTTTCTGAGAAAAAGCTTCATTTTATCAAGCCGTCATCAAGTTTCTGTTTCAGGCTCACGAGCCGTTGAGAGTATACCATAGAGTTGATGAACACAAGGGTTTCACTCTCCCCCCCTTTATTAGACTACACTATTCTCTATGGTGCGTACGTTGTCTCGGCTAGTAAATATTCATTTGAACATAAATATAAATTATTTTGTTACCATACTTCTCACTAGCTGGAGTGCAAACTACCTATCGCATACTAACCAATATATGTAACCATATTTTTTTATACCGTCAATCTTGATCTTAAAATCGCATTAATGGTAATTTTTTATTGTGTATACTAAGGATAAAGCTTTGCAGTATTAAATACTTACGTGGTGTACTACAAGCTAAATTACTTATTTGATGTCACCATGCATACAGACTTACAAGAATATTATATATATTGTGCTAATCAAATCCTAGGTGGTCTATCAAATGCAATTTTTGATGATCAGTTCTTGTGGGGTGTCATTTCTGCCGTTTCTAAATTGAAATCTGAAACCACCAACTGTACCATTCGACTTTCTCTACCCCCTGTTAGGATTCTTGCTAATGTATTGGTTCCGCGCACCTCTTTTTTGCCCTAATAAAAGTATTTTGCCAAACCCTTCGAGTTTCATTTTCATCACATCGTCAAACAGCATTTATCGCAACAATGGCGTTTTTTCGAGGCCGAGAAATTGATTTTAAAGATACCGGTCAAACAGCAAACGTCCCCGATAATCCAAAAGCACGTCTAATGTACTATCTGGACTGTGTCTCATCGGTAAGTGCGCTTTTAATATGTACCATTCTTATAGTTTCGAGCCACGTTTAAAATCATATTTTCCATCCTCCGTTCTTAAAGCCGCAGAGTATCATGACGCGCTCTCCTCTATATACGATAAAAACGGCCAGACCAGTCTATAGCTGTGGAATTTCTGCATATGATCGGTTTGTCCATTTTGCATGGGCGCTTGAAGGAAAGCGCCTATATAGGGAGTTTTATAGGCTCCACGTAATCAGTTTGCGTGCGACGTAAACCTATAGGCTTGAGGTTTCTTACTTGAGATTTGGTATTTGATCATAAGGTTTAGTTTTAGCGTAGCATGCATGTGAACCTGGCTTGTAAAGCATATTTGCGACCTTTCTAAGATGATGAAATAACGCACAATATATAAAATTGATAAAGTATACGCTTTGACTTTGTCACAAATGAGTTAGCGTTGCAATAATGAGTTATAATTGCGAAGCATTTACATTTACAACAAAGCGGTGTTTAAACCACGATTCTAGGCCAGGGCAAATTCTAAACGCCTTCCCAGGAGATAATTTGAGACATACTGAAATGTCCTTTCAGTTGATTCTACGACCAAAGTCCTGCTAAAAATCACGTTCAGAACGCAGTAAAGGGTCAGACTATAGACCTGTCCTGACTTGCAGTGGACATGCAACTCAGGGTAAGCGAGGCGAGTTGACTGGGGTTTATGTGATGTGTAAACTAAAAATCCGGGCCAAATATTGATTCATTCAAAGGAAACATTATGTCCTTTTTTTTCCATGCACAATCATCGCGCTAGTTTTGATATAATATACTATATATAATTTATAATTATACAATTTAGAAAGACAACTTTATCTAATCTCCTGATTACCCGGAAGATAAAATGCTGTGTATATAGAATATGTTTTTTACTACTGAAGAATAACTTCTTATATTATACTTATAGCTTCTGAAATCGGCAACAGAAAATGTCGATAGAAAGTATATGGACTACAAGAACTACTACAACCTGAGCGACCACGACACTCGTACTTTGGTTGGGCTATGTGAAACATTTTCGTTTTCACTGTTGGATGACAAATGCTTCCATCGTAGCCCGGAACTTTGTGGGGAAAAGATTAACCGCTTTCTGGAAATTTCCTCAAAAGAAGTTACATTTGCAACCGTGCGAAGTTTTGTGGTGCTTGGAAGAGAAGTTAGCGTCGTGAAGATAATGGTTTACAAGGATTGCTGGAAGAAGAGGTATTATGATGATGCACTCTACGAAATGAAGAGAAGTCTTAGACCACCATCGCCACCAACCTATACAACAAGACGCCGCAGTAGCAGTTGCATTATTATATAAAACTTGACTCAATTAATTCAATCATTTCATAAATTATAAGAACTATAAGAAGTTAAGAATGACATATTTTATATGAAGACTGAAATGTATCATTACACTAATAAGAGGTAATCTTTACGTTTGAGTAAATTTGCAGTGTTTAGACACTGACTGTATTAAATTGTTTATCATACGACCAATTCATCAAAACATGACTAACTCACATATTGCACGCTGCCTGATGTTTGTAATATCCAGTAGTTTCTCAATGTGTAATCCTTTTCAAATCGATTTAAAATACAAAGAATGACTTGTATCTTTCTCGTTTGAGTTCGTTTGTAACAGCTATTTCTGTATTAATACTGACTCATGATTTTATTGTCGTATGACGTATCGTTTTAATGCAAAGTTAATGTTTGTGATGTAGTCTCTGAAGCATTCCTCCTCTGCAGTTGTTCCTTCGGCTCGGTATATTCCTTGCGGTGGAACCAGCAGTACAAGATGTCTCTGCAATCTAAAATACGAAAAACGCTGTCAAAAAACGGTGCTTAACAAACTTTAAAAACATTTTAAAACTCGGTGAATTCTCGATGAATAAACAGATTAAACCAACGTTATGTGGGCAAAGGCTGTTTTTCACTTACGCGTTTTTCATACGCACGTACACGCTCGTAAAAGTCTAAATCCTTATACCTGTTACCTTTGAAAAAACTAAGTGAATAAATCGAAGGAACTTAGTTTTCTGCATATTCTAGTATGCATTAGTAGACCTAGATGTTAAATAATAAACTTGTTAAAAGCATTTAAAATATTCCGCGTACGTGTACGTGCGTATATAAAAAACGCGTAAGTGGAAAGCAGCCGAATTGTAACAATAAAACGGGTACTTGCAATCTTGTCCCGCGAGATTCGTGTTTTATTTTCCTGGAAAAAGGTGCGTTTTATGATGCTTTTCAAGGAAAAAATAACGTTGTCGTGACAATAAAAATATAGTAAACACAAGAAACACGCAACAGCGAGATCACTTGAGTAGGCCTGCAGCTGTTGCATGATTGTTTGCCAAACAAATTTTTGCCAAACCTTTTTAGTTTCATCTTATTGTTTTCTGAGCTGCAGCATTTATCGCAGCAATGGCAGTTTTTCGAGGCCGAGAAATTCAAGTCAAAGATTTCGGTAAAACAGTTAACGTCCCCGCTAATCCAAAGGCACGTCTAATGTACTATCTGGACTGTGTCGCAACGGTGAGTGTGTGTGCTTAAATCAATAATTATCACAGTTTTCAACCAGATTTTCCATCCTTTTCCGTCGCAAAGTATATAGACACCCAACACGCCTTGACATTTCAGCTTTATCGGTATCGAGATTTCATGCTTGAGATTAATTTGGCGGTCGAGGTTTACGCTTGGAGTATAAATTTCATCTTTACTTTACTAGGCCAGCTTTTAACTTCAACCGTATCGATAGCGAAAGTTGTTTTATTTCTTTTTCTCAAGCACTAATTCCAGACGAACGTCTGGGTTATAACACTGGTTTCCAGTCCGGAGAATTATCCCTCCTTGGAACCGCTCGAACTATTTCTTTTGTGTTAAAGACAGTTCTGGTTGAGAACACAAGAATGAAATAAATTTTTCTGTCCGATATACGGTCCGAAGCGGACGGGTAATTTTCCTGACTGCAAACCAGCCTTACTATATAGCATATTGGAATGCATATAGAACATATTTTGATTTCAATTGAAATTATATACTTTTATATTATAGGTTCTCGAAACTGTGACAGAGGATATCGATAGAAAATACATGGACTACAGGAACTACTCTAACCTGAGCAACAACGAAACTCGTGCTTTAGCCGGCTTTGTGAATTATTTTCTTTTTCATTATTGGACGGGAAGGTCTTCCATCACAGTCCGGATCTTTGTGGGGACATGAGTAACCGCTTTCTGGAAATTTCCTCAAACGAAGTTACATTTGCAACCGTGCGTAGCTTCACAATGTTAGGACGACAAGTTAGGGTGGCAAAAATTATGGTTTACAACGATTCCTGGAAAAGAAAATACTTTGATGCAATGCGCGAAATGAACAGAAGGCTGAGGTCTCCATCGCCCGTCCGTACAACAACAGAACGCTCCAGTAGCATTTGCATTATTATATAGACATATATAACTTCGTGTGAACAATTTCGGGAAAAAATGTATTTAGGGACATTAATATTATCAAGTGTTGAAGCAGTCTTTGCTTTTATGGATAAATTTATATAAATTATTCGCACTCAAGCACATACACACATTGCATGCACTCAGTAAGATCCAGCAGTTCAAATCAATTTTAAAAACAAAAAATGAGTTGTAAATCTTGCTCGTTTTGTACATATCTGTATTAATACTGATTCATGAGTTTACAAGTGACAGAATATCGTATAATCGTAATGCAATGTTAATGTTTGTGAAGTAGCCTCTTGTGTTTTCTTCCTCTGTCGCCGTCCGACGTTCCATCGGTAGATTCATCGGTGGAACCAGCGGTACAAGGCGACTCTTTAATCTAAAATAAGAAAGCGGTCATCAAAGCATGCAATATAACACTTGAAAACATTAAAAACATTGCTAAGTGGTTTAATTGCGCGAAGGACAATAGATTTGGCAAGCATTTGAAACGCTGATTCAGTAGAAGGAAATATAGGCCGTGAACTAAACCTTAGAATAACTAGGTAAATTTTGTGCGAAGGAGCAGGGGGGGGCACTTCCTCTCGTACATTTGACGCATGCGCACACCAATTTCACGCAGCTAGCTGCCCCTTCCCCCTGTCCCGGTGTCCCTGGGCAACGCAAAGGCGCAGGTTGGATTCCTGGCGGAAGACGGATGGTTGACACATTTTCTCAAATTTTCCTCGCATGAATTTGAGATGTGGATGATTTTCACTCGAAATTAACCCTGTATATATAATACATATAGTTCAGGGGATTGGAAGGAGAATTAGGAGCACAAGAATCTTGATTTTTGACATTTTCACGAAATCCCTATGACCCTATACGAGGCTCTATAATAGAGTTATCACTTTGATTACCTTGACGTCCACTGGTAAAGCTAACAAACAGCAAACTTTATCAGAATCTGGTCCTCCCAACCTCCCAACGCATGCTCTTTTCCCGTCTTCATCCGGATCCATTCTCAACAGCCCGTGTGGACACTTATTGCCGTCCACTTTGTAGAGGCAAGTTACTTTGTCGCTGAATATCGATTGATCCCTTGACGATCCGCCACAATCACCAAGAACAAAGTTTTCTGTGATGAAAAAAGTAGATCGTTTTAGACCTGTTTCTACCTTGTACCATATGCATGTATGAGTTCATGCATTTAGTTTTTAGTTTAGTTCAAAGTTTTCCTTATTCAGACGAGATTTGAACGATATGACTGAACCTCTACTAGGAAGTTGTTACTGGAACAACAGTTCTTACTGGAACTCTAGGATGAACAGTTTAGAACTGATAGAGCTATCCAGTATAAATAAAGTTAGTTTAGTTTAGGTTTCCTCCTGTAGTAACACTGTATCAATAAGAGAAGATCTTTCCTGGACCTCTCTTAGGGGCTGTTTACATGAGCCCGGTTACCCGAGATTCAACGAAGCTTGAGAGGACTTTGAGGTGTTCACGCTTCGTTGAATCTCGGGTAACCGCGGGCTCATGTCAACAGCCCCTTACTGACCAAGAATTCACTCCAAAAAAACGAAATAGTATACTCTCCTTACTTTAGACTATAGAAATCAATTTCAGATTTTGTTGAAAATCGTTTTAGTCGAGGTAGTATTGTTATGAAAGCGTTAACGCTGACTTTGCTTTGTTATGTTAAATATTTAAATCGTTTGTAATGGTCCATTTGTCTGTATAAAAAGGTTTAATGAAAAATATATTTGTGTCAGAATACCCAGATCGAGAGTGAGTTTACTTCACGATAAGGAAGAAAAACCTAACAGTATACTCCAGAAACGCCGCTTTTAATTCAAAAGTTAGTTAAATAAAAGTCAGTATGTTAATATCTACTAACCTGCACAAAAAACGACCAAAATTATGAGAATAGGCAGCATTTTAACGCTGAGATTCATTTTCAATTTCAGTGTTCAACTATATTTAAGACGAAAGATTTTAATTGGAAATTTATAATTAGCTAAAGAAAATAGTGTAGCCGGCTGTTACCTTTGTGAACAGTTATGAAATACTTTAAACTTGATTAAAGGCAGAGGATTTCGGGCTATCAACTTAAATCCTGCTTCAGGCGCAAGTCTACATTAATTTGTGCATGCCGGTTCAAAATTTCAAACGACTCAAATATCCGATTATCGGTAGCAGTCTTACCATCATCTTGAATTGTTGCGAGGTGAAATCTCAATATAAATTTAAACAACAAACCTGGTTAGCTTTTCTTTAACGCTTTCCCTTTGAAACTGAATGCAAAATAAGTTGATTCCGTTTCAGTGCCTGCCTCTTGGATAAACGCTCCAATGATTTATCGGTGATCTCATTTTCAAATCACGAGATTATACCAGTTAAGAGAAATATCATAGAGATACCATTGTTAATACAGACGCTAACAAAACAAACAGTTTGGTGCATGGAAAGCATTATAAATTTTCAAACGAATTTCAGAAATTTGATGGATTGAAATTCGTTCTTGTAACTCTATTTTGAATATGAAGATTTGATGATCTCAAAGCAAATACCGTGAAAATTTATAAAATGTCACAGGTTCGTCATCTTTTTTTGTAATTTTCAAAAGAAGCACCATGAAATTGTGTCATCTTTTAACTAATATGGTTGTCAGTTCACAGTTTGTATCTTACAATATAAGTGTTATCAAGTTATTACGTCGTACTTATATACGATACTTTGCAGAAAATCCTCAAATCCGGCGATCAAAAAAATTCGAAGAACAACAGAATTCTTGCCATTCAAGGTGGGTTTTAAATTTCGTTTTAGCTGTGGCTTTATTGCGGACTATACTCTGCATTTGACTGTTTGGGAACATTAATACTTTCAAAAGCTACTGAGTTTAATCCATCTTGCCGTGGCAACAAATTCATACCATTAAAACGACATGCTTTTTATAGGATTTATAACGTCAGCCCAAATATATTGCTTCTTGCGCAATTTATATTGAAAGTACCTGCCCTGAGGCCGTTTGTATAAAATTCGTTTGGCCTTTGAATAGGAAAAAACCCAGACTGCATACTTACTACAGAGTTGTTTTTTTAAATGAATGCAACAACATTGTTTCCTATTGGGCTGAATTTTTCAATCAAAACGTGGTTTTTCGCTTAATTTTCCTCTCAATTGTCACCAGTCATGGGAATCCATTATAACGGTCGAATTCTCACAATTGAAAAGAATTCAAGATTCTCCGTCTGTATGAAAACCGCCTTTACAACGCCAAATATCAGATTTACTGCTTTCAATCTTTCCCAGCTTAATTTTAAACAGTTCTACCGTGAGAGTCATTTTAAATTTAAATATACTAATAGATTTATTTACAGGCTTTTTAAGGTATTAATATATTCAAATGTGAACTGTCATAGTTTATATTTTGATGGAAAATATCATCGTAAATTGCTACTCTTAAAATAAATGTTAAGAATTCAAACAATATCATTGGTCGACAACTAAACATGTTTACAATACCAGTGTTTCATCTGGGTAAAAGCTAAATCCTGTATTTCATAGGTCTATGAAGTTTTTCCGGAATATGGCCCAGCTGACATCAGGTGGTTCAATGCATACAAGAATTTTCTATGTTGCTTGGATACTGCTCATCATATCCCATAAGTCCTTCTCACAAGAATCCCCCACAACTCCGGCCCCAACACTCGCCCCAACCACGCCCCCAGGCCCTGAATGGCCGGCCGCAATCAGGGAAGCTCTGGAGCACCGCGATTCATTTTTGGAAGCAATCCGAACGATCAAAGACGATCACACTGTGGCAAATGTTAGAGCAAGTATCCCAAAACTCGAGGCACTGCTTTCGGCTTTCGAAAGCTTCCATGAAGTAGATTTCAAAACGGCCCAAGCCCACGATGACGAAGAAACTCGTAAACTTTTCAGAAAAATCAGTGAAAAATTTACCAAAATACAAGTCCGCGATCTTTATCGACCTTTGTCGCTCGAGAAAGACTACCAGCGAACTGGTCTTGGATATGCCCTGGGAAAATTCAAAAACATTTACGATATCGACTGCTTGTACAAATTAATATCCCCTCCCAAAGCTCCACGAGAAATACGATTACCGCTTGACAAGATGTGTGTCGGAATGAAGGCGCCGAATTCCGACTATGCACCGATTAGTACGATATGTAGAGATTTCAATACGTGCGTGCAGTCGGAGGATGATGACACATCAGATGCTTGTACAAGCGGAAATAAATGCGACATACCCAAGGCTGTGCCAAAATTTGCCGCCTTGCTTTGGTATAAAATCAGCAACTACCTAGTCCAGGTTATTTGTGGAACTTTCAGCGAAGATGATGACAGACTGTCTGCTCGTCGACATTCTCAAAGAGATGATGACGATGAAGAAGACGTTCGCAAGATTGCTTATCAAAACATGCAAAGAGATTTAAAACATGTTATGTCTTATATGATGAACACTGACTGGGATAACTTCTTCTCAAGCTTCGTCAGTTCCGGAGGATTCAGCACGCTGCCAAGGTTGATGGAATTAGTAGGAGAGCGAAGAGAATTTATGAGGTTATTTTAAAAGAATCATTATTTCCACTATGTTATTGTTTTTGCTGCTGTAGTGGTAACTGTTGTTGTCTCTCTCTTTGTCGTTTTGGTTAGCGTTCTGGTTGTCCTTGTCCTTTTCGGATGAGGTTTAATTTCATTGTCGTTGTCGGTATCGTCGTATTGTTGTCGTTGTCGTTATCGTAGTCGTTGTCGTTGCCGTTGTCGCTTTTGTTGTCGTTGTCGTTGTCGTTGCTGTTGTCGTTGTCGCTGTTGTTGTCGTAGTCATTGTCGTAGTCGTTGTCGTAGTCATTGTCGTTGTCGTAGTCGTTGCCGTTGTCGCTGTTGTTGTCGTTGTCGTTGCCGTTGTCGCTGTTGTTGTCGTTGTCGTTATCGTAGTCGTTGTCGTAGTCGTAGTTGTTACCGTTGTCGTTGTCGTTGTCGTTGTCGCTGTTCATGTTATTCTTGTTTTTATTCTTCCTTCCATTTCAGCCATGCTGCTGTTGCTTGCAATGACCTGAATGCAGAGAGTGTGTGCGCCATTGCAGACATTTACAAACAATATACTCTACTGGCAAAGATCGCAGGAGGTTCAATGGTTGGCCCGATTCGCGACCTTCGTGTTAAAGAAGGCGTAAACATCGCCGGTCTGCTGTCAAAGACAAAAGATGACATGCAACACTTGGAAACGATGGCCGCCATCAGGTGATAAAACATCTTAATGAATTTGAATTTTGAAATGATATATTTTCCCATAGCCTATTAGAATACAGCTAACATTTCGGGATGATCATACACTTGGGAACGGTTGTATAAAACTCTTTAACTACATTTTGAATAGTTAAATCCTAGTTAACTCAGAAATACACAACTCTGTTTGGCCAATTCTATCCTTAACTACAGTTAAAAGTTAACTAGTCTTTTGTACAATTGACCCCTGGTTTTACTTCAACTTGTAAATGGTATTGTTCAAATTTCAAGTTACAAAGCAGATAGCATCGTCCAACAGCTCAAGTTTAAAGAGGCTGTCTCTCAGACTAACGGCATTTGGATTGTCTTTGGTAATACACAAATGCTATAACTCCATGCTACATATTTCGCTGCAGCTCTGTGGACGCAAATCTTGAAGCATCCGTCGCTGGTATAGCAAGTTATTTCAGAACACTAGCACAGTTCGACCAAGATATCGCCCAACAGGATGTTGGTTACATCGATGACAAACTAAAAGAATTTCGCAAAAAAACAACAGAGGTACAAGGGAAATTGAAAGGAGACTTTGGCACACTTATGGGTATAGTTGAGACGGCTCTGGCAGCGCAATTAATTTCCGAAGTCACAAGATTGGCCTCAGTTATCGCTGAAAATTCAAATCCAATGAAGGTAAAAAAATGGTACACTCGACCATGGTCGAATATAGCGAAATATAGTACACTCGACCATGGTCAAATATAGCGAAATATGGTACACTCGACCATGGTCGAATATACCGAAATATAGTACACTCGCGACCATGGTCAAATATAGCGAAATATGGTACACTCGACCATGGTCGAATATAGCGAAATATAGTACACTCGACCATGGTTAAATATAGCGAAATATGGTACACTCGACCATGGTCGAATATAGCGAAATATGGTACACTCGACCATGGTCGAATATACCAAAATATGGTACACTCGACCATGGTCAAATATAGCGAAAAATGGTACACTCGACCATGGTCGAATATACCAAAATATGGTGAACTCGACCATGGTCAAATATAGCGAAAAATGGTATACTCGACCATGGTCGAATATACCGAAATATGGTACACTTGACCATGGTCGAATATACCAAAATATGGTACACTCGACCATGGTCAAATATAGCGAAATATAGCCCGCATAGAGGTGTTGATGTACGGTTCAAAACATGACATCAGTCAGCGAGAATGCTCGATCTGCGTTCTATGGCATTGACGATTGCTTACTCCTGCATGATATAGGTTTTTTAAATCATTCGTTCTCTTTCAAAGGTGATGTTGACCGGTGTTGATGTTGATGAGTTGTATGAACGAACCACTGCCGTGGTTGCCGCTGCCCAGCAAGTGGTTGTCGGAGCTCGACTCGTTGAAGCGATAAAGAACCTGGCGCAAGGTTTGGTCCAGAGAACTCTTTCAAGAATTTAGCCAAAATTGGAAATGTTTAAAAACTACAAAACCCTAATTGCCCATCATTTTGTTACATTCAGACAAGTATGAGTATGATTATGTTCGGTTATTCCTCCAGTTTACATACTACAACAGATTCTATAAGACTCCCTGCTGAAAAAAGACAAACTTTATTTGCGTGGAAATGTCTATCTACCTTATTGTAGTTGCCTTAGAGGTGATCACCGACTATATATTCAATTTTCACCCTAGATTCCTTAAAGCTGATAGAAAATTTCCAAGAAAACAGAAATCAGCTGGATGGTCTGATGACGCTCGTTGACGCAACTACAGATGCCGAATCGGATGTCATTAAAAAGAATGCGGATAAATTTGTTGAAGATTACGGTGCTTATACGCCAATGGTTAGTAAATTTGAACGTGTATCAGTCTGAGTCTCTGAGATGGGCATGTCATCCTTCACATTTACACCCCCAAATCAGTCGGTACGACCCCACAACCGAAGATCTTGTTAAATATGTAGATCTTATTAAGGTGGGTAGGAAGTCACCCCTCGTCCACTCTTACAACACCAGCCCTTCTCGGCACGACCCTACAACCCAATATCTTATTAATACGTATATCTGTCTGAGGTGGGTAGGACTTCACCTCTCACCCATCTTTAGATCACCTCCTCACTCAGCACGACCCCACAACCCAAGATCTTGGCAATATCAAGATCCCAGATAACCTTCTACCTATAGCTGTTTGCATTCACATCTTTCAAAAAAAGGAAGTTCGAAACCCATTCTTATAATTCAAGGTTAACCGCGCTGATTTGGATAAAAATTCAGGCTTATGGACTGCATACAAAGAGAGAGCTTGTGAACTATTATCTGGTGCATCAGGGGAAGATATTGAGTTACCCATTGGACAGACAGTGCAAGGCGTTCTGTTATTATGCGAAAAACTTGAGGGAACTTTGGCGGAATACTTCACGCTACGAGAGGAGATATTTGACTTCCAATTTCAACTGGTTGACGCGCTCACGAAAGTCATCAGAGGTGATTTCTAGAAGGAATACGTCAATAGACCTTATGCAGAATGACTGACGTAACAAGCCGTGACACCTGCAGGGAATTCTGGTCTTAGTAGTCATGGCGGGAAATTTTGAAGTTTGGATTTTCTCGCCGTGACTGCATCACGACTTGATACGTCATCATGCATAAGGTCTATTGTTACAAAACTTTTTACTGAAGTTTTAACTGTGACTTTATGAATCCTGTTTTCCATTTAGGATCTAATTATTCGACATATATAATTATTTTTACAAAGATTCATGTAAAAACTGGCCTTTTATTACAAAGATAGCTAAATATATCTCGACCGGATAAGAACATGTTTTGGGAACATTTTTGAGAAGCGCCGTGTAGTTTACATCTAACTCTTCTGTATTTGCAAAATGCATTTCTTTCCATTTCGTCTAGGTGTGATTGCAAAAGATTTGGCTTCCTCAATCGAAGGCAAGAATGAAGTGTTCAACGTTTACGATTTGGTCAGAGGATTCGCCATGCAACACCACAATCTCCAATCAAATATCTACCTTTATTGCAATATTTTGCAGTATAAAAACCACGGCCGAAGAGACCGTCGATGTCTAACCAGCGGCTTTTTCGATTATGCCATACTTAACGAGCTAACAGAGATCACGGAGCCTCCGTATTACACACAATCTCGCTACGTGTTCATCCCAACCAGACCTGAGCGTGTTGGTGACACAGGTTACATCAATCTTCCATCGTTGGCAGCTGGAAATGATGTAGGTTTTGAGTGCGTCCTTTCTAAGAGTCAAATGACCTCAAGTTTATCAACCCAGTAAAAATACTCTTTCTACGAAGTAATAGTTGATCATTTAGTGATGTCGCGGATTGCAAAACATTTTTTACATCATTTTGGCATTGGAAAAGTTTGACACTTCCTCAGTTATACGACTGAACAGCAATGATGTCAAAACAAACACTAAGATATGATTATTCACTTCTGCATGATAGATGTTTTATATTTAGTCCATTGACTTGCAATGTGTGTGCGACAAACAAACTAAAGGCAATGCAGTACTGCTTTATCAATAAAAGACTATATTCTATATAACTAGTAAATTTGATTCAAAAAATGGGATCGTGTGAAAACACATTTAAAAACAACAATATTTATCATAACGACACCACTGACTTGCCAGGATCCGAAGGTCTTTTGTATCGTGAAAATCAATTTATCAATCTATTTCTTCAAGGTAATATTTCAACTGCCAAGAGATCGTGTTTGGCTGACGGATAATAAATGGATCACTTGCGAAGAAGTAACGGCGCCATTTGTTTCAAGCATCAAAGTGTATCTTCCTCTTGGTGACTATTCAGGTGTCCAGGAGCGACACACCGTCACGACCACAACCATTGCAAGTGATTTAGGTCAGGGCAAGTTGATACTGAAAAATGTTTACGTTTAAAATATAGAACCTAACAAGTGAAGAGTACTCTGTACTTGGAATGTTTTTACTTTTTAGGAAGCTTTGCTCACTACAATAAAGATATTCGCTATTTGCTACCAACCACTCACACCAGTTTTATCACAACATACGAGAAAGGACATCGAAATTGTCCTTTTGGTAAAGAAATGGCCGATCCATACGGCCTTTGCGAGACGATTCCTAACATATGTGACAATACCGACCATGATTTGACGTCAACCGTGTTGTTACGACCTACAATATTGTCTTCGTGGAAGTTATCATATTCCGTCATGTCGGGCTCAAATAGAGTGGATTGGATTGCCCCAAAACCAGCTACCAAGCTTTACTTCCTGGCAAAGGTATATGTTTCCTGGTTTGTCCACCTTCATGAAACATGGCTAGGAAACAATGTTTCCTGGTTTGTCCACCTTCATGAAACATGGCTAGGAAACAATGTTTCTTGGTTTGTCCACCTTCAAGGAAACAATGTTTCCTGGCCGTTTACCTTCATGAAACATAGCTACGAAACAATGTTTCCTGATTTGTCTAGCTTGCACGACTTGACCATTCGAAAGCCTCAAAGAGGCTCTGAGATGGATGATTTCAAACGAGCGACCTGAGTATTCATAAATCCTTGTATTTAGGTAACGTTAAAAATGCTTCACGACCCAGACATTGAATGCACAACAGAGGGAAAGAGACGAAAGAGACGTGCAACCAGCGGATGGCATTGTTGCAACGAAGGCAACAAGCATTTCGTGAAATGGCAAAATATTTGCGAGGATTGTCCGGAGGACTCGACGTCCCACCTTGGAGGGTATTATTGTGAGAGAAACGAAGACAAATCACGAAAAAATTCAACGTATTTCTAGGCTTCTAGCAATGTGTGTCAGCAGATAATGTCTAACAACGAATATATTATAAAGGTAACCTATAGCTTTGGAAAAATTCTGAATAAGGAGTCTGAACGCTACAGTTACATTGCCGTTCGTTGGCCAGCAGTGAACATTCTAAATTAATGAAAAGCATAAAACACTTTAACCATAGAACACAAATAAACAAAATAAATAGATGAAATACAACAACATCGCCTGTTTTCAAAAAGCTCACTCACAATCTCTGAGGCATAGAAGTTTTGTTATTACTGATCAATGAGAAAGTTCTTTCTTGATCAATGAAAAGAATTAAGGTAAAACATTGAAAACCAAGCTGTTGTTTGACTGAAAATACCGCCAGAAAATACCACAGTTGTCATAGCTGCATAACTAATTTCCGCTAGCGTATTTCAAGCAAAATAGTTTGACTAGCGAATAGCGACGTCGAGTTTACCGGGGTTGGGATAAAATGCGGATTGCGGACAAAAAGAATAAAATGCGGTTTGCGGACAAAAGAAATAAAATGCGGATTGCGGACAAAAAGAATAAAATGCGGATTGCGGACAAAAAGAATAAAATGCGGATGCGGACAAAAAGAATAAAATGCGGATGCGGACAAAAAGAATAAAATGCGGACGGACGGACAAAATGGATAAAATGCGGATTGCGGAGAAAAAGAATAAAATGCGGATTGCGAATAAAAAGAATAAACTGATCCGCAATTAGCATTTTATTATTTTTGTCCGCAATCCGCATTTTATTCTTTTTGTCCGCAATCCGCATTTTTTTCTTTTTGTCCGCAATCCGCATTTTTTTCTTTTTGTCCGCAATCCGCATTTTATTCTTTTTGTCCGCGTCGTAGATCTTGTATACACTATATTCGTGCTTACATGAAACATTTATGAAGTTCACTGTCCCCCTCCGGTCATGGCGACATTTTTTTTGGGAGCCTCCCCCGGTTTCATCTCGTAGCACATGGCACGTTCTCTTCGAGTGCAAATTTTGAAGTGTTAAAAGAGTGTTTATACTTTTGTAAACTTTGTTTTCTGTACAATATGGGAGCGTATTTAGCTAAACCTATAACTGAAAAAGAATCTTTTGATGAATCTAATGGCAAGATTTCCTGTGGCGGTTCAGAAATGCAAGGCTGGCGTGTCTCAATGGAGGTACTATATAATAAAATAATCCGTTAGAAATATATTCGTTCATTTCCTACAGATCTACACCGCTTTTTGACCGTGTATAATCAAATTTGTTTGCACAAGGTGGGTTAATTTAGCAGGACTTCAGTATATGAGTATTTATTCTGTCCAACGTTTCCACCGCTAGTTTTGCATTCTATGACTAGTTGTATACCAGAATGAATGAAATTTATTTGCATTCAATACTAAAGATGGATAGTCTGACAAGTTTTTAGGCTACCATTAGATAGTGCTGTTGACTTCTTGATGGTTAGCAAACCACCATTGTAGTTAATGTCACAACATCTCAAGCAGGGAGAGAGGTTGCGCACACACTATCCTTTCTTAGAAATTGCCATACATTTCCTATAATCCACTTTATTTGGATATTTCAGAGATGTGCAAATAGTTAAGTGGTCAAGCAGTTTGTCTCTCCTATAGAATGTCAGGGTTCGAAAGCTGGCCTGGTTTTTTTCAGATTTTTTTTGTTTTTTTAACTTTCATTTTACAATTCTGAGATTGAACAGGCACACAGTATGTTTTTGTTAGATCTGGGGGTTATTTTAGGCCAAGGTTTTTCACAGTGTATTTGTCCTTAATAGGAGTGATTGTAATCTCATATCAAGGGCCTTTGAGAGTTTTTGACTGAGAGGTTTTGACTGTTTTGTGGATAGAAAACAGCTTATAACCCTCTCTCTCGATCATTCCAAGATGTAACAATATCCCCACTACCTTGACTATTATTTCATCAGCTCTTTAGATCAGACCTAAGACACTATTAAGAAGGATGCCTTTGAGATGCCAGAAAATAGTTTGATTATAACCTATTGATTGATGGTTGTCAAGACATATAGTGTTAACATCTAATTGGTTTTCAAATGGGGCACCACTGATTTCAGAAGTAATTTATTGCTGAGACAAACAGCGTATTGCATTTGATACAAATCCCTAATCCTTGTACATGCACAGAAAGATGTGTTCTGTACACAAAGGACTTCTCTCAATTGTTTTTGCTGATGTGGTTCTTAATAGCTCTAGATTTATTCTTTGAAACTCCTAATCAATTTTTGATATGAAAATACATAAGTACATATATATACAAGAACAAAAATGTTTCAGGAATTCTGTTTGACTTTAATTTCTGTTTTTATCAAGGATGCTCACAGTTGTATATTAGATTATGGTGATGATTTGTCATTGTTTGGTGTCTATGATGGTCATGGAGGTACATTTTGCTGTATATTTGTGTATACTTTGGGGTTTTTGAGATACATTGTAACCTTACAAGGTACTTGTAATGCACAAAACTATCGACAGTTGGAAATTTTTATATATTTAACAGGGTCAGAAGTTGCATCATACACTGCAAAGAACCTACCCAGTTTCCTTAAAACAACTGATGACTTTCGAGATGGTAACCTGAAGGATTGTCTTGTAAATGGATTCTTGCAGTTCGACCAGCAGCTTATTTCTGATGAGGTAAGCGTGCAAGTGAACCACCAATGATTGTGCTTTTTCGGAAAAGATTTCTGTTTTAATGTGGTCCATCAACTGAAAACTGAAACTCAGGTTGATTTGGGATGCAATTAATTGAGTGTTATTTGCACGATTTGTATTTGCTGTATTTGAAATCGTCATAAGCGATATGATTTCATTAAGGTTATGGCCAAACTCCGGGAAATGGCTGGTTTAAATGATACGCAGGCAAATGATAGTGAGATCACTGCCTTAAGAGAAGAAGCTGAGATGCCAATTCATGAACTGATGTCAAAGTTAAAACAGGTGTGTAAATGTTATCTGGTGTATATTGTGACAATTGATTTAATCATTTACAAGTGCAGTTGGTTTATCTAAATTGCGGAAAAGCCTTCCAACTTTTAGCAAGGCTGAACTTATGACTGTAACAGGCAGTCAACCTAACCTTACAATTCCCGACAAAAAGCTATCCAAGAAATGATGTTGTATACTTAAGCACTGGGTTTATAACTAAGTTGTCTCTGCCATTTGCCAACTATGACAATGCTGTATGTTTTTTAGGGCGGATATAATATTGAAACTCTGAAAGAAGATGATGAAGAAAATGATCTAGAAAAAGCACCAATGGATGAAAAAGATGGTACTGCATTAAGATTCACACCAAATAGGCCTTGTAGAAGTTGCCACATTGAACTGTAGGGAATAATGCAAGAGCTTTTACTGTTCTTATATGCTACTTCTAGTAGTGTTGTGCTAAGAAATGTGTTTGTGTTTATGTTGTACAAACCAACATATACTGTATAACATGCCTATAGCCCTATAAATACATACAAATCGCTTAGTCAGGTGTTAGTGTAAATACATTCCAAAGAAAATGCATCCATGACATTCATTTACAATACTTTTGCATTGACTAAATTGTCTTCATTCACATGAACTGTGGCTTTTCTTTACAGAAGGCGAATCCAGCAAAGTTGTAAAAAAATCCGTCAATAACAATGTTGATAAGGAAGAGAAAGAGATTGTCACGGATGAAAAACCAGCTGTAAAAGGAAAATCTGACAAAGTTTCAGAGATTTCTGAGGAGGCTGAAAAGAAACAGGATGATAAAGTGAACGGGGAGAAAAAAACAGAAGAAAATGATGGCGATGATGATAATGTGGAAATTGATGAGGTAAATTTATAAACTGAAAATTCTCCTGGCTTCATTCCTGAAAATACATTTTCATTAATTCAAAAAAATTCATTTACTTTCAAAGGCCTCCATTCCATTCTCTAGCAAAATGTTTCATGAGTTTTTACTTGCCTGCTCACTTTAAGGTCTTGCAGGCTACTCTAATCTGCTATCACCCAGGGCAGTGAAGTGGTCAGATTTGGGTATTGCTATTATTATCAGGGCTCTGCTGAAAATTGCTTTGCAAGATAGGCTCCCTGTTAAAATATTAACGGATTGATCAAAGAATGTATCTCTCAATGTCTTGTTGAAGCAAACCTTTTATTCTGTTTAGTAAACGGAAGTACTGTAGTACAGGTAGAATGGCCTTGATAGATGATTATTCTCAGGTAATCTTTCCTTACTTTAGGAGGACGATGATGATGAAGATGATGATGATGATGAGGATAGTGAAGACGACGAAGAGGAGGATGTTGAAGATGAAGACGAAGACCAGGCACAATGGCATGATGGAGATGAGGTAAGAACAGTGAACTCTATACAACGGGAACAATAACTCCTGACAAACATCTTGTTAGCTTTAAGACAAAATAGTTTTTCTGAGTTTTGAGACGAAATACTTGACGCCAGACGTTGGGCTGTGTGTCAAATTAAAGCTATTGAAAAGTTGTGTTTTATGTGGAAATTTCAAGACAAGACTTAAACTACACAAGAAAAAAAACAATTACCAACCGACAAAAACCCGGGAAATTTTCAAATATTTTTTAGATATTTTCCTTTGAGCTGAAGTCACGAAATATAACTTTTAATAGTTTTAATATCATATACGGCTCAACATTTGGCGTCAAGTATTTCAGCTCATAACTCAGAAAAAGTAAAAAACACTGGTTTCAATTTTCCCCCTGAGTTATCGTTCCAGTTTGTTTACAGTTCAATGTGTCAGGATATTAGGATATAACTCGAAGTTGGATGATTAGTACTTTGAATTGGACTAAAATGAATGAGTTTTCTATTTGCTTTTTCTTTTTCGCAGGTTGGTTATGACAGTGGAACGACAGCCATCGTAGCGTTGTTAAAAAAAGACAAACTTCTCGTCGCAAACGTTGGAGATTCCCGGTGCGTGTTGTGTCGAAATGGCGTCGCCATCGATATGTCCGTAGATCACAAACCGGACGATAATAACGAGTTGAAACGAATACAAAATGCCGGTGGAAAAGTTACCGCAGAGGGTCGAGTTAATGGGGGATTAAATCTTTCTAGAGCTTTAGGTAAGAATGTAGTACAAGTGCTATTTATAGTCTGTGTAGGTTGAATTTGAAACCAACTGATGGCTTGCGTATATTCGTTAAACGAATATACTTTCCTTGGTGTAGCGTTTTTTTTCTCGCGCGAAACGTTCCTTTCCACACGAAGATTTTTTTCTCGAGAAAGTATTCTTTCCGACGAAAAAGTTCTTTTCCCATGTAAACGTTCTTTTCTCACGAGAAGTGTTCTTTTTCCCACGGTTGCAACATTAAAGATACATTTTTGCAACATTTACCTTTGATACATTTTAGAATGTTCTAAATTATATATTGTTACTTTGTGCTGCTTCGAAAGAACAATCGAACGATTTTTCGAACGCGTACGGCGCGTTTTAGTTTTTTGGCATTTGTTTTTCTTTTCGATAGACCCGCGTGTTCTCCAAGTCCCCATCAATGATTGAAAATATGAATATTTAAAAAAAAGTTTTAACTTTCCAGTGCAATTCTTTAGTTTTTGTTGCCTTTGTCAATCAGTTTTTTTCAAGATGGATTAATGAGAGATTTTATGTAAGATTTTATCAATTTAAACCCGGATCGGAGTTGTAAATTAAACGTTCCAAGATCGGTTTACACTTGTTGCGAGTTTTCCTGCGAGTTTTCCTGCGAATTTTCGTCTTTTCACGGATGAAAACGAACGAAAAAGTTGAATTCCTCATGCACACGTGTTCTTATTATAAACATTTGTATATTATCTTCTCTTTCACATCTATCAAAAGTAGGCAATCGCCCATGAAATGCAATATGATAATTTGTTTTCGTTGTCTATAGGTGACCACCGGTACAAGGGAAAGAGCGATTTAGGGGCAGATGAACAACAAATCACAGCTTTTCCAGATGTGAAGGAGACAAAAATCACCGAGTGAGTGTCTGAGTGACAATTCTAAAACGATTGTATTATAGATATTATCTCGCTTAGAACAACGATAGTTCAAGATTGCTTCATGAGGGTTGTGTGGGAGTTATAGGCCAACTCTGTATGGGAGGGGGGCATGGGGATGTACTCCCCTGGTGCAACTACGGAGTCTAAAAATATTGTATCCAAGGTACTTCAAAAATCTGCAAATATTACAATATTATGTAATCATTTTTCACAGGGCAGACAAGTTTGTTGTGCTGGCCTGCGATGGAATTTGGTAAGTATAGCTTTGGAGTCTTACAGGACAAAACTTGAAAGATATCTTCCATTTTCATCGAAGTCTTTGCAGCTTTGTTTACTTGTGCTTTTTGCGGTTCTAGGAATGTTTTAACAAGTCAGGAAGTTGTCGATTTTGTGTCAGAAAGATTGGAACGTCGCGGTGCTTCCGATAGCGTCTCATTATCAAAAATTTGCGAAGAGGTGAATCATCATTTCATTTTTATTTTCGACCCGGCATGGTGGTGGCACCCAGACGTTTACAGCTTATGGTTTTTTTTTCGTTGTAGATGTTCGAGAGATGTTTAGCGGAGGATACCTCGGGAGATGGGACTGGCTGTGACAATATGACTGCCATCATAGTATTGTTAAACGATAGCAGAAATCTTCAGCATAATGCAAAACGAAAGGCCGACGACAAGGCGGGCGAGAACGATGCTAAAAAATCGAAGACCGCATGAGGTCCTGATCGTTGATGAAACTGGATTGAGAAACAATAACAGTGATAACATAGGTTTTTATACAAAATTTTGTTGCTCAGTCCAGTTTCATGATAGGGTCGGTGTTGTGTTGGAGCATCCCGCAGATAAATGATCCTCGTATATATTATAACTGAGCCTATGTACATTTCAGCTGACAAACAGCAGTTCTTATTCGTAGAAAAAAGTGCTAAAAAGCTTCTAGTTCAGGCGACTCGATCCCCAGTTATTTTTCTTACGGATTGTGGAAAACGGAGAGTAGGGAGATTCAGCATGAGGACGTGAACGTCAAAGACGACGTGAAAATAACGAGTAAATGGCGTGGAATGTCCATATTTGGGCGCATCACGCCATTTATTCGCCATTTTCACGTCGTCTTTGACGTTCACGTCCTCATGCTAAATCGCCCTAAAATTCTCTTCAGCACGTTCATGGAAAAATCCATGTTAGGCCGTCGTAGTTACAAGTACAATTTATCGGTCAGAACACATAGCTCGTAAGAAAACCGCAACTATTTCATCGCCTTTTAAGAAAAGTTTTATCGCTATAGCAAGTCACCACCTTTTAAAATCATTTTACGAAAACGTATAAGTTTTTTCAATCTATCGTTAACTGTCATCAAACACTATATTGGATTTTCCTGTTCTTTTAATTTATTAAATAAAGTTGAATTATTGTTCGGTTTTTTTTCTAAACGCTTCCAATTTTCATAATTATTTGCAGAACATTTTCGACTTTTTCAATGTTTTAAAAATTGTGCAAAAATCTGCTCAAAGGGTTAGTCTCTTAAAATCCTCCGCTTTAAGCCCTGTCTTCTGTAGTAACACTGGATCAATAAGAGATATAGATAAAGTTAGTTTAGTTTAGATTTTCTCCTGTAGTAACACTGGATCAATAAGAGATGATCATCACTGGACTTCTAGGAAGAACAGTTTAGAACTGATAGAGCTCTCCAGGATAAATAAAGATAATTTAATTTAGGTTTCCTCCTGTAGTAACACTGGATCAATAAGAGATGATCATCACTGGACTTCTAGGAAGAACAGTTTAGAACTGATAGAGCTCTCCAGTATAAATAAAGATAATTTAATTTAGGTTTCCTCCTGTAGTAACACTGGATCAATAAGAGATGATCCTTACTGGACCTCTAGGAAGAACAGTTTAGAATTGATATAGCTATCCAGTATAAATAAAGTTAGTTTAGTTTAGGTTTCATCCTGTAGTAACACTGGATCAATAAGAGATGATCCTTACTGGAGCTCTAGGAAGAACAGTTTAGAATTGATAGAGCTATCGAGAATAAAATAAGGTTAGTTTAGTTTAGGTTTCCTTCTGTAGTAACACTGGATCAATAAGAGATGATCCTTACTGGACCTCTGGGTAGAAGAATTACCCAATATAAATAAAGTTTGGGTACTTTAGCTTCCTTCTGTAAGATCTCAAGATTTGTTTCTCTGGTGGCGAAGGCGATGTTCTCGCAAATCGAACATTTCCAATGGTGGAAAACCTTTATTATCCCAACTGGAAATTCCGAGACGTGCGAGGCGCGCTTACGTGTATTATCTCTACGCATGTGTCCTGTGCAGGTGGTCATCGTTCACTATCCGATGAAATTAACAAAATTTTGAAAGTCTTTTAATCACTTCATATCTTAATCAAAACAACCTGATAAAATTTTCAAATTCGTCAATTTTGGTAAAATACCCAAAATTGACGAAATTTTCAATGTTCCAAAACCCAACCATATATGCTCAAAAACCAAAGGAATTAATCTTAGGCGCTATTTTTGGCATGGTAACACAGTTTTAGAAAATTTTGAAAAGTCGTCAAAATTGACCAAAATGGTAAGGCTTACCCCTTACCATTTTGGTCAATTTTGACGACTTTTTGAACTTTTCAAAAACTGTCTTAAAATGCTAAAAATGGCTTCCTAAGGCTAATATCTTTCATTTTAGAGCATTTTGAGACAAATTTTGAAAAGTTGAAAAAGTCGTCAAAATTGACCAAAATGGTAAGGCTTATACCCCTTACCATTTTGGTCAATTTTGACGACTTTTTGAACTTTTCAAAAACTGTCTTAAAATGCTAAAAATGGCTTCCTAAGGCTAATATCTTTCATTTTAGAGCATTTTGAGACAGTTTTTGAAAAGTTGAAAAAGTCGTCAAAATTGACCAAAATGGTAAGGCTTACCCCTTACCATTTTGGTCAATTTTGACGACTTTTTGAACTTTTCAAAAATTGTCTTAAAATGCTAAAAATGGCTTCCTAAGACTAATATCTTTCATTTTAGAGCGTTTTGAGACACTTTTTGAACAGTGGAAAAAGTCGTCAAAATTGACCAAAATGGTAAGGCTTACCCCTTACCATTTTGGTCAATTTTGACGACTTTTTGAACTTTTCAAAAACTGTCTTAAAATGCTAAAAATGGCTTCCTAAGACTAATATCTTTCATTCTAGAGCATTTTGAGACAGTTTTTGAAAAGTTGAACAAGTCGTCAAAATTGACCAAAATGGTAAGGCTTACCCCTTACCATTTTGGTCAATTTTGACGACTTTTTGAACTTTTCAAAAACTGTCTTAAAATGCTAAAAATGGCTTCCTAAGACTAATATCTTTCATTTTAGAGCGTTTTGAGACAGTTTTTGAAAAGTTGAACAAGTCGTCAAAATTGACCAAAATGGTAAGGCTTACCCCTTACCATTTGGTCAATTTTGACGACTTTTTGAACTTTTCAAAAACTGTCTTAAAATGCTAAAAATGGCTTCCTAAGACTAATATCTTTCATTCTAGATCATTTTGAGACAGTTTTTGAAAAGTTGAAAAAGTCGTCAAAATTGACCAAAATGGTAAGGCTTACCCCTTACCATTTTGGTCAATTTTGACGACTTTTTGAACTTTTCAAAAACTGTCTTAAAATGCTAAAAATGGCTTCCTAAGACTAATATCTTTCATTTTAGAGCGTTTTGAGACAGTTTTTGAAAAGTTGAACAAGTCGTCAAAATTGACCAAAATGGTAAGGCTTACCCCTTACCATTTTGGTCAATTTTGACGACTTTTTGAACTTTTCAAAAACTGTCTTAAAATGCTAAAAATGGCTTCCTAAGACTAATATTTCATTCTAGAGCATTTTGAGACAGTTTTTGAAAAGTTGAACAAGTCGTCAAAATTAACCAAAATGGTAAGGCTTACCCCTTACCATTTTGGTATATTTTGACGACTTTTTGAACTTTTCAAAAACTGTCTTAAAATGCTAAAAATGGCTTCCTAAGACTAATATCTTTCATTTTAGAGCGTTTTGAGACAGTTTTTGAAAAGTTAAACAAGTCGTCAAAATTGACCAAAATGGTAAGGCTTACCCCTTACCATTTTGGTCAATTTTGACGACTTTTTGAACTTTTCAAAAACTGTCTTAAAATGCTAAAAATGGCTTCCTAAGACTAATATCTTTCATTCTAGAGCATTTTGAGCAGTTTTTGAAAAGTTGAACAAGTCGTCAAAATTGACCAAAATGGTAAGGCTTACCCCTTACCATTTTGGTCAATTTTGACGACTTTTTGAACTTTTCAAAAACTGTCTTAAAATGCTAAAAATGGCTTCCTAACACTAATATCTTTCATTCTAGAGCATTTTGAGACAGTTTTTGAAAAGTTGAACAAGTCGTCAAAATTGACCAAAATGGTAAGGCTTACCCCTTACCATTTTGGTCAATTTTGACGACTTTTTGAACTTTTCAAAAACTGTTTAAAATGCTAAAAATGGCTTCCTAAGACTAATATCTTTCATTTTAGAGCGTTTTGAGACAGTTTTTGAAAAGTTGAACAAGTCGTCAAAATTGACCAAAATGGTAAGGCTTCCCCTTACCATTTTGGTCAATTTTGACGACTTTTTGAACTTTTCAAAAACTGTCTTAAAATGCTAAAAATGGCTTCCTAAGCTAATATCTTTCATTTAGAGCATTTTGAGACAGTTTTTGAAAAGTTGAAAAGTCGTCAAAATTGACCAAAATGGTAAGGCTTACCCCTTACCATTTTGGTCAATTTTGACGACTTTTTGAACTTTTCAAAAATGTCTTAAAATGCTAAAAATGGCTTCCTAAGACTAATATCTTTCATTTTAGAGCGTTTTGAGACACTTTTTGAAAGTTGAAAAAGTCGTCAAAATTGACCAAAATGGTAAGGCTTACCCCTTACCATTTTGGTCAATTTTGACGACTTTTTGAACTTTTCAAAAACTGTCTTAAAATGCTAAAAATGGCTTCCTAAGACTAATATCTTTCATTTAGAGCGTTTTGAGACAGTTTTTGAAAAGTTGAACAAGTCGTCAAAATTGACCAAAATGGTAAGGCTTACCCCTTACCATTTTGGTCAATTTTGACGACTTTTTGAACTTTTCAAAAACTGTCTTAAAATGCTAAAAATGGCTTCCTAAGACTAATATCTTTCATTTTAGAGTGTTTTGAGACAGTTTTTGAAAAGTTGAACAAGTCGTCAAAATTGACCAAAATGGTAAGGCTTACCCTTACCATTTTGGTCAATTTTGACGACTTTTTGAACTTTTCAAAAACTGTCTTAAAATGCTAAAAATGGCTTCCTAAGACTAATATCTTTCATTTAGAGCGTTTTGAGACGTTTTTGAAAAGTTGAAAAGTCGTCAAAATTGACCAAAATGGTAAGGCTTACCCCTTACCATTTTGGTCAATTTTGACGACTTTTTCTTTTCAAAAACTGTCTTAAAATGCTAAAATGGCTTCCTAAGACTAATATCTTTCATTTAGAGCATTTTGAGACAGTTTTTGAAAAGTTGAAAAAGTCGTCAAAATTGACCAAAATGGTAAGGCTTACCCCTTACCATTTTGGTCAATTTTGACGACTTTTTGAACTTTTCAAAAACTGTCTTAAAATGCTAAAAATGGCTTCCTAAGACTAATATCTTTCATTTTAGAGCGTTTTGAGACAGTTTTTGAAAAGTTGAACAAGTCGTCAAAATTGACCAAAATGGTAAGGCTTACCCCTTACCATTTTGGTCAATTTTGACGACTTTTTGAACTTTTCAAAAACTGTCTTAAAATGCTAAAAATGGCTTCCTAAGACTAATATCTTTCATTTTAGAGCGTTTTGAGACAGTTTTGAAAAGTTGAACAAGTCGTCAAAATTGACCAAAATGGTAAGGCTTACCCCTTACCATTTTGGTCAATTTTGACGACTTTTTGAACTTTTCAAAAACTGTCTTAAAATGCTAAAAATGGCTTCCTAAGACTAATATCTTTCATTTTAGAGCGTTTTGAGACAGTTTTTGAAAAGTTGAACAAGTCGTCAAAATTGACCAAAATGGTAAGGCTTACCCCTTACCATTTTGGTCAATTTTGACGACTTTTTGAACTTTTCAAAAACTGTCTTAAAATGCTAAAAATGGCTTCCTAAGACTAATATCTTTCATTTTAGAGCGTTTTGAGACAGTTTTTGAAAAGTTGAACAAGTCGTCAAAATTGACCAAAATGGTAAGGCTTACCCCTTACCATTTTGGTCAATTTTGACGACTTTTTGAACTTTTCAAAAACTGTCTTAAAATGCTAAAAATGGCTTCCTAAGACTAATATCTTTCATTTTAGAGCGTTTTGAGACAGTTTTTGAAAAGTTGAACAAGTCGTCAAAATTGACCAAAATGGTAAGGCTTAC